CCAAAATTTCATTTGTAACTAAAGTTATCATCCGGAAACCAGTTACCTTTGACTCACCACGGTGACCTTAACCTTTGACCTTTTGACCCCCAAACCAATCCCAACTTGCCTGTACCCAAGGGCAACCCCCTACCTAAGTTAGACAGGAAAAATTTCATTTCTAACTCAAGTTATCATCCGGAAACCATTTACCTTTAACTCACAATGGTGACCTTGACCTTTGACCTTTTGACCCCAAAATCAACCCAACTTGCCTGTACCCAAGGGCAATCCTACCGCAGTTAAACAGCAAAATGTGATTTCTAACTGAAGTTATCATCCGGAAACCATTTACCTTTAAACTCACAATGGTGACCTTGACCTTTGACCTTTTGACCCCAAAACCAACCCAACTTGCCTGTACCCAAGGGCAATCCTACCGGAAGTTAAACAGCAAAATGTGATTTCTAACTGAAGTTATCATCCGGAAACCATTTACCTTTATTTGTGAGCTTGACCTTTGACCTTTTGACTCCAAAACCAATCCCAACTTGCATATTCCCAAGGGCAACCCCCTACCAAAGTTAGACACCAAAATCTCATTTCTAACTCAAGTTATCATCCAAAAACCGTTTACTGTACATTAAACTCACCATGGTGACTTTGACCTTTGGACCTCAAAACCAATCCCAACTTGCCTACTCCTAAGGGCAACCCCTTCCAAAGTTACAATCCCAAACATCATTTCTAACTCTAGTTATCATCCGGAAACTAAGCTGCCTGGACATCCGGACAGACGGATGCCGTAGGCGATGACAATAGGCAAAGGTACTTGGCAAAGGTACAACTTGGAGAAGGTATGAGTTGGTACAATGAGTTAAAGGTACGAGTTGCCCAAGATACAAGTTGACAAAGGTAGGAGTTGACATGTTTCCTTTGGCGGCATATATGTGGCGCCCGTGTATGGGACTCTTCCCAACACTGGTTCAAAGGTCATCAAAGATGGTGGATGTCTAGAAAGATCGGTGTGCAGTTAAAATCTATAGTTCACTTTTTTTTAATCCATTTTTTATTGGGAATACTACTGCTTTGTGTTCATCAAACTTTGTAAGCTTTCTTACAAAAAGCTACGCAACCGGCAGTCCCAGCCCTGGCATCACAGGGGAGCCTCCTATAGCAACATTATTTCTAGGCAACCTGAAGTTGCACTTGGTGGAAGGAACGTCATATTCATGAAAGCAGACGGACCCGTGATGAAAGCAACCAATGGCGTATTTATTTGCCGGGAACCGGCTCATTTCATTGGCTGAGATACTATCATCGCTGTTTATCATCTAAGAATCTTCCAATTACTGGGGGCAAGTCATCAAAGGATTTAAAGTTCGATGGCCTACAGCTGAACCCAACCGCATATACTTTGTAACAACGAGAGCGACATTGTATCAATTTGAACAATGCCGGTGTCAATCATTCTCTGGAAGGGCTTTTTCGGAGCTGGATTTTATTTGGGCATTTTTTTTTTCAAAGGCCCGGGAAAAGTTTATACGAAAAGTGAGGGAAACTGAAATAAACATGGAATTTCTCCCCTGTAAAGGCCTGTATCTTGTGAATAAATGATAAATAAATGTATTTTCTTTTTTTGTAGTTGGTTTTTATTCGGGGGGGGGGGGGGGGTTGATATTCCAAATAATTAATTGAATGCACGTCTTTTTTAAAGCTGGACTGAAGAACAGTAAGGCCAGTACTGCTTGTCCAGATTTTATTCTAAACCAACTTGACCGTGGGCCTTTTGTTGACGACTGCGTTACCATAACTTGCTGTTGGGGAAAATGTTAACTGACAAGAATTTTAAAAAAGTGCCCTTACCAATGGGTCTGTATTTTACCTTCTACATGCATCCTTTGGTCGTCACTCGTCAGGCAACCAATTTTAAATGTTTAAAAAAATAATACATATCCAACAATTTTATTTTTCGATGTAATTTTTATATACAGGAAGGTTTTTCTGCCAATGATAGCAACATTTAACGAGAGATTTTGCGTTTGTTTTTACAAACGCAGAGTGGTCGGGTAGACAACTATTTTATGAAACACTGTCCAGTTAAGTTATGACTTTTTTTATGTAAGGACAGAGAATAAAGACATTAAATCTTTTCCAGTACAATTAATTATTTTGTTTCAAAAATAAATTTTTAACGGTGTGATAAATTTCAGTAAACATTAGGCCAAAAAAAATATTAGTCGGTCTCTGGTCAGCGCGCGCGTCGATTTTAATCATGCGCGTCAACCTTTTTTTTCTTCAAATTGTCCGTGGTAGCTACAGCAGCGCCCTCTATTGCCGCAACTCCTCAAATTTTTGTACCAAGGAATGGGGAAATTGCACCAAGGCAAATGATGGAGGGCACCATGGCAAATTATGGAGGACCCCAATGTATATGAGGACACAACAAAAGCAAAATAGTACCCACCTTGTCTGTACAATCCAAGCTTGAAAAAAAAAGGCCCCCCCCAAAAAAAACGCGCCGCCGCATCAATTCCGGAACTTTGGTCTGACCAGAGACCGAATATTTTTTTTTTGGGGGGGGGCCCTTATATGTACACACGTATACAAGTTATTTCTTACTTGATAACGTCATTAGTCAAAAACGGGAAGTGAATACTTATTTTGTTCGGAGTTGATGTTCATTGTTAAGTTAAATAACGTATGAAAATTTGGAAAATATAAGTATATGTATTCATAACACCGAACGTCCAGTTTGATGACATCACAGTATTTGGAAGCAAAAGGTGAACATTGTAATGGTATCGTTATTTGGGCTAAGATTTACGACATGGATCAAATGATAGAATAAACTTTAAAATATGATTGTTGCAAAATTCTCATAGAAGTTACTTCCGGTCTGATGACGTCATGAATTTGAAACCTTGCCAAGTTATCTGTGTTTAATCAAAGAATATCAAGGGGCAATTTGGTAAATTTGAACCTACGGTTTCAAAATTCAAGAAAAGAAACACTATTTTAAGTGCCGCTAGGGGGCGCCCTTTCGGATAATGACGTCATTATACTGTTTTTTGAGTCTAGCATTCCTCACTAAACACTTTCATAATATATTTGTCTATAGTAAAATGCTTCCGCTTTTGAGTTATATTGTTTTTATTGCACGGCATAGTCTACAACCTCACGAAAAAACGAACACGATACTCTATTTAGTTCAAAAGATATAACGCAAACTATTTTGTCAAAATTTGCCTTTAAATCGCTTGTAACTTGATACCTCATGACGTCATGATGACGTAAAAAAATTTATAACATCTTGGCAACATGGTACAAATTCACACAAGGTATTGTGATCACACCGTAAACCGCTCAGAAGAAATTTTGCTTTGTTTTGATTTTAGGCTAACGTGAAACGTCTTCATTTTTAATTCACCTAACTTTGACCTTCCGGTAGACCCGGAAGTAAAGGTCAAGCGAGTTTACGTACGTGTCAAAAAATGTTAATCAATTAATGGTGTATCTGATTACAGAATACAAATATCATTGATTAGTTTGTTCAAGAGTTATAGATGAACGTAATTGGTCACTTTTTCACCTAAAATCGCTTGTAATTTGACACCCGATGACGTCATAATAACGTCAGAGTAATATGCACCACTTGGGATGAGGGTCGATATATATTAAAAGTTACAAGTTCATATCATAAACCGTTTAGGAGAAAACCCGCGGAAATGTGCTGTGCAGAAAAAAAGAAAGAAAGTAACAAAGAAAGAAAGATTAATCCTAACAGATCAAAAGAGTGGTCGGGTTGTGCCCGACCACTCAATAATGTTCCTACAGAGGTAGATTTTTTTTTACGTATCACAATATATTTTCAAGGGGGAGGGGTGCACTTTTGCGTAAAACGAGCAAATAATCTACGTTGATATCGCTCTTTAAAAAAACGCAATTTCCTTCCTATAATAGATCCCGTAATATGCCACCGCCCCTCAGCTCCCGCCCTAAGATTTTTTAGTTTTTATTTTACCCCCCCCAACACCAAACACATTCTGGATCATCGTCATCGATTTCCTTGTCACGGAAGCGGCAGTAACTTTTTTTTTAAGGGAGCGGCGGACTTTACAGCACTTGGGGGAAAAAAATAATCCCAATGGATCAAAATACATCGTTTTAAATAACGCCTTCACTTGAGTAGCTTACGGGGGAGCAGGGTAAATTTTCCTCGCCGGTTTTAAAATCATTATGAAAGTGCTAGCCATTGGTTTGATTACTGCACACACCAAGTGATGATTTCAGCAAATACAAGCACATTCAGAGAAAAATACAGAAAAAAGACAGACTCGGAATTGTTTTACAATTTGGTAATTAATCAGAATAACCTTAGGAGTATTGAAAACATCAAACACAGTGTATCAATTTGACACAAAACAGTTGCTGATCATGGAACAATGCATTAATAAAACTTCTTGGAACGTGATCAACTATAAAATGCGTTTCTAATTCTTTATAAATTAAACAAAATAAACATCGTAGATTCTTTGTAAATAAAACTGGAGGGTAGATTGCGCAAAATACAAGGTCCCATTTTTGAAATTTGAGTTCCATTTAAACGTTTGGGAAAATTTCTAAACGGATTTGATTTTTTTTCGTTTACACGTTTACACGTGTAAACGTCACATCCTTAACACTTTGACTGCTGTGCCCGAATATACTCGGGATAGCTTTACACCCCGGCAGGTGCTATGCCCGAGTATACTCGGGATAGCAGTAAACGTTGTGCTGCCCTCTGTTGAACAACATCAATTGTTGTTCGACAGAGGGCAGCACAACGTTTACTGCTATTCCGCGTATACTCGGGCATAGCACCTGCCGGCATGGCCGGGGTGAAAAGCTATCCCGAAAAAATTTGGGTGCAGCAGTCAAAGTGTTAATTGCACAATCATAATGCGCATACGCATTCTTATGATTGCGCAAATCACAAGAACATAAAGAAAGCGCATAAACAGGACTAAATGTAGACTTGCCTTGCTTTCGCTAAGATGAACGGCTTGTCGCTAAAAACGTCGGAAATTCCCCCCTCAGTCTTCGCAGGGTATGCATCTCTGCCCTCAAGTTTTATTCTTGACATTTCCATAAATTCTCTGAGTTTTTTCGATCATCTCACACAGAACACTCTTCTAGTGGCCCGGGCTGATTTAGCAGTACTACTGCTAAGTGCTTCACTTATACTAATAATAGTATTTAAAATAGCAAAGAAGTTCTTTGAAAGAACGTTTCTCACTGTCAAACATGCCCGTTTCCACTGTTGACATTTAATGCATAATGGGCGGCGCCATAGTTGTAACTAGCGCCCTCTGTCGTTGAAGGGTTTCGAGCCCAAACCAACTGCCTAGTAAGCGCCGCTAGGCGGCGCTATGCGATCTTTGCTATAGGGTTAAGTTACATACACTGAGTTAAGAGCTGCCGACGACGCCGATACATGCATGAAGTAAGAACATCATCATGATGGAATGAAAAAACATACAACGTTTGAAATCTGATGTGATGCCGTCCTTCGCACCGCGTGTCGTCCACGTAATGCTGTTATTCAATCAGGCGAGAGTCTTGTTGTCAGTTGTTACACAAAAAAACTAGGCCTAAGTAAGTATATTCGGTAATCCTTACTTTTAGGGTAATCCTTACTTTTAGGACCCCGTTCCTATATAGGAAGGGAAAGACTCACCAAAACAGTTGACCAAATGACACTCAAAATTGACATTCTGATACTTCGTGGCACATCTGAACAATTTGCAATGACACCTTCTTGACTTCTAAAAATTGCTTTAGCCTGCAAAAGTCACTTTGGTACTGGACAGACATCTGCAAAAGTCAGTTTTGAACAGAACTCGTAAAAAATAGAGGTGTCCTAAAAGTAAGGATTACCACTTTTAGGACAGCTCTATTTTTTTACGAGTTCTGTTCAAAACTGACTTTTGCAGATGTCTGTCCAGTACCAAAGTGACTTTTGCAGGCTAAAGCAGTCTTTTTTCTTCATATAAACTCATGTTAGTTGTAATTTTGAAAGCACTTTCAAAGAAAATGTGACTTTCCTACCTTTTTTCGCAGTCAGACGTGCATGTTGTAGTTCTTACAACACAGTGAAAGCCCTACATAATGAAAGCCCGACGCTGATTGGCTGCTAAAAAAATAAATAAGATGTTTATTTTTTAGCAGCCAATCAGCATCGAGCTTTCATCGCATCGAGCTTTCACGTTTGCCATCTTGGTTTTTGAGTCTGTTTTCTGGTTGTCATCGTCGTCTTTTACCCCTGAATTTCCCCCATAAATCAAAGCCCTGCCCTCTTTCCACAAAATTGAACCTGCTGATATTCAAGAAGGTGTCATTGCCAATTGTTCAGATGTGCCAAGAAGTATCAGAATGTCAATTTTGAGTGTCATTTAGTCAACTGTTTTGGTGAGTCTTTCCCTTCCTATATAGGAACGGCAAACGGGGTCCTAAAAGTAAGGATTACTGTATATTCGGACTCTATCGCGGCATCCCTAAAGCTGCCCTCAGGTCGACCCACGATTTGCTTACGCCGCGACGGTGCTGTCACATGAAAATCTGACTCCTATGAAAATCGGACCCCTATTTCCCTATTATTGGTTGATCCCTCACACGTGACAGGTCACTCTCCCGAAACGATCCTAAAAATAGCATAGTATCGTACTCACGCGTGCGCAGTACTACCAATGAGTCCACATTTCATGGAGTCGGATATTCACGCTACACCGGAACTGTCGGGATCAAGCAGAAAAGTAATACTCAGGTCACAAAACTGAGTAATCGTGTGATTCTCTTGAAACAAGCGGCATCCTGAGGCAATATAATCGCAACCATGCACATGTCACCCACGACGCGCCGATCCACCACAATTCAACAGCATAGAGACAGTCATATGACTTCTTGGCGATCGTGTAGTGTAGGGCCCGGCGGCGGAAAAGGGAACAAAATCCACTTTAAAATTATTACTGACTGACCTAACTAGTTGGCGACATTCTCAATAAACAGGTATGTTATAGATTAAGGGCAGGGTTTTGATTTTTTGGAGGGAAATTTGGGGGTGAAATGACGATGCCAGCGCGGCGACAACACGCAACCCGAAAATAAAGATGGCGAAACACCGCACGCGTTATGCATGTACCGTGAGCACGCACTGCGCGCTGAATTGAAAGGCACAAACCGCGCAGGAAAATCGTGATTTCTACCCCAAGAAACTGTTCAAAATTGCAAAACAGGGGTCATTAGAATTGAGAAAAGTCTGCTTTTGATTGTAAAGGTGATTTTTGATGTAATTAATTTGATCAAAACAAAACAGGGCCCTACACTACACGATCGCCGACTTCTTTAACAATAAGTAAATAATTATGTGCTTGGCCGGTTCGGCTGGAGCCATTATCACTATCAGCGCGCATTCCCCTGATATGGTCAAGTTTGTATTCCCATTCACAAATACCTTTGAGTCAAAAAGTCGACACAAGTCAAAAATTATACATTTACAACGATTTGTTGAACAGTTTTTGAAACACCCCTCTAGCTATGATATGGAATATCCTCTCACGACTAGTAGTAAACAGTCTCCTTATATGGTGATTGACGCGCGCGTGGTGTATACTGAGTGATGTTGCGCAGAACGCGTGGAGCACCAGGGTAGTGTGCTGATTGGCTAAACAATTGAAAAGGATGATCTTGATGCGCACACGATCGCGATGTCGTCGTAGAAGTTGAAATTTTTCTACTCTTTTGACTGTTGAATTTTTTGAGCGCCGACTAATTCCGATCGTCTTAATATCGTCCCAGTTATACTCAGGTCGCAAAAAATCAGCAACTGGAATGTTCCTGACGATGGTAGCTCAGGCACAGCTTGATCCTGAATAGTCAAGGTCGACCTGAGGCCAGCTTAAGTATTATCGCGGCATGGGAAATTTCTCTTTTTGCGTTGCAAAAACTCCTTTATCCAGTTAACCAGGCATAATGGATTTTCTGCCAAATTGTATGAAAAGGATGATTAAAAAATGTTGTGTCTTCCGGGACTTTTAACGATTTTTAAAAAATATTAACATTTTCCAAAACTTGCAAATTTTCCCTCACCATGTCTGCTAAACGGTAGGCCTACTGTCTATATTTTAACATAAATCTTTAATGGTGCTCTGTCCATGAAAGTTCCTAGTCCGAGTAACTAGGACTCTACGGATCGCTTTTTAACATTTGGACATGGTCGGGCAACTATCGCCCGACCATGTCCAAATGTTAAAAAAGCGATCTGTTGAGTCCTACATGTAGTTACTCGGACTAGAAATTTCCATTGTCTGGTTCCCCTTCTACAGCTGCAAATGCAAAATGAAGTCGAAGGACATTATTTCCTCCGCAAAATCGGGAAAACTTTTATGGGACCAAAATAAGGACAGCACGTTAAAAAAAATAAAACGTCACACTGTGTAAAGTGAATGGCGCCCCCAATTGTCCAATCTGTAGACTTGTCTCTGTGATTTTTGTTCTCCTTTTCGGGGGAAGGGCAGGGTTTTAAGGGAAAGAATGTTGCAACCTGACGCTACTTCAGCTGTTGTGTACAAAGTCTGTGGAGAGCCAAGAATTTTTTTAAAGTATTTCCAAACAAAATTGGCAATGTTTCTCAGTCCCAGATTCTTGTCTTATCATTTTTGCAATGACTGACCTTCATTGAGATGATTTATGAAGAAAAAAGCAGTGTCAGGTTGCAACATTCTTTCCATTTTAAGAAATCATTCTGCAGGCATATAGTCTTTAATCAACTTGAACGTTACAGGGAAAATATCAGACTTTATTCAGGGGATGTTTTGGTCAAACATTAACTATGAATAAGACAGTTGAGATCATTATAAAAACCACTGTATGTTTCATGGAATCTGGGTTGGGAATTGGGATAATAGAGGGAAAAAAGGATCATTTTTGTAGAGTCCCCTTTTTTAGGGACTCTCAGCATCTTACATCTACAACGAAGTTTTGTCTCCAGCGTTACATGTCAACTTCCCGATGAGCATATCAGCTGGAGTTACTCAAGTTAAAGTCAGCCTAAAACTAAAAACGTATTACTTCCATCAGGTTTTTAAATAACATTCATGATGATTGACTGATTGTAGTTTTAATGTATTTTTAATGAGTTTTACTTGGTATTTAAATCAATAGATTGGTGATGTATTAGTATTTTTAATGAGCTTTTTAGTGTATTTAATGACATTTGTTTTATTAACTTTGTAAAGCGCATTGAGATTGTGTCAACGATGTAATGCGCTATATAAGAATAAATTATTATTATTATTATTATTAAGTTAATACTAACAAAGAAATTCTGACTTACCTAACGTTCGGCCTACTTTTAGAATTAAAAAGTCTAGAAGTAACTTAACGTTAGACCTACTAGCTTGGGGTTTCCCCAGCTCCAATTTGAGTTTTATCGTCATCCAACCAGTTTGCTTATCGCAAGAATCTTGGTACAACAGATGATCTCCTCACAATCTCTCACAAATTACAGTCAGCTCTTGATCATGGTCATGAGGCGAGGGTTGTCCATCTGGACCTGTCGGCTGCCTTTGATCGATTACTGTGGAAGTTACGGAGTGTCGGGGTTGGTGGATTGGTGCTGTCAGCCTTGACTCAATTGCTGAGGGGACGGACTCACCGCGTATGTGTCGATGGCAGCTTCAGTGACTGACTGGCACAATGTCCATTCAGGCATTCCTCAAGGAAGTGTTCTTGGACCTTTGTTGTTCAACATTTACACAATCGACCTGTTCAAGATCACCAAGAATTCACTGTACAGCTATGCTGACGATGTAACTCTGAGTGCGATAGTTGATTCACCTCAGTCGCTTCATGCAGTCTGCGAATCGTTAAATGATGATCTTTGTAGCACACCGATAATGTAGATGGTGGGACAAGTGGAACATGAAGTTGAACACATCGAAGTCTTAGTCTAGAAGCTTGTACATCTCCCGATCTCGCAGCCTCCATCCACCGCAGGGCAATCTACTCCTTGACGGTTTAATTCTCAATGGTTGCGATGAATTAAAAATCTTGGGAGTCAAGTTTGATGTGAAATTAACCTACGAGCATCATATCCGATCTCTTGTCGGTTCTGCTTCTCGTAAACTTGGGATAATGAGGAAGGCCTATACCATATTCAACAATGTGTCCATCTCTGCTAGCTGTTTCCGCTGCTTCATCCTTCCACTTCTTGAGTATTGTGTTCCAGTTTGGTTATCTGCTGCTGCATCTCACATCCGTCTCATTGACAGGGTACTCCATACTGCTCAATTTCTTTGTGATGGCAGTGCTCTGTGTGATCTGGGTCATCGACGCAGTGTCAGTAATGTATGTATGCTGTACAGATACGGTCCAATTTGCTCCATCCACTGTACGATTATGTCCCTGAACTGTATGTGCCGGCAAGAAATACTTGGCTTGCATCGTCTCTGCATCCACTTACTCTGCAGCCGATGAGATGTCGCACCAGCCAGTTCCAACGTTGCTTCTTGCCCAGTGCCATACAGCTATGGAATTCCTAAGATGGTGATACATGTGCAGCAGGCAGTGAGCATACGGTACTTCTAAGCCAATGGCCAACAAGAATCTATGGTCCATTTCATTCTATCTAGTGTTGCTCGTTATAGTCCAGTTTTTAGTCGATCACACTTGTTCTTGTTTTCGCATTCTTTATCTTGATTGTTGTCTCTTGATGGTTTTTTCGCTGACGCTTCAGGTGTGTGGGGGTTGCTGTAAAGCAACTTATAGTGCTTGCACTTTTCCCACTCCACCTGATTCGTAGTAGGCCTAATAGTTCTCTCAAACTATCTTTTCCAGCAGTTGGAAAATGGTGGAGGCTTAGAGAAATTGCCTCAAATAAAATGATCCTTTTCCCCCGTTGTCCAAACCAAGTTGAGATTAAATTCACTTACATGTATTAAGGCCAAAAAATAAAATGCTTCTGCTTCTGGTTACCCGACCGACCCTTTTTTTACGGCGTAACCCTACAATTTTGATAAGGAAAGTTAAACAAAAATAACAAAAACAAACACAAACACAAAAAAACCCAACCTGATCATCTTTTCTGTCTCCAAGAAATGCCTGTCAACAACCTTTACGTCACAATGCTTGTATTTATTTGTTTGCCTACTAACATTCGCTACTTTTGAGAAGAAATTTCCGGTTTTTTTTACAAGTTCCCTTTGCACGCGATTGCAAATTCCCTGCGCAATTTGCTGTGACGTAAACACGTGAAAACACGTGCGTAGCAATGCTGTTCCCGCGGCGCCGTGCACTTGCCAAAAAGGCATGATGGAAATGCAGCAACCGGTCTTTGCCTGTGTCTGTGTGGCATGCAGGCCAATATGGATAGCGTGTGAGAGTGAGACATACACAGACTTGGAGTGCACGACAGTTGCAGGTCGGGTTTGACAACGTACAAATGCTCTGTAAACATTGATGGAGAAAGAAGATTTCTACAAGTTAATTCACAGAACTTGATCTCTCTTGTCTGTGTACAATGTATGTATTTTCCGTGTTCATGAGTTTATTTTGAGGTTGTACTAGCGCTGGCGATACTGACGTGTCATGTCATGGGAACAGTCACAGTTGCGGGGCATTTGCATTTGTAAACACAGGTGACTTGTTTAAGTCTATTTTTGGAGTTTTGGACTTTCAGTGCATATAAACCCAAACATGTCAGGGTATGACAATTTTGAAATTAAATATCTATTAAGAGAACAATTTAAACCTCCTAGTCTTTTGCACTTTACAATGTAATATTATAATGGAATAAATCTGTGCTCAGCCAGTTTTAAACACTATGTTTAAGACCGGTCTGGAGTCTGGACGCTGAATAATGACCCGAGCCAAAGGCACAAATACCAGTTTTCGGTCAAAAAATCAAAACTATTTTGTCCAAAAGTCAAAACAAGTCAAAAATTATAGATTTCCAACGATTTTGTTCAACAAGTCTTCATGTTTTTATAAACATACCTCTAGCTATGTTATGGTATGGGTACATGTATGTCCCTCTCGTGAGTGGTCGTAAACAACTCCTATGGAGATTGGTACGTTGCGCGTCCTGCGTGATGTGGTGCAGAACGCACCTGTGCCAGTGTAGTGTGAATTTATGACCGAAATACTGACTCACTGTTAGTATTGCGCATACCTATGTGAGGACTGAACGTTCAACCAATAAAACGGTAAAATGCACTGGTCGGATTTTATAGGAGTCCAAATTTTATGTGTCACTAGAAGAGTGTTTAAGACCAGCCAGCCAGTGTTTTATAAACCGTTTAAGACTGGCCACATGACAGGCTCTCAACCAATAGGAATGGGCAAACTGTCTTAGGTATTTATGAATGGTGTTTCAAAGTGATTCATTTCTTCTGAGTGGCCAATTTAAACTTAGTACAGTTGGCCTAGAAATTATTGGTGGGAACGTGTTCTCTCAGGAGATACCAAGAAAAGCTATAACAATATTAGACATGTTAGACAATGGCAACAATTACAACTGCATAACATTATAATCTAAGGCTTTTGGTGGCTTTTTTTTTAAATCAGTGACTGTTGAAACATAACCTATTCCCACTTGGTACCTCATTCCTAAGAACAACAACTTTAAATTAGATAATTATGTCTAGTATTATCATTAGAATTTACAATTTTTTTTTAAGTACACACAATTGTAGGGTTTGTTTCAAGAGGCAAAAGCTGAGAAAGTACCAAACAAATTATGTAAAAAATTATATTAAAAAATAGTATGCATACAATAATCTGAGATGTTGTATCTACCGTACATAGTGTTTACCTGTCTGGGCTTTTGGCCAGGCAAGACCTTGAATTGCCACACATTGAGAGACAAACTGCTGACATACACAGTTTGAGTATCAACCCCCCCCCCCCCCCCCCCCACAAAGCACTTAATAGTTTCACTGAGGGAAGATTGCTCATCGCGTGCCATGATGCCAGGTGACTTGGTTCATGTTTATTTTCTTAACTTCATTCCAAGCTACAACATTTATGAAGTGTAAATTTACATTTAGTTCCATGGTGTTTCAGGGAAACTTTGCCAAATGTTGGTAGTTAATTATTCTTGTTAAAGCTGTTAGGAAGTAATGGTGAAAGTTATCTTTGTTGCACTTACACACGCAATCTCTGTGCGATAAAAATGACATCCCAATCAGTTTTTCCTGCCATCTCTTTATTGCCTGTTTACTTCAAGTTATTGTTCAAATGGGGCAAAACTGTGACAAATTTGTCCATGTCATTAGCACCGGCTACTGTACATGTACATGTAATCTGACCATAAGAATACGGCAAGCACAGTCAGTGTATTTTTTTTGGTATTACTATACATGTAGTCGTGATTTACTTACACATTTTGTGTCCATATAAATTTGCTTGAACACTTCCATTTGAAACAAGAAGTTCAGTTACATACAATCAATTCAGCACAAAAGTAACAAACACCCTTTAACACTGTTTAATAGGGTAGACTAGTGATTTTCCAGATGGGAAATACTGATTGATCAAGGGTAGTCCCTAAATCATGATGTATGAATGTGCTTGGCTGATGAATTGAAGCATGTTTCCCTGTTGTAATAGAATCATTAGAAGTGATATGATTGTGTTGGTTTGGAAGGCCTTGTCAGGATGTAACAGCAGACACATGGTTCATGCATGACTGAATGTTGCATGTTAAGACAATATTATGGACTGATGGAGTCTAGAAATCAATGTAAGCATGAAGGATACTGTACCATACTGTACTACCATATGTTCATATATGTACATGTACATGTAGCTTCCTGAATCCTATCCTGTTACAATGAACATGAATATTTAGGGTCAGTCAGTTTGGGCTGTCCATTTTCGAATAATTTAGTATTCAAATATGCAAAATTGCGTTGGACCGAATATTCTGATATTCGAAACTGCCAACTGCAACTGTGTGCTGCGCCAGTAAAAAGTTGCAGGAAGAATGTGCCAGTTAAAATGTGTGTGCGGCGATTGATATGGGGTGCTGGAGTGTTTTGCAGTAAGTATTTTTTAACTGTAAACCTACTAAAAGGATGTGAACAATGGACCGCTGTCGACAACAAAGTTACAGTCGACAAAAAGTGGCACCTGACAATAAAGCGCTGCAACTTAACGATTAAATAACATCATAATGGTAGTTGTGTGTAAACATGCAGGCATGCAACTTTTCCTCGGATCTGCTGATTTCCTTGTTTTTTACTTCCCATGAATGCCATTACAAATGGAAAAATACTGTACAAAGTCTGGTGAGGTTTGAAATTTCCTCTTTTTTTAAAATAAATTCCCAGTTTCATGCCTGTACATGTATGTGCGTATTTTTTCTTTTCTTTCAAATATTTAAACCGGCAGTAAGTTATTCTAATATTTGGTTGATTATGGAATATTGGACTATTAGATATATTCAGGACAGCTCCACAGTAGGTCTTTTCACACTAGACAAAATCTCGGAGGTGGCCCCGGGGCGACGCGGGGGCGAAAAAAAGCCTCAATTCACGCTGGAAATTCCCCCCGCGCCATCCCAAGCAACCCCTGAGATTGCTCATTACCCAGGGTGAGTTCAACCTGGCCTGCTTGGGACCATGGTTGAAAATCTTATCCCCGGGGCAAGACACTTTCCCAGGGCGAGAACTGTAGTGTGAAATGAGCAGGGGGGTGAGTTCGCCCCTGGGCGAGCATCAGAGGGTTAAAATAGACTCTAAAGTTTGATGTAATTGCAATAATTTCATCAGAAAATATGGTGCATTGTGTACAATGTGCTTTTAATTTCTGGCTTTTCGACTGATACAAATCCAACCAACCGGTTGTAATACTGGACTGCAAGTTGTACAAAATTTACATTAGTTTTTGACAAGAAAACGCACACAATATTTTAAACCTTTCATTTCTTATTTGGATAAGTGCATGTAAAAGTGAAACGTATTCAGCCTCTTTCCCATTTTCTCTGCATAGGAAACCACGAACATCGCACAAAATTCATGTTTACGATGAACAAAAATGCACACGTATTGATATGCTTTCTTGTGCCTTAACTAGGAAATGAATGGTTCCACGATGAGGAAATGTATCAGTTTAAATGACACATAATGCAATAAAATAAAAATGAAAAAACAATGCTTTTCCGCTTTTAAGCGGATATTTTGAAGTTTTCAAAATATCTGAATCAGAGCTAAGTATTTTTATATAGGTCACTGCAGGTTGAAAACTTTGAGTGTGAAACATTCGTGCAAACGCCTGTGGCAAGCTGGCCCTGGGCGTATTTGATCATATACAGGGGGTTGCTGATAAAGTTAACACAGCCCTAGTTTTGGGATATGCATGACCCTAATGCTTTGTGCTGAGCAGTTTTCTTCATCATGTTCTGTAAATGATGTTTTTAACAATTATTGAACTGAAGTGAACCGTTCTGCTTAAAAAGTGTTTAGATATTTGTTAACCATTATTCAGCATCGATAAATTGTGCTTGTGCTAAAATAACATCAGTGATTTATTTCCCTTTTTTTATTGATGAACTCAGCACTAGCATCCAGCTCATTTGAGACCATGAATCCATCACATGAGACAAGATGGTAGAGTGCTTTGTTTAGACCTTTGCCATGACACATGATACATTGCCTTTGTATCATCAGATGAAGCAACTTTAGCTCCGTGGAACAAAAACAAAAGCCCAAAAGTTAAGCAGGTGAGATTGGATGTGGTCTAGACTGCAGACAACCTAGGTCAGGTCACAGACTCATTTTTCTGTGATGTACCAAAATGTGTGTGTTGACATGTATAGGCTATGTGTATTTTATCCCCCTGGGTGTAATCCGGAGGGGGATATTCTGTGTGTGTGTGCGTATTTACATTTTTAAACACAGGCAATGGTGGACCTAGGACAACAGGTTAGGGCACAGACAATACATCCACGATTGACCGATAGTCCACGATTGAAATTTGTGTACAAAACCAATGAGAGCTGTTGCTAAAAAGAGTACAAACAAAGGAATGAGGAATAGGGACAATAGGGAGTCCACAATTGCTGGTGTTTATAAAGATGTGAAGCATTACATTCACTGTGTGGACTTCCGAACAAAAGATGTCCACATAAACCAGGTAGCAGCAACGAGAAACACTAAAGGGTATCATAGAAAAACAAAAGAATGTTCACAACTAGGTATGTAACGTAAACATGCATGGCTGTGGGTGTACGTGTTCTACATAACCCCCCGAGGACCGACACACAAAGGGAGAACAGCAGATGCTCTCAGTCCTCGGGGAGTTGGGTCTATTGTTAGAAACGGTCCTCTGTAGTAAGCTTGTGTGCTTAGTTTATTGCAGAGTGTTTAAGGTAAATGGGGAAGAACCTGTGTTTACAGGAACGGAGTGCCCATCTCTCTTTCATTAGCGATTGGGCCAGACTCATATGCTGCTGTGGGGGGATCACCCCACCTTCTCCACAGCGAGTCTGTTAGGCCCCCCAAAAAATAAGTCGGTCTCTGGTCAGCACGCGCGTCGATTTTAATCATGCGAGTCGATCTTTTTTTTTCCCAAAATGTTCCGCGGTAGCTCCAACAGCGCCCTCTATTTCCGCACCTCCTCAAGTTTTTTTTTATTAAAGAGCACCAAGGAATGGGAAATTGCACCAAGGCAAATGATCGAAAGCACCAAGGCAAATTATGGAGGACACCAATGTACATGAGGACACCAAAAAAGCAAAATAGTACCCACCTTGACTGTACAATCCAAGCTTGAAGAAAAAAAAAAAAAGCCGCGTGGCCGCGTCAATTCCAGACCTTTGGTCTGACCAGAGACCGAAAAAAATTTTTTTTGGCCTTACCTTCCCAGCAAACCTGGGTTGAGAGGAGTAATTGAGATAAAGCGCCTTACTCAAGTGCACAGCATGCCTGGTCACGGCCGGGCTCGAACCCACAATCTCACAATCATGAATCCTATACTCTACCGTCAAACCACACGTGACCACACGGGAGAGTGTTATATTACAGGGACACAGGGAAATACAAAAGCATTGTCCTCGAGAGTATAGTAATACAGGACTGAGTGGTGTGTCTGTGTATGTGCGTGTTTATGGTGTAAATCGAGGACACACAAGTACAACATCACCAATGAATCGAGGACAGAAACCGAATCGAGGACTCCTCGGTTGGAAAACGTGTACGAAATCAATGAGAGCTGTTGCGAAAAAGTTCAGAGTACAAAGGAAAAGGGAAGAGGAACAAAAGAAAATCCTTGATTTACACCATAAACAAACGTGCTAGTCTGTGGGTGTGTTATGTTCGGTGAGGTTGACTCTTGTCAGCATGAGAACTTGAGAAATACTTTACTCAGGAACTTGAAATTTGGTTTGTGGGTTGTTCTTGAAAGTCTTAAGAAGCCTACCGGTAGTTGGGCCCGACGGGTCCAGATCAAGTTGACTATTGCTAAAACAATAGAAATCTTTCATTTTGGTTAGTATCCATACTAACTGACTGCCAGCATGCCAGGGAGATTGCATTATTTTTTAGGGTTTTTGTTGTCATCCATCAACACTGGCTGACTTTAGGTGCCACTATAGGTACGAGTGTACTGTATGTGCCATCTTTTCAACTTACATGTATGTAACTCTGTGACATTGGGTTTTAGATACAAAAGTTGTAACTAATTTAGGGGGAAACACCAACAAACCCCAAAACCAAAACCAGGATTTTGGGGTTGGTGATATGTGAAGATTTCTGCATATGTTGTGTGCATCAACTGCAGAAATGCAGTTGAATTTCGTTGATACTAATTCAGTTACAACAAAATTCTGATTAGAATCCTTGGCAGGGGCGTAGCACGGTCATTTTTATTGGGGGGGGGTAAAAAATTTGAAAAGGGCATTTGCACATCCGTTGTGAAATGTAGACAGGTTTTTTTCTCCGGACACTTGGCCTCCATAAAATCAAAGGGGGGGGGGGGGGCTGTTCAAAACCGACAATTATGCACACAAAGGGCCAATATATGGTGCTTTTCAGGGCGATACATGTGCAAAATTCTGAAAAAGGCACCCAAAACGGCAGATGCCACAAAAAAGGGCACCACTTCTTTTTTGAAAAGGGCACTTGTTCAGAAAAAAAGGGCATTTGAATGGAAAAAGGCAGTCTTTACCCCCCCGGCCCCCCGGGGGCTGGGACTACATCTTTTAATGCTGCTATTGATTTTACATGTATGTTTTGTGTTTGCAAACACCCCATCATGTGTTGGTTCATTTTTATCTCTACATGTCTTCTCTAGCCATGCTGTGATGTTACATAGAAGCTGTATGTACCAGTGACCTTACAATGTGGAGATGATTGTATATATGACATCAAGCATCTTGGAATGCCCTCAGAAGATAAATTCTTCTCTCATGTCATGAACAAGTTATGTGGGCAATGTGACATTTTGTACAACTGGTAAGTGTTTATTTATCTTCATTTTTGTTTCGCCCTGTTTACTCTATATATCATTTCTGTCCTTTCAGATGCTTCATACTGATAATGTTGGTTTTATTTTTCGCTTTACACCATTAACAAGCGTATCTGTATGTATGTATGTATGTATGTATTAAGTATTGTTTTCCACTTCACACTACCACTTTAGTATCTATTGTCCGGTTTTGTACAGTCATTATGTTGCTCCTTTTAATGATCGATTTATTTGCTTCTGTTAGGCCTAAAAAAAAAAAGTTATGTTGGCGAAACGGGCCAGAAAAAATAGGTTAGGTAGGTCGTTTTTTTTTTTTTTTTTTTTTTTAATCCCAGCAACGAAAATGACATTAAGCCGGTAGAAGTACACGATAACAAAAGAAAACAAGGCTACACACAATATTTGTATACTTTTAAACTCTCAGTGACATTTATTTCACTTTTTATGTCTTTCTTTTATAGTTTTTTGTTTTTGTGCAAATAAAAACAAAACTGTCAGATCGAGGAGAATTTAAGGAAGGCATGGTAGACCAAGGCCTGCAGTGTGCTTCAGGACAGATGAGGCATGAAGCCAACTTGCTGTTTTTGGTGTATCTGGGCGATTACCCCCAGCTCTAGACTCAAATTTATCCGCATTAAACGGTCGGAAATGACCGAAGATCCCCATTTGCCCTTGATGGAAACACTGTACGCTTCGGTACCGGGCGCCATGATGCGACGGCGTACGCGCGTAACCACGGGCCGCCGGGGCGTAATTTTTTTTCCTAGGAGGGTTAGGGGCAATGTCATGAATAATTCAGTTTTTCCTTTGAATCATTGCAAGACTTAGGTTCTCGTTCTATTTTCCCCTTAATTTAAAATTATCTCAGTGATAAATTTGGAGAAGAAAAATAGCTGATGAAAATGAGCAGCGACGACGTGATTCGAACCAGGGATCTTTGTATCCATAGCTCATCTCGCTATCCACTAGGCTACTGTGTGGTAGCTCGACGACAACCGTTCTTTAAAATGCTTTAATGTATTGTAACTAGTTGAGTAACTAACAACAATGCTGTTGATGTCATTGTCCGTTCTCATGGATAAACATGAATTATTCATGACATTGCCCCTAACCCTCCTAGGAATAAAAATTACGCGGGCCGGGGGCCGGCCGGGTCGCGTCGGCCGCCGGGGTTACAGAATAGTTTACCATTTTTAGAATAAATATATATCAATTGTTATCGTGTAAAATAGTGGAAAATTAATTAAAATAATTTATATTATAATGAACTATTTTTTTTAACATGAAATAAATAGCGAAGTATTTTCAATAGTGTATGTAGCAGTTCGCGCCGTGCAACAGTCTAGGACGAGGCTATACATGTACTGGACATGTACATGTGTGCATCTATCATGCATGCACGGTGCATCGATCTCCGCACGCGCACTGCCTGTAGGCCTGCGCGATCTTAACATGGAGTCGTTGTGTCATGAAGAGGAAGGTGCAAAACATTGTGCACTCCAAAGTTCCACGCGCGCTATCGTCATACAATTGAGGAGAAACGGTCAGAAATGGTTTCAAAACGTATTTAAAATTCATTTCTATAGATTTTAATTATATTTCTTCCCTTCAAAAAAAATAAAAATATCCAGGGTCGGTCGGGTTACGCCAACATAACACTTTTTTTTTTTAGGCCTTAGTTTTCATTGTACCTCCGTTTAAGTTCTTTATTGAGTTTTGGCAATTTACCACATTACATTGTATGTTATTCATGTGGTGCCATTGTTTTCAATAAAATTCCCTTGATATGTACATGTATGTCCGTATACATGTATGTATGTACGTGTTTATCTTTTCAAACAGTGGACGAAAAATACCAGAGAACAAAAGAGAACAATATCGTCCACGATTCCCAGCATACGTCCGCGATTGGGGTCGTGTACAAAACCTATGAGAGTCTTCCTAAAAAGTTAAGAGTACAAACAAAAGAGGGACAATAGGACGTCCACGATCGACACACACATTTGGTGTATGTCCTTATGTACATGTAGGTGGTATTTTGGTTAAAGTTAAGAAGCATTTGTCAAAAAGTTGAAGTCCAATGAGTGCCCCCATTATTTGATTGTGAAAAAAATGTGTCAACATTTCAGCACAGATGTGCCAAAAAAAAAAAAAGGCCGGATACGCTGCTGCACCGACGGAAGATGCCTTTTACTGAGCAAGTGCCCCTTTTTAGTGATTCCCCCAGTTGGAAAACCGTTTCGCCACCGTTAGCACACACGATGACAAACATTTAGATATCAACACAACAACCACTAACCGGAGAGTAATTATCATATTCAACTACCAGGAAAACCGTGGCGCTAATTGGTCAATATTGCAACGTTAATATGACGTGTATTTTCATGTGACAGGCATGATTTGTGGGCTAATTCAGGCGCAATAAACCTGGATTGCAAAATATCCGTTCGTGTGGTTTCAAACAATGGTTTTGAACATCAAATTTTCCCGTCAGAATTTTTACACCTCGAAAGGTATAAAAGAAAATAGCCCCCATAATGTAAACAAAAATGGTGTACATGCTTTTAAAGAAAAAATAAGGCCGATGTACGATACTTCAAAAAATTGGGGAAGTCACGAAGGTACATGTACATCGTACCCCGCCCGTGTAGAGCATCGCCGCGGTGGACTAGTGTGACTGTCATATTTACCGTGTGCCGCTGTGGCCGGGGCTACGATGTACAGCGACACGTCACAATGGTCACAGGCTCAGACCACGTGTAGCGAACTGGTAAAAAAACTGGAAGAAGTGAAGGCTCTTTTAGTGCGCAGTTTTGGCCGAGGGGGAAGTTCTACGTGACCTTAGAAACTGAGATAAACCACTTTGAGTTGAACTTGCTGTACTTAAACAATGTCTAAATGCTCGGTAGTTTTATTTTTCTGACCGGCCTCCGGCGGTGAGCGACCGTTTAAACTTTTACCGTTTTAGCTAAAACGCTGTCTGAACATGGCCAGAGATGATACTTGTACCACACTTCCTACAGTGTTGTTTGCATTAACAACCTGCATAGTTAACCTGTTCATGTTCTGTGCAAATGAGGTATTTTCACTACACACATGACACACACCATAAGCACCATGTATTTTTTTCTTTGCCTTTTTCATTTTATAGTAAACAAGTCAATGCCACACAGTATTTTTTTTTTACGTTACAAGTACGGTAGTTGTGTCAAATATTGTTGATATCCTTGGCAATTACGATTGCTCTTAGCCTAAATAGCAACTAAATAAATAGAACAATTTGCAGTACTTGAATCATGCTATCAGATTGGTACCTTGATGTATGGGAGGCAAAAAGTCCCAATAATAAACAATAAGTTTGTAACATATGAGCTCCAACCATCCCATGCGCATACCCTCCCTGTAGTGGAGTTTGACATGAATATGGTATACATGTAGTTGTGGATTGCTTTGTATGGATGGTGACTCATAAAATGGTTGTCTCAGTGTAATTTTAAATTAAAGAGGAAATCAGCCAGCCATCTGATCAAAGCCCCTTCCTCGTGATGGCATTAGACTTAGACAAAGTTCAGGATGGAGGAATTTTTCTGTAATAGTCAGTTGGCATAGGGTCAAAAATCATCTCCCATTTATGCAAATACCTGTACGTTCTTTGAAAATGTCAGGGATTATTAATGAAACACTATCAAACCCAAATCCACAGAAGATTTTTTTTCAGGATATTGTTTTTGAGCCGAAATGAAGAATTTAATCATATATCTTTTGCTAGAGTTTTCAATTCTTTACATTTTGGAAGCCCTTTGCTAGACCTTTTTTGTAACATACATGCTGGTGCCTTCTAAGAGGAAAGCCATGTACGTGTACCTCTAGTTTGCTGTAGCATTCACCTGTCTGATGATTGCCATATGTACAAACGCTAAAGCTCAAAGTTTGGTTGATAGGTTTTATGGACTTTTGCTATAAACTACAGGGTGAGTCAAAAAGAAAGTGACAGAATTAGACAAAAATGTTTTTAGATACATTGTATGTGGCTCGCTGTATTTCATAACACTAACATGGGTATAAAGTACATATTGTTCGCTAGTAACTGTGAAAATTAACTTAATTTGCAACTCTTTTGCCAAATTATGACTACCGGTACTATGTTAATAAAAAGATCACAAATTCAGCTATCCACCACTGATCGTTAACTGTTCTACGAACTAATGAATACCCATTGAGTACAATGAGACGAACGCTTTCCCACCTCCATGAATGAACGAAAACTTGCAAAGGAAAACACACAAAAATCACCATCAATATTTCAGAGAAAAAGGGTGGACTTCTTCCTCATATTCAAAACACAAAATCTGAAAGTAAGAATAATGTTTCAGTCTTGACTCAAATGATTAAAATCCCATTAATTTGAATGCTTGTATATAATCTGTAATTCTCACTCAGCTCAATAGCTTCCAATGGCATTACATGGACAGCTAAAAAAAAATAGGTTCTTTTAGTAAAATATCCATAACTTCTGATAGCATGAATCAATTTCAGTAATTCTTTTTTTTCCAGATGGCTGGAAGAACATGCTATTTTAAAAGTTCATTCGTGCATTAAAATTTATTGCTTTTTAAGAAAATATAATCAACATTTGCAAACATCAAAAAGCAAAATGATCAAATTATCTCGAATTATCTCAAAATTCTTTACTGGACTGTTAGATAATGTTCCATATGTGGTATTTCTGTTAAAGTTTTAAAAAATTGGTCTCAATTGAAAAGTTGAAGTCCAATTGGAACGAAACTTGGGTCATAGATGCAACATGGCAACCTTCTGATAATGATGTCAAAGGTCACATAGGCCTACTGACTTCAAAGGTAATCTGAGGTCAAGTTGTAAAATAGCCTGAAAATGTAAAATTGGTCTCATTGCAAAAGTTGAAGTCCAATTGCAACCAAACTTAAGACATATATATATATGCATCATGGCAACCTTCATATGATAATGATGTCGAAGGTCACATACCAAGGTCAAAGGTCATCTGAGGTCAAGATGTAAAGTAGCCTGAAAATGTAAAATTGGTCTCATTTGAAAAGTTGAAGTCCAATTGGAACCAAACTTGATTCATAGATGCAACATGGGAACTTTTATATGATCATCATGTCAAAAATCACATACCAAGGTCAAAGGTCATCTGAGGTCAAATTGTAATCTAGGCTGAAAATGTAAAATTGGTCTCATTTGAACAGTTTCAGTCCAGTTGGCACCAAACTTGGGTCATACATGCGACATGGGAACCTTCATATGATAATGTTGTCAAAGGTCACAAACCAAGGTCAAAGGTCATCTGAGGTCAAGTTGTCAACTGGGCATAAAATGTACAATTGCTCTCATTCAGAAGTTGAAGTGTAATTACAACTAAACTTTGGTAATAGGTACAACATCCAGGATGGAACCTTTGAATGATCATGATGTGAAAGGGCACATGCTCTGGTCAAAGGTCCTTTGAGGTCATTATTAGCAGTTCATACGATTCCACCCTCAATACTACCCACAATTATTTCTACACAGATCAGGGCCCTCTCATCCGTATCCCCTTCAAAAAGAAAACAGGCGAGACGCGTGGTTCGAGAACCACCATGTTTCAAAAATTGCTCCTATTCCTAATTTTTCATATTTAGTTATTTGGCATTTTCATTGCAATTAATTACACACCTGTGAAGGGGTACAAGCCAGCAAGACTGATTCTCTGACCTTACAATTCCCGAACCTCTATAAATTGCTCTGTTTTATCTTAAGTGAGTCAGGGAACCAGAGTACAAGAACATGATTGGTTTTCTTGGTTTTTCCAGCATCTACAAACCCAAAACATGAAACAAGCCAGTGCAACAATATTTGCTATAAAATACTATTCCTCCACATCCATTTATTTCTGAAAATTACAGCAAAAGCAAATGTTGTAGATTCCCTTTAACCCAGGTCACTTTCTCTTTGACTCACCCTGTGTTGGACAAAAATAAAAATATACATTGTACTGCTTTTACTGCATGGTTCCATATGTTGTCTTTAGGCACGTATAGTGTACATGTACATCTACATGTGTGGTGTTTAATTATTGCCTGTAGCAGAGATGTTGACCATTTAAGTCCTTGATCTTAAAAAGGTTATCCTGTGTTCAAATGAAATTATAGTCTAAGTTAATTGAATGTTCCATTTCCCACTACAAACATCAATGTACATGTTCAATGTACATGTACGTAATGTACATTTGTACATATACCGTAGACCTGTGCATACATGTGGGATGACTTACATGTACATGTACACATGTATAAATGTCATACAGTAAACTCCGGCTAATACGGCACTCTCGGGACCAGAGAATTTGTGACGACTCATGCGAATGTCGGCTTCTGCTGCAAGTCGTCATTTTGCCGACTTACACAAATACACAAATTGAATCACGGAGTGAAAAAATAGATTGAATTAATGGCCTATGCGCATCTGTATCTGGATCACGCAAACAAGATTCATGGCTAAAATTCAAAGGCTTTGATTTACCCTGGTTTATTTCTACATCCATGGTTGATTCCAGCAAATATATCCTCAATATCACAAACAGGCTGTGGTATTGATCACAGAAAGTCATGCATACATGTACATGTACGTATGTACGAAGCAAGGACGGCGCGGCCGGCTAGCGTTAACAGTGGTACGATATACAGATCGCTTGCATACTGTACGTCCATGTACATGTAGTGTACATTGTGCACGTACGTACGTACGTGTACAGTCAAGAATTAAATGTGTGCATGGTACTGGTACAATAAGGGGACCCCCAAAATGAACAGAGCGCATGCGTGCAGTTGAGAGGGGGTATTGATGTGCTATCGGGAAAACCCCTTTTTGATACGTAAGCGCTAACGAACGATGCACACAATGTACAGACTGTGCATGAAACAGTGTACACGTGCGATTAGTGTACACGTGCTGGCCGATGCATCAATCACGGGCCGTGCCATTGATAAACAGATGTCAGTTAGCAGTGTGTGGGACTTTTCACTAGACACTTCTTGCAAACCGTAGAGCACGATGCCGACTTACATGTATACAGAGAAATTTGTGTGGTTTTGAGGAAATGGGGCTGAAAGTAACACACCGACATAGGCGGAATGGCGGCTTACAAAGGCCGACTTAGAAATGAAAATGTCAATGGAAATGCATTAGAGACAATCGGGACTTTCGTCAGACGGCTGATTTAAGCGATATGACGGTTTATACGATGTCAGTTTAGCCTGAGTTTACTGTACTAACTTTCCAGTCACAACTAGTACATGTATGATATGGACATGTAAAACCTAGAACTCTGACCAAAGCAATTGAATGAAAAGCTCTGCAAACTGCACAACCAGCCAGAATTTGGAAGTGGTGGAAGGTACTCCTTGTTTGTATGCACACAATTGACTATCAAAACTGAATGCTACCTGAAAGGGATTCACATTTTCAGTTTAAAGGATTTGTAAAAAGAGAGGCAGAGAGGGTATGAAATGGTTTCTTTTGACCAAGCTCATTTGAAAACAAAAAAGCCTTTGCATTTATAGTGATTAGTGTGTCATATAGCTGTCCCTATCAGATTTAACTAGCTGGCCACGACAGATTGACAAGATACATGACAGTGTATAGGCTAATAGGGAAATCAGGAAGTTGGTCAACTTCCTCTTTCTTCATTTTGTACTAACTATGAATAAGGGAAGTAATATGTGCATGGCTGGTTTTAAATAGTACAAACAACTGGGTGGGGACTGGACGCTGATAATGGTCCGAGCTGAAGGCAAGGGACATTATCGGTGACCAGGCCCTTAGCTGGTTTTATACATACTCATTTAATAGTCAAGCACATACATGTAGTTATTCCTAAATTCATAAATACCTTTCAGTCAAAAAGTCAAACCAAGTCAAAAATATAGATTTCCAATGAATTTGTTCAACAAGCGTACTTCATGTTTTGTGCCTCGCACAAGTAAAATCTCTTTACTGTATGTGTAGATTGGCGCGCCCGTGGCACATACTGTGCAACGTGGCCAGTTTTAAACCGTTTAAAACCACCAACGTGACGGGCTCTTGACCAATAGGAATGAGTAAACTGTCTTATGAATCAGTGATAATTGCAACTGACATAAACATTTCAAGAGGATGATGCTGTTTTCATAGTACACATATACTGAAATTTGTATCCTTGTGGAGACATTTCTTGTTCTCGTGTACTTAAGTTTTTGAGTTTGAAAGTACAGTTTCAAAATGCTCTTATTTTAACCAGAATTAATTTCCTTGGCTGAAATTTGGACTTATCCCTTTTCTAAAACTCTACCATTTGCGACAGATAAACATACTTTGGAAATTCCTACTTTTTGAGTAAAATCCATGTATCTATTTCGTGAAAACCTCGTGGAGACATACCGGTATTCATCTATAGAAATTGCCCTGTGGAGACGTATACAATCTTTTGTTCCCTATTGTACACATGAGGGTACGGTGTATCAGATCGTTACATACCTAGTGTGTACCAGCGACGTTGTGTGGACTTGCTCACGTCCACACAGTGTTTCCCCCTCTCTGGAAAACGGGTTTAGAGGCATTTTTGGGTTGGGTTAATCTGCGGCAAAAATTGAAGAAAAAAATTGGGTTGAAAGAGTTTTCACAGTGTGAGTAAAATGATTTTTTTTCACCGGTTTTTCTTAACGACATGAAAACAAAAGAATGTCCACACTACATATGTAACATAAACATGTATGTGTTGACAGTGTGTTGACGGTATGTTCATACTAATTAGTATGACCCTATAGGAATAACTTCACAATAGACTGATCCATGATGAATCCCTGCCCACATGGTGTTCTGACCAATCACAGTCGCGGCTTATGTCTGACATGCCTGCACAAAAGTCTAACATGCGTGCATGTGCTTATTGTGTTACATACACTGCAGGAGTATGTGTAGTATAAAAGCATGACCCCAAGCATTACAATATACCACAGCTAGCCACTGAGCAGAAAGTTTCGGCAAACAAATTGGGGTCAACCTGTCCCATGAGCTATTGCTTACTATTGCTACTGATGCTCTGTAAAAGTTGTCCTTGCCATAAAAAAATATGCCATCAGCTATGCTATGGTCATGATGGCATGGTGTAATTCCCAAACCCTCCCCTGCCACTGTCCTTTTTTTTTTCCACTATTGAGGTTTTCCAACAAGAAGCATAAAATAAGTGATAATCTCATTTGCAGGTTTTGGCCAGCTGCCAAATCATTTATGACCCACTTTGCCCAATATCAGGTATAAATCTAGCATGGCAGATCTGTGACCTACATGTAACCTAGTTTCATAAATGACTTCCCAGCAGAAAGACACACGTTGATCTACTACATCATGGTCATGTATAGAACAGACTCCTTGCTGGGGAGATATAAAATGCAGTTGTCATTTTAGACTGATCAGTAGATCTTAAAAAAATTGTCTTTATTAGCATTGTAATCAAATTAAAATGTTGACATTGATTTTGTCCTTTTATTCACAGTAAGTAGATAGATGTTAATTTTCTCAAAGAATGGCTTTCGAAATGTGTCACAATAAACTTTCAGTTTGTACTGGGAAAATAAATCTAAGGAAGGTGGTTGTGTTTAGAAAAGTCAATTACAAACCATCAAGTGTCCAAGTGAGGTGTCTAAAAGAGACGTACATGTGTATGTATGGTCCACAGTACAACTATTAACAGCCTTGTTATTTGGTCTTGTCTTTCTTGCCTAGATGTCTTGTGAAGAACAGTCCGTCATGGCCAACAACCATGTGCAGTCTCAATCCTCCTCTTACTGGCCTTTCTGTAAGATGCGATTGCCATCATTACAGAACTGTATCAAGTTTGGTATCATCTTCTGCCTTGGTTTCCTGCTACTACTAGCCAATCAAGACACCTGTATCAATACAAACAACCAGCAGTCTGCAGTCCCCAAGCCCATGGAGCAGGTAGTATCTCTCTTTATAGGCTAATTTAGCACACTAAATTCAAAGCCAATCCTGAGATGGAACCACGATCACATGAATGTCGCACACATTCTGGTAATCCTATAGGTCAAAAGAGCATTAAGTGCTCACATACCATCCGTGAGTGTGAGTGTGCGTGTGATGGTTCCACCTCAGTAATATCTGGACTAGTTTTGCACCTCCATTCTCTAAACCTCTTGCTGTCACTTTCTATCCCAAGTGGGCAGGATGAGCAATTCCTGACATGAACAATCCCTTATGAACCATTCCTTGACCACTGCATGAAATTGCCCTCCCACTTGGTCTTCCCTTTTGACCTTACCCAAAACTAGAATGGTTTTACACCTTCAAATTCAACTTCACTTCACCACTATATACATTTGTACCGAAAAACAGTTAAGAAACGTATAGATTATCAGCTAAATATTTTCATATTGAATAATTGTAAACCTCTTAGTTTCATCTTTTCATTTGTATTACTTTTCTTAAACAACTAGTGCTGCAGCCTAACCGCCGTACCGAACTAAAAATAGCCGAACTTGGCCTTAATTTTCAAACTCGAACCGAACCGAACCGAAGTGGTCAGTTCGAAAGTTCAGCAAGTATTTGTTGATAGCGCTAGGAATGCTAATGCTTGCAACGAAAGGGCAAAATTAAAGCACACGGATGATTGAATTTACCGTGTTGACAAGTCACCGCATTCATCTTCATTATTTGCAGTGTTCTAGCCAGGCATACAATACAATATATATCGGGCCGATACGCTTTGAAAAAATTGTACGCACCTGCGATTCTCTCAATGAAAAGCACATGCTTTTTGCATGCTGTGTTTTAATTCCAGCGCGGCCGATCTCTATCCCCGACCCCTAGGCCCTGCTGTGTTCCAGCATGAAGTAGTACGTCTTGACCAAACCATTTGCGGTGAAGGGTTTGCTTTCCTCAGCACAATTTACCAGCGTTTTCACCTTGTCATAATTACAAATAACACTTTTTATGGAGTCTGAAACCTTTCCCTTGTTCAGAATAAGCTTTTAATCGTTGCAATATATTTTTTTTCATAAAGAATTTATACGAAAAACGATGTACAGGTACAGTACATGTAATCTCCCAAAAGAGGGTGAAGCACCCCTTTACAAAACTAATTGATTCGTCCACAGAATGAGAATTTGATGAAAGTCGTGAATCGAAAAGTTGTATTTTTTTACGGTAGCTACTTCTTGTCAGCTTGTTGCTAAAAATAATTATATGTGTATGATTTCATAAGTTTGGTACAGTAAAAGGACATTTTTGTTCTTTGTCGCAATTATTGCCGCGGAGCAAGTTTTTAGTGCTCAGGGCATGCTTGGACGGGATGGAACTGGTGGGGAAAACACGTGTGGGAAAATTTGATCATAGATCACCGGGATAGGGCCGAGATAGGTAACATGTAGCAATTTACGATGTTCAGTACTCAACATCATAAACTCAGATTATTAAAGTATTTTGTTTACACAACAAAAACGAGATTCCTCCTTGGAAATTGCGATGCTACTTCTGTCAGATGTGCGTGGTACACACATGTTTGTTCGAACCGCTGAACGTCCTATAAAAATATGCTTTTCATTGTAGGCCTTTTCATTGTACCATGGACATGTACATTATGTATGTACTTCCGAACCCGAACTGAACTGATGTTCGGAGAAAAAAAAATTGAACCGCAGCCGAACTGAACCAAACCGAACTTTGAGGATCAGTTGCAGCACTACAAACAACTTCCTCTGAGATTATGACTGTTTTGTGATTTCTTTTATTTTTCCAACCAATTGTTTCAAACAAAGCAAACTTATTAGTTAAATGTAATGATTTTTTGTTCATCAGGTTGACCAATCTCTTCAGGTGAAATCTCGTGACATCCAATACCATGATGATTGCATTGCTTCGCTAAGTGAACAAGAAGAGAAGCATAGCCAGGAAGTAGCATCCTTAAAACGGCAGATCAGAGAATTGAAACGGGAACTCAAGAAGCATCTGAGTAATACCCAACAGGTGGAGGAACCCCAAAAATATAAAGATCTAGAAGGAGGGATTCGAGCCCAACGCTCCAGTGATGTGGATAACCATGATGATTTATCAGATTTCATCAGACAACAAATGGCTAAGATTGAAATGCATAAACCTCTCCAGAGTGAGTATGATGTAGTGCCTTTCAGCAGTCTCAACTCCAAGCTTGTCTATTCCCTAGAGAGCGGCTTATCACATCGTCCATCAGAGAGACCTCGAGGTGATAAAAAGGAGGATTTAGTTGAAGCTGTGTATTTTGCAATTGATATATTGAACAAGAAAAAAGACAACACTTTCAATAGCTTTTCAATTGATAATTTTGTGGATGGAATATTTAAATCCGAGAGGACTATTGGAACATATTACAACTTGGTATTTCGTGGTACACAGGAAAGCTATTATCAAAGTGTGGAGATTTTACGGCCATTCAGTCCGCTACAAAAGCTACGATCTCAGATTATAGATACTAATAAAATACTGGTAAATATTATCATTCCTTTATCAGGCAGATTAGACAAGTTTCAGTCCTTCATAGAACGGTTTAAATCGGTCTGTTTGGACAACAGGATGCATGTATACTTAACAGTGGTCTACTTTGGTGAAGAAGGACTGAGTGAAATTCATTCAGTCCTCTTCAATATGGCCCACCAGTATAACTTCCACAATTACAAACTTATACGGCTTAATGTCACATTTTCTCGTGGGCGGGGCCTGGAAGAGGGGGTGCAGAATTGGGATGGAAGTGATGTGCTGATGTTTTTCTGTGATGTGGACATAGCATTTACTAAGGAGTTTATTGAACATTGTCGCTACAACACAGTACCAGGTAGGACAGTTTATTACCCTATTGTGTTTAGCCTGTACAATCCTAAGATCATCCATACCATTAATGATGCTATGCCTGACACTCCACAGTTGATGATTCATCATGAGATGGGTTTCTGGAGAGATTTTGGTTTTGGGATGACTTGTCAATATCGCTCAGATTTCTTGAGTATTAAAGGTTTCAACATGGATATCAAGGGTTGGGGTGGTGAGGACGTGGATCTCTACAGACGATATATTCAGTCTGATCTCAAGATCATTCGTGTTACTGATCCAACGATCTTCCATCTATATCACCCAAAAGTGTGTCAAACAAACTTGACTGCTGAGCAGTATCGTATGTGTATCATGTCACGAGCTGTCAATGAAGCATCACATTCACAACTGGGAATCTTAGCATTCAAGGATAAGGTCAATATGACACTCTTTCATATGGGACAGATAAAACACACGTGGCTTGGTGCTATTCAGCCTCCTCAGGATAAAGTATGATATATTTCATGACAACTCTTTTAACCCTAACTTTTTTGCTAGGATGCAACCTCAATCCTGCAAAATCCTCCAACTGCCCCCTTGTAAAAATTGCATACAGCGTCAATCCTTCAAAATCCTCCTTTATTTTTTGACTGTGGTCCTTGGAGGGGCGGCCACTGCCTCAATCCTGCAAAATCCTCTGGCAATCACTTTCAGTATGTTGAGGCAGAGCCAGTGACATCCTGGAGCAGTGCGGAGGGTTTCAAGTATAATCTAGGCCTAAATGTATGCACGGCTGAGCATAAACAACACAAGGTCTGGCCCAAAGCCTTGACACGGTGTATCCTTCAAATCAGCCACACATTTTTGCCATATAGCTTCAATCCTGCCAAATCCTCTGTTTTTGAGAATTTTGGAGGATTTAGGAAGGTTCTTGACAAACAAAAAATATATGCATATCATTTTTTTTTTGGGTGGGGGTAGTTATATGAAAGAAACCATGAGAACCCAGTTGTCCAAAAATATACATGTAGTTTTGAATATTTCAGTAATGTTTTAATGAATGTAAGAAATTATGACAAAAATACCAACAAAACGGTACATGTATGTATGTAAAGTTGGCTGAATGGAATATTACCTGCCACTAATTGGCAATGATAAACTATCATGGCTTGCACCCACCATCATGTCCATCCAGCGAGAGACATGCAGACAGAGTGGGAAGCAGTGAAATAAGGACAGGTAGCTTGCTCTACAATAGTTATCAATGCACAATGCATTATTTGGTCAGCAATCAGTTGCATAGAGCTAATAACTTAAAGATGATCTTGGTTTAGTCATCAATGCATACATATGTATTCAAAATGACCTGACTCCATGTAAGCCACAAAGTAACCACAACAATTCCTGAACAGAATACTGTACCATTTTGAAAAGATTGACCTGAACTCTAGGGGTGTGCATTGGAACCGGGAATCCGCTGATGTCAGGAACTAGTTCCAAATGACAGAATCGGGCACCCGTAACCAACTTTACAAATTACTTATTAACTTCTCAGACAGTGAAAAAGAAAGTTTTTAATTGTATGCCATTTTTTAGGGAATTTTAAAAATAAAAACAAGGCTACGTGGAAAATTTCAAAACAGATTTCACGTTTATGTGCATTCTAAAATTGCAAATCCTTTCATCCGCACTGTACACACTTGTATCTTGCTGCACTGATGCACCGATGTGGAAGGGTTATTGTGCGCGCCTTTATGAATAATCTAAACAGCAACTCCCGGGATTTGAATTCTGGGTTTGGATTGACTTTTCTGGATTTCATGTTTGACCTCAATAGGGTACCCGGTTCCTGGAATACCCATAAATGTAAACCCCTACTCAACTCACCATCTTCAGCAACTGTATTGTATTTCATCATTAGTTAATATTTACCATCAACCAAATAATGTATGTAAAAACATATTTTATTTATCAGTATTATCAATTTATTTTATGATTGAATATGTCTGTTGGGAGAGCTCCAGTCCAGTGGAAGTTCCAGTCACACTTTGTTTGAATCATCGTTGTTTAAGTAAAAACATAAATGTTGCATTTGTCTGTTTATTGTTATTATTATTATTTTATTTCTGGTAATGAAACCAGGGAATCCTTGACACCTCATCTGAATGTGAGCAATTTTGGTAAATGTCCATGTAATGTATCAACTTCTCAAGCGGTAATCGTAATTTAGCATTTGTGGCCATGGGTTCAAATTTGCTTTGCAAATAGTGTGCTGCTGTAAATAGCTAAATCTAAAGGAAAGAAAAAGAAGAAAATTTGTTGATTTCATCAACTGGTACAAGCGATTTAACTTACTTGTGCAGCCTTGATTTGAATCAGGGTAGATTTTATGTCAACATTTGTTTAAATATGGATTTTGGTTGCATGTATTTTTATATCCTATAAACAGACTTTAAAAAATCCTCTCTTAAAAAAAATAATAATAATTGCTGCAAAGGGAGAGAGAGCAATAACAGAAGAAGTTTGAATACCAAAAAGTGTGTTTTATAAATAGGTCTATAATGCAGCGAAAATTGAGCATTTTTGATAAAGTGTACATTTTATACTGTTTACCAAATCATCTTACCAAAATTTCACCAGCATAAATTAATCAACCAAATGAGTATTGACTCACCAGAGTTTAGGCCATCTAACGAACCTTGCACACAAGAATTAGTCTGCCAACACTTTGACCTACATGTAAGTAATAGCAGTATCACGAGTATGTTGAAATGCAGAGGTTTTGTCATGATGTTCATTATACATGTAAGTGTTACTTGCTGAGTTAAACTGAACAAACTGTGTGTAAAGCCACCCTCAGGTGGACCTTGTGACGACACAGAACAGTCAGAGACTGACTTTTAAGAATCAAGCTGCACCTGAGCTATGACCGGAAGAACATTTCAGTCACCAATTGCAACCAATCACCAAATTTGCAACCCGAGTGCAACTGCGAAGATATTAAGACGAACTTCATCAGTCAGCGCAATTGTTATCATTAACAATCCTTTAGATAGAAAAATCTCGGTAAAATACACAGTTTGAAACACCTTCCATCATCCACATGTGCGCCGCCATTTTGAACAAGCCATGCGATCCATGTCTATGCCACGCACTGGTAATTGTTGTCGTGGGTGACATGAGAGTGGTTGCGATTATTCTGTGTCGAGATGTCACTTGTTCCATTGATAATCACAATTTCTCAGGTTTGTGACCCGAAAATGAGTGTTGCGTTTGACGGTTTCGTCACAACGCAAGCAAATTGCAGGTCGACCTGAAGAACGGCATGAGGTTTGGGCTTGGAAAACCTTTCAAATAGCCATCAGGTGATAACAATGTTTTTCTATCTAAAAATAGTTAACATCTTCATGCATACAATCACATAATTTGACTTGTACCAAAGAAACATGGATCTTTTACATGCGTCTGTTTCTTTCTTTCTTAGTTGGAGATATCTGTTTATTGTCTCTAGTGTCTGTTTTGATATGTGACGCATTTGATAGAATCCCATATATTTTTGAATAACTTTAACTTGGACTATCTGTGTAATTTCATAGGGAAGACATGTATTAAAATATTAAATTTTGTTATTAAGAATTTTTCTACCAAATTGTGCTTCTGAAACTTTAGGCCCAGCCTCAGACTTTTGATGGATGAACAAGGTCCCAGTCATGCAATAACTATTGAATAGTTACTGAAAATGTTGCTTAAAATTAATTTTAAAAAAATGTTTGTCTTTATCTTGTGGATTTTTTATTATTTACTTAAGGTTTTTTTAAATAGAAAAAGATGTATTTTAAGTTTATAATAAAAACATGCATCAAGTTTACGCCAACATGAATAAAGTAATGAATCTACAACATACATGTATGCATTATGCATTGCTGACCACAAAATGTGATTTGTTTGTTTTATATTCATATTCAAAACGTGCTTGTATTTTTGAGGAGACTCTTTTTAAAACCACAAGTTTAAACAGAGAATAAATATTTTAAAAGTATTACAAATTACAGATTTATAATAAAGGTGTTTGTTGTCATATTCAGAATATAAGTTTTTATGCTGAATGCCAGTGGATGTACATCTCGCAACAAACAATTGTGCAGTTGACAAGTGAATCCATGGAATCATTCCCAGACATTTTAAAATCCCACGAGTGCATTTTCAAAGTAAAACAAGTGCATGTTTGCTGCAAATGTTGAGATTATGCATAAAAGTTGAACCCCCATATGTAGAGATTCAGCAGGATTTTTGAATTGATTTCTTTGATGCATAATTCATTCATCTGGTCATGCATCACTAAGTTCCGTTAATTGTCTTAAAAATGGTATGTGAAAACCTTCTCGGGACAGTTTGGTGTAAAACATGAGCACATCCAGATGCAGGACAAATAGGTTCAAGGGCCATTTAGGTCTAACTTTATAAAAACGTGAACAAAATAGAACTAGAGGTTCGCATTTGATGAGATACAAACGCAGAGTGGTCGGTCAGACAACTATTTCATTACACACTGCCCAGTAAAGTATTATGAATATGTTTATGTCAGAACAAAGGATCACGAACTTTAACCTTTCCAGTACAACCAATTATTTTGTAAAAAATGCATCTTTTAGGGTATGATAAATTTCAGTATACATTTTAGGTACACGTACAAGTTATTTCCAGTTTGATGACATCATCAGTCAAAAAAAGGGAAGGGAATACTGATTTAGTTCAAGGAGGATACCTGTTTATCATTAAGTAAACATAACGCATGGAAGTACAGAAATTATAAGTGTATTTAATAATAACACCCAACTTCCGGTTTGATGACGTCACAGTATTTGCAAGCAAAAGGTCAACATTTAGTGTAACAGATGTCATTTTTTGGGCTAGGAACAAAGTCATGAGACAAGGATCATATGATGGATTTAAATTGAAAACAAAATAATCATTGTTGAATTTTCCCTTCAGTAACTTCCGGTCTGATGACGTCATCATTATGAAACCTTGCAAATTCATTTGTGGTTGCTCACGGAATATATAGGGGCAATTTGGTAAAATTTTTATTGAGGGTTTTAACATTTGATAAGGTTAAACTCTTTTTGATGTGCTGCTAGAGGGCGTCCTTTCGGGGGATGGCGTCAAGATTATGTTTTTTTGTGTTTGTCATTCCTCACTTAACACTTCCATAATGTATTTACATGGGCCTCGCCAGGATTTTTTCTAGAGGGGGGCAAAACATATTTTCCCCCAAAAAACTTGTATTTCTCAACATATTCTCAATTTATCAGTTTTAGAGGGGGGCAGGGACATTTTGCCCCCTCCCCAACCCATTAAATTTACACCACTATGACTTCGAGCCTCTTTCTCTTGTCTTTTTTTCTTTTCTTTTTTCTTTTCCCGGGGGGGGGGGGGGGGGGGGGGGGCAAGCGCCCCCTTGCCCCCCCCCCCCTCGCGATGCCCATGTGTATTTGTCTGTAGTAAAATGCTTCCGTTTTCGAGTTAGATTCAATTTACCAGGGAATAATAAATGTTGCTCAAGGCACCGTCTACAACCGCATGAAAAAATGAACACGATACTCTATTTAGTTCAAGAGATATAGCTCAAACTATTTTGTCAAATTGTGCTCTTAAATCGCTTGTAATTTGATACCTGATGATGTCATGATGACGTTACAAAATGTATAACATCTTCGTTACATGGTACAAGTTCACACTAGGTTTCATGGTCATCCTGTAAAACGTTCTGTAGAAATTTTGCTTTGTTTTGATTTCAGGCTAATGTTTTCATTTTGAAGTCACCTAATAACTTTGACCTTTCGGTAGACCCAGAAGTAAAGGTCAAGCAACTTCATGTACATGACAAAAAATGTTTATCAATTAATGGTCTATCGGATTTACAGAATACAAACATCATTGATTATTTTGTGCAAGAGTTACAGGTGAAAGTAGTTGGTCACTTTTTCAGCTAAAATCGCTTGTAATTTGTCACTCGATGACATCATCATGAAGTCGGAGTAATATGCACCACTGGGGATGAGGGTCGATGTATGTTGAAAGTTACAAGTTCATACCATAAACCATTTAGGAGAAAACACATGGAGAAGTATTGTCCAGAAAAAGAAAAGAAAAAAGAAACTAGAAATGTGTTTGTGGACAAACACTGAGCTGTTTCGACCGTTTTATTAATGACTGCCGTAAAGGAGTTTCATCCAGGTCGAATGAACATGTACATCCTGTAAACCGTTCTGTAGAAATTTTAGCGTATTCTATACAAAAAGTGTCCATCCTATGTTAAACAAAAAAACATTTTTCATGACGTCATGATGACGGCACACATTTTCTTTGAAATTTTCTGTATCTATCTACGACCTAACAAACCCTTTGCAAAAAAGAATTTTAAATCACGTTTTTTATGACGTCATGATGAAGTCACACATTTTACGAGATAGGGCTTTTCCGCATTATGATTTGTTTTTATCAATAATACGTCCCTGACTATGCATGAACTAAAATCTGTCAAAGTTAGCCGAAAATCGGCTAAAACGGTCACTGTCGACAGGATTTGACCTCAGCAACACGTGCGCTGCGCGCGGGCTGACTGACATACGATATGTACAACGTACGTGCATGTACATGTACAAAGCAGAGTTATTGTCAACCTGAAGTTTTAAGCGTGTGCAGGGTATGTTCGAGTAAGCTTATTGCCTCGAAGCTTTGAAATATTTTAGACCTACCCTTAAATAGACAATTAAAGTAAAAACTAATATAAAAACTGCCATGGTTGATTTTTCAGGAATTTTCTATGGAAAAAGGGTCTTTTCATTATAACTTCCGGTCTGATGACGTCATTCGCCTAAAACTTCGCACACGCCTTAAGTGGGTCAAGGTCATCATATACACCAATATTTAGGCGATTCCGACAAACTTCGCCACAGACATCTATTCAAAATACATTTTTGCAAATTTTCAACCTGTCGCTAGAGGGCGCTCGAAGATTGCATGACGTCATCGGTAGATGATTTGAAGAATACTATCAGCCAAGAGACTAACACCGTTTAAAAGCAAGTTCATATCTGTTACCACTTTTAAATAATAAGCCACTTCCGGTTTTGGCCTTTTTCGACCGGAAGCAAGGGTCACATGATTTTACGCACACTGAATGAAATAAAGACCTCAACCTACTCTACCACTTGCCGGCAACAGAATGCTGCGGACGCGTACGGTTGATTTCTTATGCGTTTTTAAATATTAAAAGTGTCACAATTTAATTGCCTATAAATAAACACCGGATGACGTCATCATGACGTCATCCTTACACAATGTTGTTTAAATTAGGGTCATTGCTTGGACAAAGATTGGTGTAAATGAATTACTGGCAAAGTGTCGAAAATGCCCTCTGAAAATTGACATTTTAAAAAAAAATTCTGTGTACAAAGTCTATGGGAAAAATTAAATATTCAAAATTCTATAATAAATCACATGATGACGTCAGCATGACGAAAAGTTTCAGCGCACATCTTCAGATGGTGGTCTAAGTGTGTGCCAGGTTTGAAGTCGATCGGATTTGAAAAAAAGCCAAAAGTGACTTGTAGAACGAAAACATGTGTTATCCTATGAGAAAAAAGTCTGAAAAACAAAAGAGAAAAAAAAAATAACAGAAACAAGAGCTGTTTCGGTGTGAACACCGAAACAGCTAATTATCAGAACAATTCTAAACAGTGGTTGGGTTGTGCCCGACCTGTCAATAATTGTCAGTTGATAATCTTAATCATTCAGGATTGGACACCTTACATGTATCACCTTCCACATGTCCACCTGCCCTTTTAACACAAAGGCTTCAGCAGTGACACATATCTTCCATTGCCCATCTCACCATTGCATGTTGATCACAAAATATTCCACCGCGTGCTAAAATGCAGGCCTGCAAATCCTGAAGGTTGGGAGGTGTATGGAGTGTTTAAAACCTTTTTCTTTAAATCCCTACTGGGTTGTTGTGTTCACATTGTTTTACAATGATAAAACCATGATAATGGTCACTCGGTTCATAGCTTGGTCATATCCCTTTTTAATGGGTTACTATTTTTGGAGACACCCTGTATAATAGTTGATAAATTTCAGTTTTTGTGTAATCAGCATGCAAGAGATTTCAGACCGTCAGTCCAGTCACATCCAGCAGCTCACACCCAGCTTCAGCCATTCACACAGCTGATGGGGCAGGAAGCAGCAGGACCAGATAACATCGTTGCAGAATCAATCAAGGCTGCTGTGGAAGACGAGCAGATTTTTCAGGCACTATTTAAGGCAGTCTGCTTGATGTGGGCTGAAGGTAAATGGCCACCATCTATGACAACTTCAGTGTACATGTACATCACCCTTCACAAGAAGAACGACTGCAACTAAGGTTACTGCAACAACTACAGAACACTCGCGTTGATTAGCCATGCAAGCAAAATAGTTCTTTACATCATGCAACACCGGCTTGCAGTGGTTGCTGAGTATGTCATTAATTCTGCTCAGTGTGGATTTGTTCGCGGTAAGGGCACCACCGATGCCATCTTCACCCTGAGGGGAGTTGCAGAGTCTCTTCGAGTGGTGAAGAAAGAACTGCATTTGGACTTTGTCGATTACAGGAAGGCTTTCGACAGTGTCAACCATGAACTTCTCTTTGAAAAATTACGCCTTTTCGATGTTGAAGAAGATGTGTCGTGCCTCATCCAAGACCTCTACATAAATGCCGAAGGAAGTCTTCCCTGGAAAGGTGGACTGACTGATGAATTTACAACACCAGCTGGTGTAAGGCAGGGATGCTCCCTCTCCCCTTCACTGTTTAGCTTGTACACAGAGTCACTCATGCAGGGATGGTACCAGCATACAGCCCATATTTGTGCACCTGACGTCAATGGCATAGAAATAAAGGAGCCGAGATACGCCGACGACCTAGTCACATTCTCACTGAGTCGCACAGATGCCGAAGAGTCACTGCAAATACTGGGGGATCTCCAATGAGAATGAGCTTGCCATACATCCAGGGAAGACAACATATGGTTGTAGGGAGCGTGGATGGAAGCAATGACAACATCTCCTATCCCCCGCGTCAACACATTCAAGTACCTGGGTGTTACCATCAATGCCAATCTCGATGACAGCCTCGAGGTACGAATGCGTATTGGCATGGGAAAAGCCACCTAGAGGAAGTGCAAATACCTCCAATCCTCACGTGTCTTGTAGAGAGGAAAATGAAGCTAACAGATTTATTGATTATGTCCCATGTTTTATACTGTGCCAACACACTTACACTCCAAGCTTCAGATGTCCAGCGCATAGACAGCTTTGGAAGATACATCTGGCGGCAGCTACTTGGAATCTGCTGGTCAGACCTTGTCTCAAATGAGAGCCTCAAAACACTGATCGGCAAGATGGTGTCTCACTGCCGACACAATCCAAGAACAGAAAGCCACTTGGCTTGGTCATGCAGTACGACAGGGTGGTCTTGCAGCGGCAGTGCTTGATAGAACCCCACTTGGATACCATCGTGGTGTCGGTGACCTAAACTCTGTTGGATCGACGGCCTCACCAAGTGGAGTGGCCTCAGCTTGGCTGAGCTAACTGCTGCAGCACTGCACCGACGCAAAATTACCCCAGCACCAGCCACAAAACTCAGAAGAAGTGGACAGTTGTTGCGTCAACGGCCAGTAGCCTACAAAGTCTGAATTGCTTGACATAATTCAGGTCACGTTTCTGTTTCCAAAAACATTGATCAAAAAAGTGTGTGCTGTCATTGTTTTTAAGTCTCAATTGAACAAATGTGGGTGCTGTCATTGTTTTGACTTCCTAGGAGTCTGTCTATAAGTGGCTCACGATTTGATGGCTTTAACCAATGCTTGAAGCACGAACAGGCAATGAATACCTGTAGCAGATAATAATTAGTTCAAGCAATGTTACACATGTGAATATTTCTTAACCCGGACCTTTGAAATGTGAAACAAACAAAAAACTCTAAATTTTGGCAATCTCCGGACAATAGTACACCTTTAACCCTTTGATGAACAGGGCAGTCACTGCCCCCCCCCTCCCCCAATAATCCCTGTTATGATATGTGTATTTAGTACATGTAGTATGAAAGATTAACAATTAACACATCAACCCGGATCCAGTTAAGCTGCTCTTGCCATATATATTTTATTACATTTGAGTACTGACATTACATTGTGATGAACAAAATATAGAGCCAAAATATACAATGCATTCTACAACAGAAAATAGTTACATACGTCCCATCACAATAAGTATCATGCACATATACATGAGGAATTCAAGCTTTGGGTTGGGAAATTATCATAAGGCTCCCATCCGTCAAGGTTGTCTGTCCATGGTTTATGTGTTACATTGTCTCTGAACTGCAGACATACTCGGTTGATCAATGGCGTGACTTAACTGAACTGGACTATATAATTTGACATTTGCAAATCTTGTTTCATTTCATGAAGGAGAAATCCAATCAATGAAACCAAAGAACAAGAAATGTCTGCAAAGATTTGAGTTGCTAATGCTGATTTCATCTTCATGTACAGAGTACAATTGTGACCTTTATGAAGACAATGTGTGGGCATATTATGTGCAAGATGAGAATATGGTACATTATTATTGTGAAAAAAATATATCTTTATATGATTTACATACAGGTTGAAACATGAAATAAAGTGCATCAAAATACATCATAAATAAAGTGTCGGAGCATTCATAAATACGTGTACTAATACATGAGTAGTACTATTTTTCAGGAAAATCGAGGTATACATGTGCAAGAAAGTATACACAAATGTACATATATGTTGTAAATATACGCAATTTAAAATGCATGAAAGCAGGAGGATTAACAGCATTGTATGACCTGATGAAATGAAGTAAATGTATGTAGCTATACAGGGTGTATCAAATAAGGCTGATCCAAAAATAATGAATTAGCTTGTGAAAACTATGGACGCTCCCAGTAGGTCTATGGCAGCATCAAAAAGGAAGGTTTACTATCTTTCCATTACCAGCTTCCATGGATGACTGAAACCCATTGATTTCAAAACACAAGCTCCAAAAGGTCTTTGGCCAGGTTAATCTGATGTTATGGTGGCATGAGCTTTCTGAACAATGCACATCCCTGTGGACTGTGTGGGGCTTGCCCGGGGCTTGCCCGGGGCTTGCCCGGGGCTTGCCCGGGGCTTGCCCGGGGCTTGCCCGGGGCTTGCCCGGGGCTTGCCCGGGGCTTGCCCGGGGCTTGCCCGGGGCTTGCCCGGGGCTTGCCCGGGGCTTGCCCGGGGCTTGCCCGGGGCTTGCCCGGGGCTTGCCCGGGGCTTGCCCGGGGCTTGCCCGGGGCTTGCCCGGGGCTTGCCCGGGGCTTGCCCGGGGCTTGCCCGGGGCTTGCCCGGGGCTTGCCCGGGGCTTGCCCGGGGCTTGCCCGGGGCTTGCCCGGGGCTTGCCCGGGGCTTGCCCGGGGGAGTCCAAATAAGGTATCAAGGGAAAACTGATAAATCATCCTTTAATATAATAATAATAATAATTTGGGAGGCTAATCATCCTGGTATGCTGATTGCTGGTATGTAGCTGGTATGCTGAATTGCGAAGGACGCGGCTACAACATAGTCGGGCCGCTGGCACGTTAAGGCGCCTATGGCTGCCGGCCACATCGACCCATATATGACCACGGAGCACAGCCTGAGATAAAAAATGTTTGATTTTTCCGGAGGGACGAAAACCGGAGGGCCCGGAGAAAAACCTTCGTGGCACAAGAGAGAACCAACGCACAACTCTACTTGCATGTGATCCGCGGCCAAGATTCGAACCGTGGTCACCTTGGTGAGAGGCGAGCACTTTACGCACAAGCCACCCATGCCACCCAAATGCACCAAGTATTCAAATTTTATAATTTAATTTAACATACTAATCCATTATTTTTGGTTTACCTTTTTTTATACACCCAACACACTGTAGGCCTATGCATTTCATACAATGTTGTAAATGTACCGTCGTACAACATTGTTATACAAAATACACAGATGAGAATATATGTGTAGGTACTATAAATAAATATTAACTCTTGCGAAAGATACCAAAGATATTGCACATATATGTAAAGAATAACTGATGCAGTAAAACAAATAAAACGTTAGTATTAGGAAGTTGATAAACTAGTTTATACAAGTACATGTACTGGAAGTTTGTCAACTTCCAACTACATGTGGATCTAGTAACGACTACCCACGCAAAATGTGATATATTGGTATAATACACATAGGAACACATCTGAGAGAGTGCATCACAATAGGTAAATGATATACAATTTTCCTTTACATTCCCAGCATAAATATTTCACGTTGATAATTACATGTACAAGTGCAGGCAGCACACAAACAAAGCAGAATAATATATATGTACCATTTAATAAGATTAACTAACACCCATCTCACAAACCTAATTCAAGACAATTTTAAACAAAAGGGTGGAATTTTAAGTCAATTGTCAGACTGTCTGGTCGTAAATTTTCAGCTAAATATTCAGACTTGTAAGAAGTGATGTTAATTATTAATGATGTCACTTCTTACAAGTCACTGAAACTAATCTGAATATTTAGCTGAAAATTTATGACCCGACAGTCTGAAAATCTATACCAAAAGTGTTATCTTCAAATATTGCTGTAGTCCTAGGAAATTGAGTATCAAAGCTTTGAATGTCCGTGTTCTATTCTTTTAGGTATAATTTAGGAACATTCCTGATCAGATGGGAACCGAAGACATCGTGTCCAGACCAGAACTGCTCCCTTCCAGCTACATGTATATCAATACTTCACATTCCTAGGTTGAACAATCTGCAGTCCTCAGTTGTACGTTCAAGTGTTTTGAGTCATAAAATTTCTCTGAGACAAAACTAGAGGAAAAGAGTTCATTTCCCAATACCTCGAACTATCCATCTGAATAAGCTATTCCAAAGGACAATCAAAATCTTGTATCAAAATCATGTCATCATTGTGGAGCCTTTTCAAAAATACCAAATGCACATGAAATCACACAAGAATGTGTTAAGTTGTCTGGTATTCTGATGCTAGCAGAATTGTTCCTTTGATCTATGAGGACAGAATGCTACTCTAAGAAGTTTGTCCTATTTTAAAAGATTAAATGTGGTACATATTAATATAGTGATTTAAATTTTAAAACTGAAAATAAATAATGAATTTATGACTGTGAGTCTTTCACATGGAAGAAATCTCAGTGTTACAATAAAATCATCCTGAGTTACAAGCTACCTGATTAGATACAGGAAACTTCGTGTTAAATTCATTGTTAGAATGTCATACGTACATGTATAACAAAAGCTTCTTATTTCCTTTATAAATGTTAAATTTCGTTGCAATGATTATGAACCATACATGGATATTGTTTCTCTCCAACTACACATACACATACCATCAACATATTGTATAAAGTACATATTGCTTCAACATTCTAAAGTCACTGTTACACAACAAACATTTAAGTACTTACGTTGTGCATTCATGAATATACACTTAATTGAATCCAATTTCACCAATACTGTAATGTTTTGCTTCACCATTCCTGGGACACTTTCAAGCCTGTGTGTTCATTGCAATGGATCTAATGTACAAGCTTCATCAGGTTTGTTTTGTAAAGCTCTGAACATGTCACTTAAAATGACTGCACTGTGTGAAGTCTTAATATCCAAGCAAACTTTGGATGTTTGGAGTGTGCCAGTAGTGGTGAAAAACCAACCCCAGTAAGATGAACAAGTTGGATTATTACTCTACACATTTAATGTGCTTCACCAGTGTCTTATGAGTTGTGCATATGATTTACTCTATCTTTACTGAGAAATCAGCGCTACAGATATGACTCTTCAAGACCCCAGCAGTCACAGTGTCAGCAAATGTTATGCATCTTTAATTTGCCCATGTCTAAATTTGGCACTTTTGGCAATGCTATGGCAAGTCACAATAGCATTTAGCCAAAAGCAGTGAATAATACTGAATCAATACTAAACCATGGAATGTGCCCCAGGAACCACGCAGGGCTCAAATACCCTCAATAGTTCTCATTGTATCTCATTCGTTGTAAATCATTTGACAAGGTGACCTTTTGTATACAAGTTAAAAATCACACTGATAGTCCATGGTTGCCCAACAAAACCCCTCCTTTCCCCAATTTATTCTCCACAATTCATCCAAGAATATCATGTTCACTTCTATAAAATACACAACTGTATTAGATATTCCCTATTACTTAAAAATGAAATAAAAATATTGATTCCACTAAAATGATTCAAATCGTTGATTTTTTTACATAGTTAAAACTGCTGTGATTACTCTTCCCAGCAATGTAAGCCAGTCTTCAAAAAAATGTGGCTGTTAAGAAAACCCATTTCGATTTGTTACTTTTCTTGTTCACTTCTTTATTTCATTAAGTTATCAAAGAAATTTTTCCAACTTTCATACCAGTATGTTGTCTTTGCCCAAGTGTTTAAACTACTTTTACTCTTTCAGTTTTAAACGTTTCTGGTTACACCTTTGATAACAATGTCATTACTTTTATATCCTTTAAGGTTTGATCTAAGACTGACACTGACGTTATGTGGAAATGAAATGCCTTACAACATCAAGGTGTTTGTAGAGGAATGATTACCGGTCATTTTCTTAGATGTAGTTTTCCAATTCTTTCATGAGTAATTCCAGTTCCCTGGCAGACAACGCTGGAATCACATTATCTCTCTCCAGAACAAAGTTACACTCGGTGGCTTGCATGGTATCATGGACAGTACAGATCTGCATTGAAGGGAGATAGTTAGGTGCTGATGCTTGCACCTTGTAATCCCGTGGACTACCATCTGCATTAGCAGTCAGGAGACGCCAGTAATCACCCTCCTCAGCTGTAGGCAAAACATACTATCTCATCATTTGGTTGAAGGAAATCAAGCATGGCAATAGATAGGCCCTATAACTAGAGAAAAACATGTCTTGCAGGCAGTCATGTGTCACAGCATTTATTGAACGACTGCAATGTACATTCTGTGGTGTATTATATGGTTTTGTTTTGCTATTGAATCTTCAAAATTAGTCAAAGTTTACCACACTAAAGAGGCTGAACTTTAACACTAACTCCCTAGGCCTTTTTGCTAGGATATAGCCTCAATCCTGCAAAATCCTCCAATTGGCCTCATGGAAAAATAGCATATAGCTCCAATCCTGCAAATTCCTCCATTTTTTCTTGAATATGGTCCGTGGAGGGGTGACCACTGCCTGAATCCTGCAAAATCCTGCGGCAGTGACTGTCAATTTGTTGAGGCTTGGCCAGTGACATCCTGGAGCAGAACGGAGGATTTCAAGCATAATCCAGGCCTGTATTTATGCATGGCTGAGCAAATACAACACAAGGTCCGGCCCAAGACCTTGACAAAGTGCATCCTATGAAATCAGTAACGCAGTTTTGCCATGTAACCTCAATCCTCCAAATTCCTCCACTTTATCAAAGAGGATTTTGAATGATTCAGGGCAGTTAGGGTTAAAGCATTGTGTATGTGTTATCCTACCTGTAGTGACATCATGGGATATTCCTTCAACTTTGATGGTAGCATGTTCAATACCCACACCATAAGGGTCAGTCACTAACCCAGCAATCCCTATGTGGCTCTGAAAAAAAATAAGATACAATTCATTTTAACATCTGTTTTATGCGATTAATGTATAGTATGCACAGTATTTTTGACTACCTAATGTTTATGAAATTAAGTCTTTTGCTGCCCTTGTAAAGTTTATATTATAAAAGTTTATTAAACAGTGTAAATGTTCTTTACAATTCCGCTGCTGGCGGCGAAAAGATATAATAATAAACCAATTAATAATACAACAAATAACAGCGTTGCTGTTGAAACCCCTCAGCCAGAGTCAAGTTATCATCCGGAAACCATTAACCTTTAACTCAACATGGTGACCTTGACCTTTGACCCAAAACCAATCCCAACTTGCCTACTCCCAAGGGCAACCCCCTACCAAAGTTAGACACCAAAATCTCATTTCTAACTCAAGTTATCATCCGGAAACTATTTACCTTTAACTCACCACAGTGACCTTGACCTTTGACCTTTTGACCCCAAAACCAATCCCAACTTGCCTACTCCCAAGGGCAACCCCCTACCAAAGTTCGACACCAAAATTTCATTTCTAACTCAAGTTATCATCCGGAAACCATTTACCTATAACTCACCACGACAACCTTCACCCTGACCTTTTGACCTCAAAACCAATCCCAACTTGCCTACTCCTAAGGGCAACCCCCTTCCGAAGTTACAATCCCAAACAACATTTCTAACTCCAGTTATCATCCGGAAACTAAGCTGCTGGGACGGACGGACAACCGGGGTGATGGCATTGTAGTCCTTTATCCCTTTTTCTAAAGATTTCACATCCGGGGTAATGTTTTTCTATAGATTTCACATGTGGGGTGATGTCCATGAATGAAAATCACCCCACATGTGGGGTATGGTCAGGGCGGGCGGACGGACAAACGGACGTTCCAGCCAGACGGAATTGTGGGGTGATAGCATTGTGTTCCCATTATCCCTTTTTCTAAAGATACTCTTCTGGGGTGATGTTTTTCTATTGTGAAAATAGTGGGGTGATGTGTCCTGAAAGGAACATAGCCCCACAAGGGGGGTATGGTCAGAACGGTACGACATACGGACGGATGTTGTAGGCGATAACAATACCCTTGAGCCTCTCGGCTGAGGGGTAAAAAATTGTTCACTATTTCAGAAAAAAACAACTAATAATACCATCATGGTTTAAGCCAAAAGAAATGTTGTTTTGAAATCAGTGAATCATTAACAAAAATTCATGGGACCCACTATCTCCAAAAAGTCTTCCAATGAAATTTAGTTTTCACCAAAATTACAGCACAATAACAATAAAAATTAAGCAAATCTGATTGTTTAACAATTGCCAAATGTGTTGACACAACTTTGGATCAGTGCACAGCTTCATGGCTCTGCTAACCACAGAACTCCAAATTTATAATCAACATTCTGTGCTAATGGCTCCAGCTTAAACATTTGGTGCTAACCCTGTAAGCACACAATCATTTGTTAAGGGATGTACGCAGAGCCATGCAATTGGGCCCTGTTTCAAACCAAAGGTCTGGTTCAGCATGGAGTTGGCATTTCTAGGAACCACAGCATCAAGCTCATATCTGTTTGTTTGGACCCACATTGAAGGCAACTCAGGTTTGGAAATGGTTCTGGGATGGGTTTCAACTCTCATGCAAGAATCTTGACACAAGCAAAAAGAGCTATTTATGATTTTGGTGCAAGTTGACATTTCAAACTATTACAATGTATATCCATGTAGATTCCATATTATATCAAATAACAATAAACAATTGTGGGGATTGACACAGGCCCATCCATCCTAAAAACATGAAAGGAACTAAGTTCTTCAATTCAATGAGAATGACATACCATGTTTATAAACTTTAGAAGTGCTGGTTTATTGTCCTCCCAGAAGCCTTGGAGTTTTGATGCTGGTGGGAATTTCTCACATCCCAGCTCCAGTGTCAGTTCAAAGCAGTTAGTATGAAGGTAGTTATAGTCTTGCATTCCTACAAAAATAAACATTATACACAATTTTTAATCCTCAGTCGCTCCAAAATTTGTTTAATTCATGAGCACTGTCATAGAATTGCGCTCATGAGTTGTAACTGCTTGACACACCTTTTCTAAACGCCATCAAGAAACCACTTCCATTATTCCAATGAACCACAATGGGAAACTGACGAGGTGAATTATAACACTTTTTGAAAAAGTTGAACCAAGAAATTGACTGGAGCTGGGCTTGAACCTGTGACTTCCGAAACTGTTCCAGTGCTCTACCAACTGAGCTATCCAGCCCAATGTTGGCGGTTCCCCAATTTGTCAATTTCTTTGTTCACTTCAAGTGTTGTGAGATGTGTTACCTCCTTTGAGTGGGTACCAGGCAGCCCCGTTGGTAATACCATCATCAAATGTCTGACCATCTCTGCCATCACAAGATTTCCTGTTTTCCTTGGCCATCTTAGCATGAGCCTCGGAGTAGGAGCTAGCGAGTTTGATGAATGTTTCATCATCGGGAGAAGCTGAAATTAGACAAGAACATCACAATTAACAGAAAGTTATAGGTCTGATTCACATGGGAAGTATCACTAGATGTGTTCCCAAAACTGTTATTTGATAACGTAATTAGGTGTTGGGCCTTGAGCCCAATACCTATTGGTTTTGTAAGATTTTACTGTTTTTATTCTTCTCAGCATTTTCTCAGGAAATCCTTCTCCAGAACTGTTTGGAGAAATGGAAACATATATGAACTTCATTTGTCAATACATGAATGCCCAATCCACCGAAGATGTTTTTTTTTTTGCAATTACGTCATCATGACGCCATCATGGGTCACGTGACGTCACTTGAACATTTAATAAATTTAATCTTTGAAATTCCATATAAAATCCACCGTGAGAGACCGGAACCTGACATTTGCGGGAATCGACATGGTAATACATGATCTTCATTTTATGTTGTGCGCGTAAAATCATGTGACCCTTCCTTCCGGTCGAAACCGGAAGTGCCTAATAATTTAAAAGTGGAAAAAGATATGAACTTGCTTTTAACGATTTAAGTGTCAGCCTGGATTGAACTTTCAAAAAAGTAATGGGTGACGCCATGAAGTTTTGAAACGCCCTCTAGCGGCAGGTAAAAAAAAACGTCAAACACGCATTTTCACTTGATGTCTGTGGCGAAGTTTGCGGTAATCGCTTCAAAGTTAATGTACATGATGACCATAATGCAGACAAGACCTGTGCGCGAAAAAAAATTGCTTCATCAGACTGGAAGTTACAATAAAAAGACCTTTAAATCTTAAAAAATTGCTAGAAAATATACCGTGATAGATATCATCAAGATTTGGCTGTATACAGCACAGTTAATATAGCTCTGGAGGTTTCTGGTAATGACGTCATAATGACGTCATCAAGTATCGTATTACAAGCAATCAAAGATTTCTAGATTTAATCTTTGAAAATCAATATAAAATCAACTGCTACAGATTTGATTTTGTTTTTTACGGCAATCGATAAAATATTGCAGGGTCTTCATTTTTGGTTTTAAGTGCAAAATCACGTGACCCTTCCTTCCGGTCGAAACCGGAAGTGCTTTATTAATTGAAATTGGCAGAAGATGCAAACTTGCTTTCAACGATTCGAGTGTCTGTCTAGGCAGTACTGTACAAACATTTTACAGGTGACGTCAGCAAATGTTAGAGCGCCCTCTGGCGGCATGTTAAAAAGTCAAACATGGATTTAAACATGCATATTTTGAGTTGATGTGTGTGGCAAAGTTTGGGGTAATCCATGGCCCAACACCGTGTGGTTGTTCCTACAACCTCTAGTTTGATATATTATTGTCACCGCTTGACTACAGGGTGGTGCAAAAAGGAAACCCACAAGTCACCAAAATCACTGTTGTCCACGTGAAAGTCTAGTGTTGTGTTTTTTGTCTTCAAATCAAGCCCTGGAGCTCAGTTAAGCGGATGAAATAAGCCAACCGTGGACAAACAGGTTTGGCACATGACACAAAATATGCATTTGTACTGAGAAAGTCAAACACAAGAATCTCTATACAATGTATTGTATCCTTATGTCATGTATTTACGTGTATCTTTACATAATGGATGCCCACAAATGTTTAAATGCCAAGTATTATGTAAGTTTACTTCAATTAGGGTTTGGGAGGCTGAGCAGATGTGCAGCAAGGTGGTTCCATGCCTACCTACCTTGGTACTGTGTTGAGCCATTAAAGCTAGAATCAAATGGGTAGTTAGCAACCAGATCACCACCATGGAGATTAGATGACAGTACAAAGGGATATTCCTGCAGCCATTCAATGATTGCAACGGTTTCTGGTTCAAGCTGGGGAAAAATTGCCAAGAAGTCAGGTGTGACAAATGCTGAACTCAATATATGTGTCTTTGACTGTAATTACTGTTGTACATGTATGTATACAACTGATGGAAAGTCTGTAATCTATCCAATAAGTTGACAATCCTCAGCATTAACAAAATAAATACAAATTTCTGGTCAGTTACTACATGTACATAACAATTTCTATATTTTTAAGTGATTGTGCCTTAGCCCTTTCCATCCCAAGCTATTCTATGTGGAGAGACAATATCATTCCACACAGCAAGTTCAATTTATTTTTCAATGTCTTTTTTATTCATTGCTGACCACAGGTACATCATTGTGTTGTACCTGTGGTAGTACCAGAGTATTTGGTCTAGAACTCCTGCCCAACACAACAACGTGCAACACTTGTAAAAGTGAGAAGCTTGCCCAGTGTTACAAGATCCATTACCAGTGGGTCAAAACTTCCAAGCCTACAAGTAGCCTGCCACAAGATACAACAGTGATTCAATGGGACAGGACTAGCTCCAATTATCTCACAACTGGTTCATTCCGGATAAGAGTTGCGAACTCATGAATGTTCAAAGTACATTTTCTACCAGTAAATCATTTTTTCTTGGAAAGTAGACAAACCAAGCTTTCAGAAACAGTATTTGTTTTTCTTCTACTGCACTTGGATTTATTTTTATCAAGACTTGAAGTTTCAAGAAACAGAAGTAGCATTTTCCTCTATTTTGTGATGGAAAATATGAGTTCCCCTCTGTTACAGTTCTTATGCTTCAAAGATTTTATTATTGGATGACTATGAAGTCTGATATCGTCCCTATCCACCACCATAGAATTTTAAAGCAAAAGATGAAACATGACAGTCTTGAGCCATTTTGAAAAAAAACTTCATGTTGCAATGTCCCGTCTGTCACAAAAAAAAACATGAAAAAGTTATGTAGTTTTTACATGAAAAGATATTTTTGGATCAAACTTGCATTCCTATCTTCTATCAAGGTGACCTCACCTGGAAAGTAATATAAAAAATATCCTTTGATATGTAGTTGATCTGAAATTTCATCTCAAAATCTGTCCCGCCTGTCACAATTTACCCTTTTGTTATGTTTTTGTCCTGTCTGTCACATTTTTTCAATCACCTCAAGGTTAAAAAAAAGTTAAACATAAGTTTTTTGTACACTCTTCTGGTTTTTAATATATTACATGTCTTTCTTAAAAATAATAAATGCTTGTGCCTACATTTATTCTGCATATAAAAATGTCCCGTCTGTCACGTCCCGTCGGTCACAACATTAATGAGACTGGTGTTTCCAGTTCCATGTTTTGAATTACTAAGTCAAGTGTTCACTGATAATTATTGGCATAAAAGTGATTAACTTTAAAAGAATAAAAACATTAAATTTCCCAGGGGAACAGATAGCTTTTTCCAACGAAAGTTTTCAAAAAATGGAGTGTAATTTTCATCCCGTCTGTCACACTGATTTTACTTTGTCACTATACAGCCACTGAATCCTCTGGTTTCATGGATTGTTTTTTAATTTGAAATATAGAGTGTTAACTTTTACCTTATGTATAACTTAGATGGTTACACCTTACAGATTGTTTTTGGCAGGCCTTTGAAAAAAAGAAGGTAGTGCAAAAGAAGGTTATGCACTGGTGTTGATGACTTTAACATTTGTACTGTATTGCATCTGGCAGAGTTAGGGATATTAAAATTTAACAAAATATTCAAAGACTAATAGCATCATAGATATTGTCATGTCTCATTACTGGATGTCAGCATAGAGGAAAGAAGAGGCTGACAGTTTTTATTCCTTCTCCTATCCTGTTAAAACTATGGTTACAATTAATGATAAGATACAATATTAATTAGTGCATTTTGAATTGAGCACGTAACTATTTATGCATTTCCTAAAAGGCCAAAACTTGCATGTGATGAAAACATTCCCAACAATAAAAACTATTGTTCGACAGGAGTCTGCATGTACTATGACAAGACAAGGTACCGGTAGGCAGAGTTAATGTACATGTAGATAGAGCATAAAACAAACTTAGGGAGAGTTGAGAGGGGTTTGGGAAAGATTGTGGACAGTGAAATGACAAGATTTGTTGAGTACCTCATGTTGTATATCCTCCATGGCTGCTGCTATGTGGTTGTTCTTGCCAAAGATTCGTGAGAAGTCATGATTTTTGGTTTTCAGGTACTGGACCAAATCAGGGAAATTACGGTTCAGATCAACGTCATTGTCATTGGTACGACCAGTCAGCCAGTCCCCATCTTCATCCAATATCACCTAGAAAACCAAGTATATTGGTACCAGTACATGTTAATTAAAATGAACTTTCTTAATTTCTAATGTCAAAGATACAAATGTACCTAAACATCTGTTATGGAAGAGGCAAAGTTCACAGTGCAGCCGTCTAGGCAGGGGGTATTTAGTTTCATAGAATTAGAAACATAACAGTCCCGAGACACCTTTCTAAAGCAAATTTTAAGATCTTGTCTCTTAAACCGGACCAAACTAGAATGGCGAAGCTGACATGGCTCACTGTCGGAGGCGGGAAGGGAGGCTGAAGGTACATGTAGGGTTGGGGATGGGCATGATGGGGATCAGGATTCTCGTTGATGTGCTAGGGTGTAGGGGTCAGTTTTTAAATGTCAACAGATGATCTAATAAATACATGCATGACATGTGTATATGTTAGCCATCACCATGGTCACTGCATTATGGCGAAGTTTTCCATTGTTAAGGTAATTAGGGCCTAGTTGTGGAGCCTTTTTGCAGCCCCCACAGCGTCTTCTGGTCCCCATACTTGTATAACCATGGGAAAACTCTTGTGTAGTCGCCACAAATGCAGAACAAGAATGGGTATACATGTACATGTAGACACATCACCATCACCACATGCCCCAAACCTTACCCCATCCCCGACCCGCCCCCTCCCCCACTCCAACCCCCTACCAACACCCATCCCTCCCTCCCCTATCAATCCCCACCCCATCGCCTACACATCCCAACCCCACCCAAACTCAAATCCCTATCTCCTTCCCCCCTCCCCTGACCCGTACCCTCCCCTACCCCAACCCCCTACACCCACCTACATGTACCTTATCTTCCCCCTATCCGTCCTTACCCACCCATACACATCCCCACCCTAACCCCTATTCGAATCTCAATATCCCGCCCACCCCATTACCCATACCGGTACATCCTCTCCTGACCCCAACCCCTACTCTGATCCCTATATACTGCCCCCTCCCCTTACCCAACCCCTACACCCACCTACCCATCCTCACCCACTCCTACTCAAATCCCTATATCCTGCCCCCTCCCCAACTCCCTCCTAACCCAACCCCTACACCCATGCCCATCTTCCCCCTACCTGCCTCCTCCTACATGTCTCTCCCTACCCATCCTCACCCACCCCTACACATCCCCAACCCAACCCCTATTCAAATCCCTATATCCCGCCCCCTCCCCGACTCCCTCCTAACCCAACACCTACACCCATGCCCATCCTCCTCCTACCTGTCCTCACCCCACCCCTACAAATCCCCAACCCACCCAAACACAGTATTCCTACCCCTATCCCGCACCCAACCCCACCCCACCCCACCCCATCCTAGCTCCCCTACTCATCCCACCAACCCAAACCCCAACTCCAACCCCTATTCCCCACCCCACCCCCATCTTCCCCTACCCCATCCCTACTCCAACCCCAAAAACTAAAAGATCAAACCAGAAGCTCATGCACATCCCCAAAATGCATAGTGTATACCAGTATACATACTGTACGTGTACATGTTATACCGGTATAAATACATGTACATGTTATACCAGTATACACATGTAACAATTAAAAACTTTAACATTTCCTTGAATTGAAATTTCTCAATAAAATCATAAAATTTACTGCTATGATATGAACCTAATTGAAGTTATAGAGATGATACATGTAAACTGCATTTAATTTTTTCCCCCAAGTTAGCTAGAACCAAAAACTTCAACATTTTTATCTGAACGCGGATGGCCGGCCGCCCGGACAGACGGACAGAAATTGGTATTACATAGGCTCGCTTCTGCTTCGCAGCTCGCCAAACATCCTGTGCTTACAGTTAATATTTGACCCAAGATGACATCATCAGGGATCCAGTTGGCAGTCGTCCTTGTTGCAAAATGGTGAATGTGAATATGTATGCAAATTTTTCGACATTGTATTTATAATCCCAATCAATTGGTGAGAAAACAAAAAAAGGCGAGAATATGTGTTTTGTACTTCTTTTTCCCACGACCATGGCTGTCAAGGTTTAGATTGGAATGTCACATTCAGTGAATTCAGTTAATTACTCTGGCTGCAACAAAAAAATCAAATACAATTATTTTGGATCAAATTCATCATGCTATAATGACTAACCTTCTGGTAAGCCTTTGCATATCCATCAGGATTCATAGATGGCATAATGTGGATTCTAGTGTTGTCAACCAGCTTTCTGATGTCAGCATCTCCATTTTTGTACATCTTACACAGATACGGGATCAGAATCAGAAGAATTTCACGACCTACAACTTCATTCCCATGCATGTTGCCAATGTATTTGAATTCAGGTTCACCTGAAAAGGATAATAAAGTCAAGCCTGCATAAGTGAAGCACTACAATCATCTTTTAGCTGCACAGCTGCTCACTACTTTAGAGGGTTTAATCATAATCCATCAAAACAATTACAGTGCCATTAAATTACACAGTTGCGGCTTTGTTTATAAGGAACAGAAATTAAACTTTTGTGTACTTTTTTTTTGGCCCATTGAACAAATTCAGTAGACTTGCCATGAAGTCTTTATAAAGCAAGTTTTACTACATGTATTGTTGTGGCAAAGAGTTTGCTACTGCACTAGGTCACAGGTTGTCATTTCAACTGATCTACATGTCATTAAGTACAGAAACTAAGAGGCATGCACTCACAATATACATAAGTTGCCCGATGGTCCAAATACATGAACCTACCATTATAAATTTAAGACTGCATACGATACATACCGTATATTACGGAAAACCATGAATGTGTAACATTCAATATACATTTGTACATGCATGTTTATATTTTGTTGGATAAACAATACTACAGCTTCAAGGCATGCTTCAGCAGACTGCCATCCATGCCAATCAATATGGGCACTGACCAATCACGACTTTTGGTCAATTAACTCAACAATATTTGCTATTGGCACGGTCCGCCATTAGTTTCATCAAACTTGGTCGCATACCCTGTGCGAAAATAGAAATGTACACATGTACACAAACTAAATGGATATGATGGGGCCATGTTATTTTTGAGGAAAAACAGGTCTGCAGTGTATGTTTCTTCTTAAAGCTATAGTCCATCATTTGTAATTTGTGCATTTTGTTCATTTGAAGCAACAAAAGTGCTCAAAATCTAAAGAAGGGTACTGAACAACTAACCTAATGAAGTTTCAGCTCAGCTTCAGCTGTATATTCCGAGAAAAACATCATTCTAGGATCTCAATTTCAAATCAAAAGTTGCTGAATCATGTTTTGAATTGCGCCTGAATTCAGCGTCCGAGACACGTTCTTGCTGAGCCGATTGCAGCTACACGTACACGATGTTGCGCAGCGATCCAACGAAGTATAGCAGCCGCGCGCGCGTGTGCGTCGTGCCAATGATTGCGCGCGCTTTGCCGAATAACAAAACGAACTACTAATTTAAATTTTCCTACGGTGCGTCATAAGAAGCACCGTTGGAAAGGCCTTCTTTCGTTGATTACTTCAAAATGACAGCTTGCCAGAAAGAATAATTTCACAGGGAGTTTAGTCCCCTTACTATCTTTCAACCAAGTATGTTTTTCAACAATAATTACGCCAGCTACTTTTCGGATAGCTGCAAATGATGGACTAGGCCTATAGCTTTAAGAAATGGTCACAATGTTGTTATCAAAACACAGATCAGACACTGTACAGTGTAGATACCTGGATTCACTGAATAAAGTTTTTTTTTCTATTTCAAAACCAAAAGCAAACCTTGGAGAATGTTTAAAATGGATTAACTTGTTTCAGGCCTGTACACGGTATTTCATGTGGGGAGGTGCATAGACTACAGACAATGGACCAACTTGCGCAAATAATTATGTTGACACATATTATGGGGGACCATATTTGAAAAGTGGGAGTGGAGTTGGGGGGGGGGGGAGAAGAGGGTGACTGGATGCCATCGGACTCCAGAGGGAGCTATTCAAACATGTATACAGTGAGTGTGACAGTTCCAGATCATTGACAGTTCCGGATTACTTGATTAAATAAAAATTAATTCAAGTGTAACCAATTTGTTTTTGAGATTTTTTTCATCAATTTCAATGTTTATAATTTTGCAAATTTTTAAAACATTACCCATAATGCAGTTCGGCGAAATATCCATTTTTTTTTGGTAATTGGCCTGTGAAGAGAAGCGCGTAAAGGCAAAATTCTGGTTTCCTCCGGTACAGTCCACATTTATCATTTTTTCTTGACTATATTAGGATTTCTTGTAAGGAAATAATCTAAGGTATCACAAAGTAATATATTTTGGCATTTGAGTTAACTGAATTGCCATATTCGCCGAAAGATTTTTATCCAGATGCGTAAGACAGCTGCATCACCCATGCATAGTGAAATCGTTCCCTGATAGTATGCAGTCTGCATGAAGACAGGCATGACACATGATGCGCGCACTGAGTGCGCCATGAATGATGAACTGTACATGTACATGTGTACATGTACGGTACCATGTGGCGCGGCATGCGTGATCCACAACTGTCGAAAGTGATTTGCAACTGTCAGGTTCAGTCCTGTACAAAAGCCAGGATTTATTTCCCTTTAAGTAGAGTCTATGTGAACATATTTTGTTTTAACTTGAAGAGGAGGAATTTTACTACAAAATGATGTCACTTGGACACAGAAACTCTGAACATGGGCGAGTGTACAGCGGTTTGTATAAAATGTGATCCGGAACCATACATGGGTTAAAACCGGTGTACCGGTAATTGTTTGGCTTTGCTCGATGTCGACAGCTGGTCAAGAACGAAAGTTAAGGCAATTTAAAAATCAAAAAAAAAAAATTTGATATGAATATCCACATGTCTGAATGCATGAGTGGTCACTACATGAATTCTACACATCTTATTAGGTATTGGGCCTTCAGCCCAACACCTATTGTTATTGTACGAATGTACTATTCTTGTTATTATTATTCTTCAAGGCGCATTGTTCTCCAGAACTGTTTGTCAAAATGAAAACATAGGCCCCCCTATGAACTTCAATTGTCAATACATGAATGCACAACCCTTGAACCCACTGAAGATGTGTTTTTTTGTAATTATGTCATTATGACGTCATCATGGGTTACGTGACGTCACTTGAAATATTAATAAACTTAATCTTTGAAATTTATTATAAAATCAACTGTGAGAGACCGGAATTTGAATTTTGCGGGAATCGATATGATAATACATGATCTTCATTTTATCTTGTGCACGTCAAATCACATGACCCTTCCTTCTGGTCGAAACCGGAAGTGCCTAATACAGTTGACTCTCGTTAGTACAAACACTGTTAATACAAATTCTGGTTATAGCAAACACAAAGCCTTGGTCCCGACTGTGTATTTATGTGCACAATGAAAAATGGGACTGATGTCCTCTTAATACAAAATTCTGATATAACAAACAATTTGGGTAGGTCCGAACGAGTTTGTATTAACGAGAGTCGACTGTAATTTGAAATTGGAAAATATGTGAACTTGCTTTCAACAATGTTAGTCTCTGCCTGTGTTGAACTTTACAAATAAATTATTGGTGATGTCATGAGATAATCGAGCGCCCTCTAGTGGCAGGTTAAATCATGTCAAAAATGCATTTTCAGTTGATATGTGTGGCGAAATTTGCGGTAATCGCTTCAAAGTTAATGCAGACAAGACATGTACATGTAATGTGCACGAAAAAAAAATAATATTACATCATCAGACCGGAAGGTTGCGTGTGTACAGCAAATGGGGGATCATTGCGTGCGAAATGGGTTTTGGGCCGCCATTCATTGTGCTTGCCTCTTGAGTGTCTGGTTTTATGACTGTAACGTACTATTCAGCCACATGTAACGGCTGTTTGATGGACCAATGTATTTTAAGTGTTTACCAGTGTTTTGTACACGTTTATATGACAACTTCTTAACGCAAGCACATTTTTGACTTCTGATGACGTCATATGATACTCAAAAATTGGGCTGGCAAAATTGGGCGCTTTTTCTAAAAACATGCGCATTGGGATAAAAATGGTACGACGAGCAATATTTTGTATTGTGCCAATTGTGTGCGACCTTTACTTTTAGAGATACATGTATGAGCTATTTAATGGGTATTTTTTAACGATTGTACTTGATAAGTTTACACTACAGCAGCATAGGCGTGCTATTATGTTGAGATCACGAAATAAATCTTTGAAAATCAATATCAAATCAATTGTGAGAGATCTGCCTTTGACTTGCCTTTGACAATTATCCAACTGTCATTCTAGACTGTCAGTGTTTTCAGCAAACTTTTGTTCAATGTCTTGCCGGGCTATGAACTCAAACATGATAGCCCAACACCCTGTGGTTGCCTTTAGTTTATCATATAATGTTTATTTAGCCTGAATTATCTTTCATTCTGCATGGAGAGTGAATTTTATACAGATGTTCATTGCGTATTATTGGATTTTCTGGTGCATTCACGTGCAATCATGTTGTAGCCGGCCATGTGCAGTCAGCCGTATATATACAGTCAGCCTGCCGGCCGCACAAACACAACTCAGATCATCCCGATCCAAGCGCTGCACCGTGCACTTACCGGTACGTACGTACATTATGCGTAGTACATGCAGTCTGTACTACAAACCGCATATCCCTGGCCGTACACATGGTGCCGGTGCTGGCCTGGCAATTTTGTATTCCCATGTTCAAAGTCCCCATCGTGTTTTCGCTGGCTCCCCACGCACGGCTCGTGTCGTAGCTGAACCCGAAAGACTGGTACATCGCGCCGCATACGAGTACCATCATTTCGAGTACGAGAACTTCGACATTCGAGTACGAGCAAAAAAGTACTCGAGTAGTACTACTCGAGTAGTACTTGAGTATGAGTACCGAGTACGAGTACTACCACACTGGTACTTGTGCACGGAGCCCATATGGCTAGCCTAGGTGAATAGTGGCAGAGATATTTTATTTCATTTCGTTTATTATTTCGCAGATCTGTACAAAGTGTATCAAAATAATTGGTCCAAAGTAACTAGGACTCTACGGATTGCTTTTTTAACATTTGGACATGGTCGGGCGATAGTAGAGTCCGAGATCGATGGCCCTATTGCGGTTACTAATAATTTTTTTTTACCATTTTCACTCCTACCTCCAATCAAAATCTTCAGATTTCACCCCAAAATGGTCTTCAAACTGCCTTATGCGCTCCTGTAGGCTTCAGTGGGAAGTGAAAATACAAATGGTGGTGGTTAGCTTTGGGAAGAAAAGAGAAATTTCACCTTCAATTTGGGAAACATCCTTGTCACAAACACTTTGATTTGTCACCTGATTAATCACAGGGCACTTTGATTGGTCACCAGTCCAGGTGACCAATCAAAGTGCCCTGTGATTGGTCTGTCTGATGCTTGCCAGGAAACAGTGTAGCCAGAGCCATGCGCAAGTCTACTTTTCGTGAATTCAAAATGGCAGCCTCAAACAAAGCGTTTGTGACAAGGATGTTTCCCGAATTGAAGGTGAAATTTTTCTTTTCTTCCCAAAGGTATTTTACATACCTTTGGGAAGAAAAGAAAAACCACCACCATTTGTATTTTCACTTCCCACTGAAGCCTACAGTAGCGCATAAGGTAGTTCGAAGACCGTTTTGGAGGTGAAATCTGATGATTTTAATTGGGGGGGTACGAGTGAAAATGGTAAAAAAAAATATTAGAAACCGCAATAGGGCCATCGATCTTGGACTCTACTATCGCCCGACCATGTCCAAATGTTAAAAAAGCAATCCGTAGAGTCCAAGTTACTTGAACTACAAAATAATATACAGTATACTCGTGATGTATTTATAATTATATAAACAAGTAATTAACATTATGAGAATTTTTATGGCCAAATAATTTAATAAAAGTGCACCCTTGCAGGCCACCTTGCCAACTCGGCACCTAATCAGCACCTAGCCAACTTGGCACCTGGCCAACTCGGCACCTGACTAACTCTGAAAAATAATTTTGATCTTTAATTGAGTTTCGGCTCCCATAGCAACAGGACCTTCTGCGCACAGGCCGTATGTGGCACTGTGACTCAATATACTTTTCAGAAATGGATGGAATTGGGGGGTTGGAAATATAGCAAATATAGTTACACTGACTTTTTTGAGGTTTTGGGTTCGAAAATGCTATAAAAACCAAGAAAAACAATCATTTTCCTGTAGTCTGGTTCCCTGACTCCATATAAGAAGAAACAGAGCAGTTTACATACATTGGGGAATTGTAAGGTCAGGGAACCAGTCTAGCTGGCTCGTACCCGTTCATAGGTTTGTAATCGATTGCAAACAAGTGCGATGGTCAATTGGGGCCAGTATTTGAAAAAAAGCCAGTTTTTGATATTTGCAAATGTTGTATTTTCCCTTTAAAGGGAAAATACAACATTTGCAAACATCAAAAAATAAAACTACCAAATCATTTTGAAATACCTTGCTGGACTGTTAGTAAATGACAGTGTAAAGCATCCTGTAAAATCATGGCACCTGGTATACTGTCATTTTCAAGAAAAGTGGTATTTTTGTATCAATTTCCAACGCTGATCGGCCGATGAGCATTGGAAAAAAAATGGTTTTTTTTCAAATACTGGCCCCAATTGACCATCGCACTTGTTTGCAATCGATTACAAACCTATGAACGGGTACGAGCCAGCTAGACTGGTTCCCTGACCTTACAATTCCCCAATGTATGTAAACTGCTCAGTTTCTTCTTATATGGAGTCGGGGAACCAGACTATAGGAAAATGATTGTTAGGTGTTGGGCCTCAGCCCAACACCTATTGTTATTGTAAGAATTTACTATTATTAGGTGTTGGGCTTTAGCCCAAAACCTATTGTTTTTGCTAGGGTTTTTAGTTTTATTTTTCTTCTATACACATTCCTTCTCCAGAACTGTGTGTCAAAATGAACTTCAATTGTCAATACATGAATGCACAACCTACCTCAGATGTGCTTTTTTGCAATTACGTAATCATGACGTCATCACGGGTCACGTGACGTCACTTCAAAGTTTAATCAATTTAATCTTTGAAATTCCATATAAAATCAACCGTGAGAGACCGGAACCTGAAATTTGCGGGAATCGACATGGTAATACATGATCTTCATTTTATGTTGTGCGCGTAAAATCACGTGACCCTTCCTTCCGGTCGAAACCGGAAGTGCCTAATAATTTGAAAGTGGAAAAAGATATGAACTTGCTTTCAACGGTGTTGATGTCTGCCTGGATTGACCTTTCAAAAAAAAATAATTGGTGACGTCATGAAGAGTTGGAGCGCCCTCTAGCGGCAGGTTAAAAAACGCGAAAAACGCATTTTCACTTGATGTCTGTGGCGAAGTTTGCGGTTATCGCTTCAAAATTAATGTACATGAAGACCATAATGCAGACAACACCTGTGCGCGAAAAAAAATTGATTACGTCATCAGACCGGAAGTTACAATAAAAAGACCTTTAAACCTTCAAAAATTGCTAAAAAATCAACCGTGATAGATATAATCAAGATTTGGCTAACTATAGCACAGTTAAAATAGCTCTTGAACTTTCTGGTAATGACGTCACAATGACATCATTAAGTATCATATTACAAGCATTCAAAGATTTCTAGATTTAATCTTTGAAAATCAATATAAAATCAACTGCTACAGATTTGATTTTGTTTTTTATAGCAATCAATACAATATTGCAGGGTCTTCATTTTTGGTATTAAGTGCAAAATCACTTGACCCTTCCTTCCGGTCGAAACCGGAAGTGCCTTATTATTTGAAATTGGCAGAAGATGCGAACTTGCTTTCAAAGATGTGAGTGTCTGTCTAGGCAGTACTGTACAAAAATTTTACAGGTGACGTCATCAAATGTTAGAGCGCCCTCTGGCGGCATGTTGAAAATTCAAACATGGATTTAAACTTCTTTTTTTTTTGAGTTGATGTATGTGGCAAAGTCTGCGGTAATCCATGGCCCAACACCGTGTGGTTGTTCATACAACCTCTAGTTTTTCTTGTTTTTTTTAGCATTTTCGAACCCACAACCTCACAAACGTCAGTGTAACTATATTTGCTATATATTTCCAACCCCCCAATTCCATCCATTTCTGAAAATTACAGCAAAAGCAAATGATGTATATTCCCTTTAATATTAGCTGGAGTTACCCAGCCCTAAATTTTATCATTGGGTTGAATGATAAAATTTAGGGCTGTGTAACTCCAGCTACCTCTTTATAGGCTAATCAGAAAGTGCTGCCTATTTCAGATGTCCAATTTTCGTGAAATTTCATGTTGAAATTTTGATACGCAAACATGTGCAAACGAATCTGGAAATTTCACGAAAATTATACATTTAAAAAAGGCAGCACTTTCTGATTAGCCTATAAAGAGGGTGAGTATGCTTCTAGTTCTAAAGCAAAAATAAACTACAAACTAAGCCTAAATGAGTAAATCCAAATTTGACAAAGTTCGACATGTTTTTGTACATGGTGGAAGTGTGGCCTTTATTTACAGGGGTACGCCCACTGATCTCTATTAAAGACTGGATAGCTAATACAGAGCCGCACAATGTACGAATTTGACGCCATATTGGTGAGACCGGCTGGTGATCTACAAAGGACATGTTGCCTTTTTTATAGACAGCATGATTTCTTTTGTAACGTCGCGGTTCACTTGACTTATATTTTGACCACCATCACTGATCAAGGTTAACTACAATTTTTCTAACGTCGTGGTTACTAAAATGCCGCAAATATAACTTTTTTCGGCGTTTTGAAATAATAATCACTACGGAAATGTGTCCCTTTTAGAACATCATAATATGTGTACGTGACCAAAATGCGCGTCAACTGTTGATACAACGCGCGCGTATTTACGCGTAGAACGTTCGTATTATACGCGGCCATCTTCGTGAGACCGGGGGCGAATTGGTCAATGTGCGAAGTCTACTGTGTGAATGTTGTATGCATATCCGCTATCCAGTCTTTATATAGAGATCAGTGGGTACGCCTAGTCCAGTAAATTGGCCACATTTATGGGGCTAGGTGCCGAAGCGACCGGATACCGAATTCTTTCCAATTCCACTTATGCCTACCTTTATTTTTCAAAACTACTTAGACCTACTTACCAATCTCATGTTCTCCAGGTTTATCGGTTATTTCAATGACCCATAAGTCAACGCCTTTCACGCTTTTGCCAGCGCTGTAAACGCTGGTAATGTCGGGACATTCAGCATGAGTGTCGAACAGCACTCGCTCCAAGTCCTTGGCAGTGTGATGGTCAAATACGTAACCATCACCTGGAAAGATGTCATCAGCTCCAAAGACCACACCAAGAAGGAGACAAATCACCAAGGATTTCATCTCGAAGGATAGTATTAGAGGGGACAGAAAAAGAAAAGAAGGGGCAAACTGTGATCTGCTGAGTAAAATATCAGATTTTACCAGCAATTTCAATCTATAACAGAAGACAAAATCTAGAACATATGGTAAAACCCGGAGGTACAATGTACGTAAACTCAGGGCTCGATACCGTACCGCGTCGATCGTGATTCTTATAGTATGTACGCCGCGCATACGAAAATATGTGCACTAAGCTTAAAATGGCCATACGGGTGAGTCCAAATGTGTAGAGGGTGGTCAATTAAGAAACAGTTTACAAAGCTTCGATTCTGTATAATAGTTCCCATGATTTTATCATATATACGATAGTTTCACTTATATATATATTTTGAAAGAACAAAATATCTATCTATATAAAAATCACCTTTTTACCTTAAGCCAAATATTATCAACTCAGTCGTAATGTAAAACAAATACCTGGATCTGAATGGATGAGACCAGCGATTGACGTCATCCTGAGTTAATTGCTGCAAGTGCGTGGGATGGCGACTCGGTGATAATGTCGCGTAACGTAAATCAAGAACACGACACATTCTTATGCGCCTTTCAGGACCCCCCCCCCCGCGAATTATGCTGGAGGGCCCCATAAATATTATATACAATAGTATAATGTTTAAAACTACCTTGCGATCGAGTCACTGCTGTAGTGTAAATATGATGGTGTGAGTTCGACTCCCATTGGATGCTTTTTTAAAATTTCTTCTTCTTTAATTTTTTTTTCTCTTAAAAAGGTTTGTTAGTCATTTGGAACATTTTTCTTTTACCAATTATGTGGTTTGGAGGAGTTTTTTTCAAGGGAAAATAAAGTCCGAGAACCTGACTTGCAACTCAACGTACTTCGAAGTACGCCCATGACGAATGTATGTGTACGGAAAAATATCGTCGTCCCCCCCCCCCCACGTTTTATGCCCCAGGGTGGGGATTTTGGTCACTTAAATTTCATTTTTAATATTGGCGTGCGTACTGAAAGGCGCAATCACAGTGCGCCCCATGTATCATGTCAGGGCATGCGGGGGATTGTCACTTAAATTTTGCCCGAGGGATGGGAACTTTTGTCACTTCAAATATGACAATCCTCAGTCTTGGGTGGAGAAGTTGGAGGGGGGAGGGGGAACAATTGATAGGCGCATGATTACGTATAAAGTTACATGAATTATATATTAAAGGTGACTCGTCCAGCGTTCGTTGTTGTGTCAAAATAATCCTTACAAACCACATTTCAAATAGTCCGAGTAACTAGGACTCGACGAATCGCCTTTGTAATGTAAAAAAAAAAAGGCGATTTGTAGAGTCCTAGTGACTCGGACTATATTTCAAAGATCTTTGTCACAGAAATCCACAGGCACACATGAAAACCCCCGCCCCGGGCCGTTAGCAGTGACACGTGTCTATTGGTCGGTCGACGGTCTGTCTCAGTGGCGGCGCCACGGGAATAAAGGAACAGGCATGAGGGCATACCCCCCCCCCCCTCCCAAGTTGTTTCCTTGCCGATCCCCCTAGGCAGGATCCAGGGGGTCAGGGGCCATGCCCCCCCCCCAAGAAGAAGAACAGTAAAGACAGGCACTGTGTAAACCACCATCTGTCCTCAAAATGGTCAGAAATTGCCTCAGATCGCACCAGTAGTCTGAGCATAGAGCTAGGTCCTAGATCTATGGTCTGAGTATCCACGGAGCCAAATCTCTAACCACAGAGCATCTGGAACCCCCCCCCCCCAAATCGGGGCCCCGTAAATTTTTGGACCAAGTGAACTTTGGCGGGGGGGGGGGGGCAATTTCTTTTGGCCCCCAAAAATTGTGTTCTGGATCCGACCTTGCCCCCCCCCCCCCCCTCAGTTCCTCACCCAGTTTTTATATTAATTATGTTTATTTTCTTCGCTGTTGAGATTCATAACAAGTTGAAAATCATCGGTTCTGTTTTGGGCCAATGAAAGCTTTATAAACATTGGTGCTTTGGTAGACAAACCACACATGCATTCATACAGCCGTAGATAATGTCTTTATGTTTATACACCATTGTGCGGTTTGATACACTTCTAAAAGTTGCTCTAGAGGGTAGGCTGACCATTGACAATGGGCACGCGTGCGCGGGCTTTTAGATGTCATTGAGTTATTGGGCTCTTCCTTACTTTCCCCTAAGATGTTGGATATTATCAGATGTTATTTGGCTGCTCCAAAAATATTTCCTTGCCCCCAATTCCCCCCCCCCCCATTTTAGAGTGTGGCGCCGTAGCACGTCATCAAATGGCTCGATTTGTAGACTAAAAACTATATACATGTACCCCGAAATGTCTTCACGGGCCGCGGGACTTTTTCATTACGCGAACAACGCATTTTATATGTCTTTACTGTACAAACACCCTTTTTATTCCCGTAAGAAAGATCTCTTTTAACCTAGTTCGATAGTGGCTTTAAATGAATGCGTTCCACTCCCACACCAGATTACGCCCTTATTAAGAGGAAAAAATAGCTTTTCCAGAAGATCTGAATGGAAACAAGACTAGGTCTACCCAAACTGAAAAAAACACACCTTTCTACACCCCAGTCAAAAAATGATAATAGGTGATATCAGTTTAAAAAAAAATGATTGCCGTCTTGAAAACCGACCAATTCAGTGGCCAAGAAATGGAATAAAAAAGATTTTGGATATGGCCATTTTCATTTAACCAGAATTTGAATAAAGCTTTTTTGCTTGAGAATAAACATGAGGTGTCTCGGGCTATTGCCAAATTTTCAATAATCAAGATGAAGTGTATAACTATATACTATTATGTATCATCATAAACTACATGTTTCGAGTACGTGTATGATTTATGTCTCAAATGTTTGAAGTCCACACTATCCTTGTTTGTGGCTGTTTGTACCCATCATAACGATTTTTTTTAAAATTGTTCTGAAAAGCTTGGATCATTTTAGTACCCACACACTTAATTCTACGGTACCGGTACTGAATAATATAAAACTCCACTGAACAAATTTAGTGACCATTTTAAAATGACATGTTTGAGATTTTTTTTGGGTTGCCAACAAGGTATACTAAAAAAGTCCCATTATTACATGCACAAAAGAACAGAATCATCTGCAACTACGCCAACAATGGAAGACTTCCATCCTGCATTGCCATGGTGACATTATCATCACTATGGTGATAAAAAGAACACGAAAAGGCCAGTGAACATGTGCCTAATTAGTATCTTCAACCTTGAAATTGATGAATGGCAAATTCAAAGAATTTGTCATTGACCTTTAGATCCTGAGCTCGTTGATCATGAACACGCGCAGAGAGCTGCTGTCTCTCTCCCCCTCTCTCTCTCTCTGTCGAACTACCTTTTGCTAAACATGTTTATGCTAAAAGTAATTAGTATCTATAAATACAGGGGTAACAAGAACATTTTGCACCAATTTGAATGCTAAACATGATCAAAATTAAGCTATTGAGTGTATACATCGATGTATTGAGGCATAAACATGTTCCGAGTAAACGTTGCCTTTGAATTGAAATGAGTTGAATTGAATTGAGGCTTTAATTGGATTAGCAGGTATAGTTTGGGAACCAGGCTGCTAATAATCACCCGAGGGTGGGTATTTATATCCTGGCTCCTGGCTACCTGATTGAGAGGCGATAGAGACTGGCTGGGTTGAAGATCTAAATAAAACCAAACTGGGCACGCCTATCAATAATGCTGACCGAGACGTTGTGAAAAAAGCTTTTTCACTGGTCCACAATAATAGTTGGAATATATGTGCATTGTACATGGCCATATGGCGCAACTCAAGTTGGATATGAGCGATTTCAGCAGTCCACATCAACCACATGCTTTGTACATGGCCACATGTGTACTATAAATCTCAGTTTAGTACTTATTATTGAAACAAGTAACTCGTTTCCCAAATGTCATTGGTTAACAAATCCTGTATTTATATTACTAACACCAATTCTGCTGCAGATGTGGGCTCTTCTGGAATTCTATTTAAGCCACAGGACCTTCAGTCCATCAGAGAGTGGAAATATTACATCACTACTTTTTATATTGTTGCAGCTTGTTGGAATGCGTTGATACCCATCAAAAGGAATCAAATGTTCAAGTAAGGACGGTTAAACAGCAGCCTAGAGAGCACTAACTCAAATCAAGAGTTTGTCAATATACTCACAGAATGTTGAATAAAAAGAATGTTGGTTGAAAATTTACAGAGTCAGTTTGGAGGGAACAGCCCCCCCCCCCCTCAAAAAGGGTAAAAGCATACAATGCAAGATCAGTTCTAGGGTACAAGCCCCAGTTGTATTGGTTAAAGAAAGATATACATGTAAAATAATTACATGAAAACAAAATATTGTATATGAAACTGCAACAACTTGTGATTTAGTGAGATAACATTATTGGTTTATTTCTCACTACTGAACGTTGATCACATTGCCATGTCACCCTGTGAGCTGTGGAAAGTCAAACTTCACAGCCAACATTAGAGCTTTGTAATAAATTCCATAAGCAATGAGTTCACAAGATGTTTTAAGTACGCTTTCCATTACAGATCTCAATGGGCAAAGATAGGATTATAACAGATCTGCCAGACTCTGAATTTACTATGCTTGATTCATGTGTTCATTACAATAACGTTAAAGATGAACTTAAAATACAATGTACATGTAGTTGCTTCATTGAACATGAATAGATATGCATATTGGTGTCCACTTTGTAAAACAGCAACATTTCACATCAAACAAACACAAATCTAAGTCACTATGCTTGAGTAAAAATGAAAAATGAAAAATGAAAAATGAAAAATGAAAAAATGAAGAAAAAAAAAGTGTCCCTCTGTGCCAGGCTGCTCATTTGTATTACAATGCATACACACTACCCCCATCTTTGTAAAACCAATTTAATCAAACCAATTTCATTATTTCTGAATTCAAACAGGCTGGTATGCTTGATTAATATGCAAATGACAAACTTCATCTCATATACTGCTTATACGGTTAAAATATCGACAATATGTCTAGTATTTACCATTTAGCACTTGTAAGTTGGAAGTACACATAAAGCCTATATTGCGAGGAAACTGGGCTATAGTGGGGGGAAAGTGGAAAGTTGCATACAAATTGTGAATCTGGTGTATTGACAACATCCTCATTACTGTGTCAAAGTAGAACTCGCATGCTTCTCATTCAAACCATGTATTTACAGAAGTCTATCCAATACTAATCACACTTTATGAGACTGTACCATTTTTGTCAGCTAGTAGCATCAATACAAATCCATGTTCTTTCTATCAAGTTCTTATTCAATATTCAGCCTTTAAGAAAGAAAAAAAAAGTTACATCAAAACCAGTCCACATAAAATTAAAATATAAAAAGAGCTATATTAACTGATACAAACTACATACAATTATTTCCGACTCAAACTTTTGTCTTGTAATTATCAATTTGTGTAAACATCACAACAAATTTAAAGAGCAACTCCAATGTGAATGGAATACATAATTTGTATGTACATGAATACACTGCTGTAGTTTTGACACCAAAAGTGTCTAGCATGTCGATTAAAAGAAAATGGTAGGCCCTATTAGAAATAAATGTCACAATTTGGTCTGATTTTGATAACTGCCTGGCACTTTACCTATTGCTGAGTGCAGACACTTTCATTTTTTGTTTATTTTGATGACATATGGCTAAAGAAACACTAATACTGATGTTACCAGTTAATTTTAGTAAAACGTATGGCGTTATTTTACCACCAAAAATATTTATTGGAGTTGCTCTTTACAAAAGTGCACTTCTAAAAAGGGATCTATGTACATGCATTTACATTTCAAAAATATATTATGGTAAAGTAAATAAGTGCCAAAGAAATGCTTTTAATGCAAACATATTCTCAAACATCAAAGGTTCTTGTTATACTATGGTATTATTAGGTAAAGAGCTAATATTTCAGAAGTAACAACTTCTGATGAAGGGCAATGATGTTGATTGTGTACAAATAACGTGTTTCTCTTCAAGTATACATCATCAACAATCAGATGAATCTAATCGAGGATTCAGGGATAAGCGCAGAATGGACTTCACAGTGCACAAATCCCTCATATATATGTAACCCACAAGATGTCACATGTAATACTGTTGTGACTTTCATAGTTACTACCTTGCAACCTTTGTCATTTAACTGTCACTGAAAATTACTGGTTGTCATTGTCCCTTAATGAATATCGGTCTATTACAAGTTAATCCCAAACTCACGCTTGGTTTCAATGAAAACCACGTGAACAAAGGAGTGCAATGCCAATTCCAAACATGTCAGAGATTTAGATGTATAATTATGAACTGAGTGAGATTATACCTTTTCCTTACTTTGTGATTGGAAAATGAATAGATAGGGACACAATTATGGCAAATGAATTATTTAGCCATTCATAAATAAATATTGCCATTCATATTTACATATTAAGACAAATGGGATGCATTTTTCATAAGATTTTTTATTAAGATGAAGAATTTATGAATGGCAACAGAGTAGGAAGACCAAATTTTGATCAGTAAAAACCGACAGACCTTAAGGCTTGGCTTCTGTTACCTTACTTTAGCTTGGCACATAAATAATGGCCATAGGCCAACCCATTACAAATGTATTTGTCATTCATTATCTTGGGCAGACGGTGGCTGTTATGAGTAGTAAACATTGAATTTGGTGAAGTCATCTACTGCACCCCTCAAGTACCGGTACAGACTCTATTTTTTTTACGGGCCTAATATTACACCTAGCTCTTCAGAGCAACATACGTGTATATATATATATATATCAGCTACGAAGCCAAAACACTACACGTTGCTACATTTAAGCACCACAACTAGCCATAAGTACATATACATGAAATTACATTTGCAAAAGAAGGTTACCACAAAAAGCACACTTTGTAGAAAAATAAAGATTCATGTATTACTGAAACATTTGTAAAAGTATTAAAAATATATTTTGTCGTTCAGGTTGATAAATGACTCTTTCTTGACTTTCTTATCATTTTTTTCTTTTTTTTAGTTGAACAGATGAACATATGATTCTATCAGATCTAACTAATGATATGCAAGGGCTTTTACAAAACAAGAGGGAAAATGTATAAAGCATGATGCCCAATCATGGTCAATGCAGTGGCAGTACAGTGGTACTGTAAATATTTTCTAAAGAGATATCAATATTTAAGCAATGATGTACCCATAACTAAACACTGGCCATTGTATAGATAAGTGCTGTTTTTTTGGTAGCATTTTATTTCTCAAAACTGCAAGTTGCTCACTGCTGCTCAGAAGGTCAAAGTTCACAAGGAACATTAGAGCTTCTAAATAACTTCAATAGGAAAATTGTTTGCAGAAGCTTTTAAGTACATTGTATGCTATCCATTACATATCATGATGGGCATGGACAAGGTTGCAATAGATCTGCTTAGCTCTGAAATCCCTGAGGCTGATGTATGTGTTCATAAGAAATGTTAAAAAATGAAACAAAATGGTTCCTTTCCATTTGCCTGCACTGTACTCTTGGATTCTGCACCAAGCGTCATTACAACTACATGTACATAGAGGGAAGGTGCAACATTTCAGTCAGCCATTTATGCCCACATTGTTAAGTACATCATGTTTTCAATAGCTCTTTCCAAATACTGCTTAAAAAGATGCCAGTGTCAAAACGTTCCAGGATTAACCACCCATTGTTTGTGAGGTACCACTGACTCGGTTATAAACAGTCATTTGGAAGAGAAAAAAAGGTTTCCGGAAGTGTCCCCCAAACAAAATCTGCATGTGACCAGGTACATGTCTCCATTATCTAAAGCAAATACATCTGATCAGTCACACCATCTGGATAAGCCAGGCAACACGTGTGAGTAACAGAAGTCAATAAAAAATTACACAAACGACACTTTATTAAATTTGTTTAGAATACAATGTGGCATATGGAATTCTTTCGTTTTTAAAATTTTTATTAACATTCTCTTTGAGGTGCATTTATTCATTTAAGGTCTGTAGCATGCTTTAGATTTGTACATTGCAATGGACTACATTAAAAATGTGCACTAAAATGGATGGCAAACATGTCCTTTATTGCAAAGTGCATGTTCAGTGTGCAAAGAAATCCAGCTAATTTTAGCCATGTGCATTTTTTTCTGCAGCCAGTGATCCAACTATATTAAACATAATATCCAAGCATCTCAGCCTTTTGGTATACTAAATAAATGGTTTAAGAATAGAAAGGTGGATATCAACATTTGGTGGAATGTTTTACCTGGTGATTTGACATGCATGCACTCTTTATCCCTCATTATTTATATTCAAATATCTCTAAGGTCATATGTGTCAGGCAACAACAACAAGTAATGATACACGTATCTTGATGCTGTGTGTAATTTTTAACAAGCAAGATATATGTTCTGGTGTCATGGTGACATGATTAAACTCATGATAGGGCAAACCCAGATCATGAATATGTATTGAGTGTACCTGTTAGATGTGATTCAGGTATTTATCTATAATACTATTAGCATACTCTTGGTCTTTCTCAGCCATCATCTTGTGTTTGTAATACCGATTATAGGAGGCAGGTGACATCTTGGACACGTCTGGACTGCTGGAATTTGAAAGAGTACCTGCTTTCTCATACTCTGTATTACTGTTCCCATTGCTTAGACTTTGAATTTTGTCTGGCTTAGGTGAGCATTTGAAATTGCTTTCTTTGCTATTGGCCAAAGACTGAGTATCAGTTATTAAAGACTTAGTTGGATTGGTAGGCTGCACCATGGTTGGATTTTCACTAGATACAGATGAAGCTGCTAGCTGCTCTTCATTCAGGCTATTCATACATTCGCCACTGGCACTGAGGAGCTCCTTTTCAAGCTTTATACCAAATTTTGATCTCAGATACCCAAGCCTTTGAGGTGAAGAGAAATATGGTTTGACAGCACTGCCATTTCCCTCCATTCTACATGTACGTCCATTCACTGATGTCTTTGACTCATCTTTAACATTTCCTTTGTCAAGATAAGATGGTTTCTCTGATCCTGGATCTTCTACTCTTCTCTTTCCAGTGCAGACTTCTTGTGCAATTTTGCGTCGTTCTGGAAGACGAGCAAATTCCTCTTCTGACTCCAAACTATTTGTTCCCGTCTCAGAGTCTTCTGATTGGGCAGAATGTTTGCCTGATGTATTCCAATCACCATAGCTTGCATTAAGTGGACTGCCAACATTTCTACTCCTATTTCTTAAGTCTAGTTTCTGTTCTGAGTAGCTCTTTGGAAAGTCTTCTGAGCCAAGCTTAATTCCTTCAAAATAAGATCCATCAAGCACTGGGTTGGACCTATTCTGCATCCTTCTCCATCTTGAGAAACGTCCTTTGACTTGACCAACTCGCTGTTGATCAAGCAATGATGGTTGTATTACAGGGAGACATTTGGAATCAGAAGTAACTTCTCTCACTGTTTGGTTTGGTTGATCTAAAACATTGGTGATTTCAACATGTCCAATTTCTAAACTTTTCAAGTTGTCTCCTCCTGCTTTCATACTCTCATCTTTATTACCTAGTGTTTCACGTGCAGATGTTGACCTGTCTTCTAATTTTCTTTTCTCTGACGGGGCTGTAGCTCCACATCTTTCATCCAGAGTTGTTGCTCTGTCAGGATTAAGTTTTGCTTTTTGTGTGATTCCTTTCAGGGACTCCATACTGGAATTAACTGCACTAAATCTTGTCTTGTTGGCAAGATGGCTCCTTGATGGGTCCCTTGAAGACTCTCTACTTTCTGCTGCAGCAATGCTGGTCTCCCCTTTACCTTGATCCAAAATATTTTGACCTTGCAATCTTTTTGGCTCTGCATTCACCAACTTAGAATGTCTCTCTCGGCTTTTTCCAATTGCATCACAATCATCTGATGGAGAATCCGTAGCTTTAGCAACAATGAGGTCTCCCAAACTGGGCCTCCTGAATCCCTCAGCAAGCTTGATCTTAGCTATCCCACCTGCTTCCACTACCTCATTTAGAAGGTCAGAAAATGCATTTTCAGTAGCCTGTGAATCCATCTCTGAGTCTACTTCAGTGTCCGTGTCTACCCTTTGAGGACTGACTTGTAAGTATTTATCATCAACAGCAGCTTCACTTTTTGATACAGCAGCCAGGTTTTCTGCAGTCAGACGCTTTGTTTCTTGCTGGTCATTATCCACAAACAAGGACTCTCTTGATGAAGCTGAAGAAAACGTTTTCCGACTTCCAGATCCCTGTTCACTATTTTCACTTAAGATGGAGCTTGAAGAATGTGTGACATCATTACTAACTTGAGTCTCAGCAAGCACCAACTGTTTGTCATGATTTTTCAAACTTAGTGTTTTTGGTTTAGGATTACTGATCATCTTTGTCTCTTGATGTTCTCTTTGCTCATCGATGTGAAGTCTGAAATCATCCAGGAAAGACTGGAACTTGCTGTTTGTATGGATGTCCCAGGCTCTTAGGACCTCATCCAGAGCTGTCTTATTCAGACGATAATGTGTAAGTTCTTGTTTCAACAGCTCTCTCTCCCCTTCAGCTAACTCCACCTTTTCTTCCAAGAGTGCATTTTCTTCCTTTAGTTTTGCAAGGGAGGCAAGGTTCTGGTTGAATCCATCTTGTGAGGATGATTCTAGGACATCCTCCTCAAGTTGCTGTGCCAACTTAACATTTCGTTTTTGAGCATGTAATAAATACTCCTCTAACCGTCTGCATCTGCCAGCCACCGTCTCTACTTCCAAGTGGCTTGTCTCATTGCTCATTCGAAGGAGTTTGCACTCTTTCTCTAGACGGAGGTTTTCCAGCCTAGACACTCTTAACTTTTCAGTGGTGTGATTCAACTTATGTGTCATTTCTTCTTCTGTCTCCTTTAGTCTTACCTGAAGGAACTCTTTCTGACTCTCTAATCTGGCAAAATCTCTCTTCAGAGCACAAAGTTCAGACGTTTCTCCAAGTCCTAGAGAATAATCTGATTGGCCAATTTTGTTGCTGTTAGCCCTTGCTCCTGCAGTTCGCTCTGATCTTGCTTCTTCTGAGACAATATCACTCCCTATCTTTGATTTCATCCTCAAGCTGAAGTTCTCAGCACTCTGGTGTTCAACTTCCATCTGAAGTTTTACAATAGCAGCATTAAGTTTCTCCATTGTCTTTCTATCCACGGCATTGACATTTTTAGCATTTGCAGATTCACGAAACAGTCGCCTGTTTTCGGTTCTTAACATTTCAAGTTCTTGGACGAGTTTAGATATGACTTTTTCTTCTTTAGTACAACCTACTACCTCTTCTTCAAGTTTGGTTTTCAAGATGGCCTCTCGTCGTTGTGTCTCAGTCAGCTCAAGACGAAGATGTTGGCTCTCCTCACCAATAGTGTCTAACAAATGAAGAAGTTCATCTTCTGGGGTGTGGACAATTTGCATGTTTTCTGAAATTAACAAAGAAATGTCTTTATTCAAACAAATTTAGGGAGGAGAAATGTATGCAAATAAGGCCTAGTTTGCGGATTGGTTCTTCCCTCACCCCTAAATCTGAAAACCAGCTTGGAATTCTGTTCAGGCTCACGTTTGTTTCACAGTTTACTTGACAAAATTCACAAGAACACACCTCACAGCCTTTTAAGTGGACTCTGATTTGTGTCACCAGTATAATAAGGTACTATCCCTCAGTCCCTGGTTAATAAAATTGGTTATAACTAGCCCGACTGCTTCTGTCATCTTGAATGACTTAGTCTTGTACTGTTGCTATTAACAACAGACACGGACACGGTCCTAAAAAATCATGTCAGCAAATTTGCAAACTGGAAAATGTCCAACTTCATGAAAATCGTAACCCATACTGCTTTCAGAAATTCATTCATATGATCTACAAGTCTAGGCCATTACTACAACTGTTTTTACTTTCAAAAAATAAAATTTCCAGGTAAATTTGCTCTCGGAATCTAGGTCCCTTCTATCAAGGACGTAACTAACGTATGTGATTGGTCACAACATCATGGGTCAGGGCTTAGAGGATCGCTCTATTATGTGAGAATGCAGTGTGATGGATAATGCCTAATTCTGTGTCTTATTACCCTAAAAGGGCCTGGCTATTTTGATCATCTCTCAGCGGTGGGTGGGGGGGGGGGGGGGAGAGAGGGATCTCGGCCATTGAGTGACGAAATTTTTAAAAACTCAGTACATGCATAGAACAACTCTTCATGAACATACCCACGAAATTTTATGACTATAGGTCAAAGGGTTTTGGAATTATGGCTAATTAATTATTCATATGCATGAATGGTAATTCTGCTCTGTGTACACTGCGAAAATGTTTCGTTGCGTGGCAACCCGTTGTTCGATTTGTATGTTTTTGGTATCAAAAGATGTGCAAGGCTCGAGGCTAAAAGTTAGAACAGCTTGGGGCGTGAAATTGGGTTTTTTTAAAGCTATCGCGGAAAAAGTTGAGGGGGGGGGGGGGCCGAATGGTGTTTTCGTACAATAAAAGAACCAACAGGGAGTGGTACACAAGGCACAGTTTACAAAATAGGAATGGCCGGCAAAAATTCAGCTGCAATTGAACACCCCCCAACTCCCCAGGGGCAAACATCAACAGGATCAAGAACCTCCAATTTTGGGTTGCTTTTTTTAAGTTCCCCCGAACCCTGAAAAAGATATAGGTATGCACCTTCACACAGGATTTTTTGTTATGGTATTCAATTTACTTGGTCGTTTCTTTAAATTTCAATTTTAAATTTGAAGTAATTTCTTTTGACTTTTTTAAAGTGTAAAAATTAATTTTAATGATTTTATACAGTGTGTTATTGTAAGTACTGCCATTTTAATTCAGCCTTATGGCTGCGAGAGTGGCTTCAATAAACCAGAAATGATAATATAATAATAATAAATTAAGGAAATTTAGGCCATCCCCTGGTCATCCACAGTTAAATAATGGTGGTCCTCATGTTAAAACAATTTATTTTGGTGTACAACACAAGTTTTGTGTCCCCCCCTCTTTTTTTAATTTAAGCTTTGCACTCCATCTTAGCAGTGCATCTATACTACAATCACGAAAATGATTCGGGGGCGCTGCCATTTTCCCGACCGGTCTCCGACCGGTCTCCCGTCCCCATCGCGCCTGTTGGCTGCGGGGGATGCGGAACGGGGCCCGGCTATTTTCACCCCATATTTCCCAGAATTCCTTTCCCCATTAAGCCGGCCGCCATCTTGCGTACGGGCCGGTGTCACGTGAAAATTCGACTCCTATGAAAATCGGACCCCTATTTCCCTATTATTGGTTGATCCCTCGCACGTACGTGACAGGTCACTCTCCCAAAATGATCCTAAAAATAGCACAGTATCGTACTCACGCGTGCGCAGGACTACCAATGAGTCCACATTTCATGGAGTCGGATATTCACGCTACACCTGTCGTGCCACGTATACGTATACGTTCGTATAGAGGAGCATGCGCTGCAGCGCATGCAACGGTATTCCATGCAACATGCAAAGCTGAAGGCATGCTTGCCCCACATTTTCTCAGCACTACTAGCTTCGTTTGATGGTCGTTTGATGCATTGATTATGCTACAATTTTCTCTTTCAATGGTAAGTCCGGTTTGTGCTATGACACATTATAGATTATAGTTAGTAGTAATTCTTTCGAACACCTCTGGCAAAGGATTATAAGTATTCTTTCGAACACCACTGCTGGCAATGACAATTGTTGTTTGTGAAAAGTGTGACCCAATCGCGTGGGCCTCGGACATGGCGATCGTGTAGTATTTAGTAGAAGGGCCCGGTTCCTATAGGGAACAAAATCCACTTTAAAAAAGCCCGACCAAAATAGTTGGAGACATTCTCAATAAACAGGTATGTCATAGATAGAGGGCCGGGTTTTGATTTTTTTTTTAGAGAAATTTGGGGGGGGGGGGGAATTACGATGACAGCACAGCGAAAACACGCAACCCGAAAATAAAGATGGCGATTTCTGCGCGATGTGCTGTGAGCACGAATGTCGGACACTTCACCCCATTTCCACGTCGCCCCATGTCACTTCGCCCCTAACCACTTCGCCCCATCCCCACTTCGCCCCATCCCCACATCGCCCCATCCCCACTTCGCCCCATCCCCACTTCGCCCCATCCCCACTTCGCCCCATCCCCACTTCGCCCCAGCCGTTACATGTAAAAAAAAAAATCTCATCTATTTTTTTGGCTTAAAAAAAAACTATTTCAATAGATTCACTAATTGCTAACCAACGGAAAGAATTAGCCCATCACCAAATGAACAATTCATAACCAACCTCTCAAGCTAGGCTCTCCCCTACCGAGAAAAAAGCTTGAAGTAAAAGATCCAACTTTGTTCCCAACCCGGCTATACCAACCCGTCTCCCACTTATCTGAGAACGACAATACCTTTGACATCCTAATTTCACTCTTGGAGGAACCAATCTCATCAATGAAGTTGTAAGTCTCACATATCAGACAAATTTTGACGGAACATTTTCCTCAAGGCAGTGAGTTCCTTTGAACTCACTGACCCATACCTACGGGATTCTTTTGAATCCAGCAGCTGATGATTTTATTTAAGCCATCATTTCTCTCATCTGTGTCTCGAGCACCTCATCAGAGAGTTTGTATTTTCCTGAGTTTCTAGAATTGGGAGCATTTATTATCTGGGGTCTTTGGCAGTTTATTTGGTCTGCACCCCTAGCCTTCCCTTTTTTATACTACATGGGGCGAAGTGGGGATGGGGCGAAGTGGGGATGGGGCGAAGCGGGGATGGGGCGAAGTGGGGATGGGGCGAAGCGGAGATGGGGCGATGTGGGGATGGGGCGAAGTGGGGATGGGGCGAAGTGGTTAGGGGCGAAGTGACATGGGGCGACGTGGAAATGGGGCGAAGCGTCCGACACCCGTGAGCACGCACGGCGCGCAGAATTGTAAGGCACAAACCGCGCAGGAACAATTTATTTGTAGCTATTGTTAGCCGATGTATTTTTTTACAAGTTTTCTTTGTTACTCCTTTACACAGGACTCCCGATGACACCCACATCACATGACCAGCTCCAACCATGCTCCAAGCATGCTCCAGTGCATGCTTCAACCAGTTCCCAAAGCAAGAATCTCGACTCAAGACGAAGACGTGACGTGCTTTTTCTCTTTACCCATTCAAAACACATTTTTCTTCTAGCCATAATTTTATTATTTAGAAGTCATGAAAATGAAATAGTGCAAAAATAACCACTCTTTTCTGCTGTTTTATGTCCATCCTTTTTTAAAGTTATATCCTTGGCTTAGTTGTATCCAAGAATAATTATGGAATGATTACCCGTCTCGCTTGAAAGTCTTTCATGGAATGTTTTTGCCTATGCTAAACAAGCCTGGACCGACGTCCCTTACGAAAATCGCTCCGAAAATTTGCTACAATTATATCCCCTGAGTTTTGTCAAAGTACTACCCTGTATTGAATGCAAATACATTATTACTAAAAAATTTGTGTGTGCATTGTACCTGATTTCATTTTCACAGTTTTGTAATAAATACATTTAACATGTGGTGCTTGACATAATTATGAAGTGCTCCAATATGTCCTTTCTTATAGTTTTACTCTCTTCTGCAAATAAACGTGTTACAATACTTTGCTCTACAACCCCATCACCATAATAAAAACACGAACTGTTATAATGACATTAACTACTACTTAATACATAAAAAACACCCCCTTCACCATAACGAATATAAATTGTTGCCCACTTCCCCGGAAATATAAGTGACCATTCACAGGTGTAACATAAGTAGGCATGGGCGTCGCAAGGGGGGGGGGGGGGCAAGGGGGGCACTTGCCCCCCCCCCCCCCCCCCCCCCCGAAAGCAAAAAAAAAAAAAAAAGAAGGGGAAAAAATGAGTTCAATTTTAAATTTAATGAGTTGGGGGGCTAAATGTCCCTGCCCTTCTCTAAAACTGATAAATGGAGAATGTGTTGAGAAAAACAGGCATTTTTTTGGCAAAAATATGTTTTGCCCCCTCTAGAAAACAAATCCTGGCGACGCCCATGTAAATAGGCCACACAATATCCAACCCCCATCCCCACTGGCTTCCCCCTCCTCTCCTCTGTAGTGAGAACTATGAATACGACGTTGTAAAGGTCAAGATCAAACCGCGTTTCATCTAAACTACCTAATTGTACAGTTGGTGTATACGTCCTTTATGGTTTGGCACCTTGAAAAATCAATGTTCAATTTGACTGGACAATATTCCAGCACAACATTAGTTATGAGCTTTATATACATGTAATGAGACATTGCATGAGACAATCGGTCGGCAATAAATACTTAATTTCATTCAACTGTTGACAGCAAGACCTTCCTAATCGGTGCGCAATTTAAAACAACATTTAAACGGTATGAATCCCAGCACAAACATAAACCTCCACAATATCAGCGATTTCAATATCACCATCTCCCCTCTATAACAAAAACCATTTCTCCCCGTCCCTGGAAATATTTCTCCCCATCCCCGGAAATATTTGTGACATGGTTGACGGGTTGTACGGATATTGGGCGTTCCGACTAGCACCTTTCACCCTAACTAGCCCCTCCCCTATATTGACAATATGTCCTGGACCCTCGCACAATCTCCACAGGAAATTTTATGTGCGCGCACGTTGCTAAACGCAAATACAACTTAGGTGAGACTGATGGCGAGCCCAAATAGGCTCGCGTGCAGCAGAGCGTCTGATTCTTTATTTGACTTAACAGTTGTTTGGAGTTATTGGAGTTATTATCGAGATTTCACTGTATACAGTAATTATTACGAAACAGTCAACTCCACCCATCTAGCGGGTGCCGCGCGAAGCGCGGCATCCCGCTAGTACTCATTATTCTTTTAAATGGTTTACTTGAGAAAACGTTTACACACCTAGGTTGCCCTAGCTGTCATGGACAAGAATGAAATGGAAACCTCTCAAATGGTTGATATTGTACAGTGGAACGTTGCTTTGACAAACATCATGGGATCCATAGAAAATGTGTGTTAAAGCGCTCATTTTTGAGCCACTGGTACATAAAATGGTATTTGTCTGCTAAATACTGCCCTCTTGTGCCCTACTTGAAGTGCACCCTCTTTTGACTGGATATGTTAAATGTTTATTTATTTCCCCTTTTGCCGTTTCGATGTGCAAAAATGTTTCTTGACATACTTTTGAATTTTATTTGAAGTAATACTTTTATGAAGAAATTGCTGTAAAGTTTATGTAAAAAGTTGTTTATTTATAAGGCTTGTGGTTGCAAAGTATGTGAAGTTAAATTATGGATGGAGAAGTTGATGAAATTGACACAATAAGTACAAACATCACAGAGAAGAAGATAAGGGAGTCGGAAAAAGGGAGAGGAATGGCTGGGACAAAGGTATGTTTTGTATTACGTTTTAACCTTTAGTTTTCAAAATCTAACTTTGGAAAAAACCCACTGCGGTGGTTTTCACACATCAGCGGTGCCCTCTTTTGACCAATGGTGAACTGGTATTTCTCACATTCCACGGCCGCATGCGGAGTCATCACAAAACTTCAGCAATGCGTGGTTTTTCCCTTCTGTTTTTGGAGAAATAACAGCCACCCATATCACTCTTCAACATTCAAATAAGATGTAACCGTGGTTCGTTTGAGGTTCAGGAATTACCGGTATGGCTCAAATAGCGTTAAATATAACCAGTTGAGTAGATGTTTTGTTAATCTGTTGACAATGTTCAGTACGATTTGTACATCAACACCGGGAGCCAAGGATGATGTTCAGTGTCCCGAATGTTCAGTGTAGCGGTGTTCCGTATAGCGGCGTTCCACTATACATGTACATTGTACCAGAGTTACAAAAATAGTTACAAAAATATATGTAAGTCAACGGGATGGGCAACTAATGATCACCCTGCCTCTCTTTGGGGTGACAGTCTGAGCACAGAGAGGGTGAAGGATGCCCAACCAGCAGGGGCAAATGTCTGTGCTGTTGACGCATGGTCAAGATTTGAAAGAAATTAACCAGCAGCACAGGAGAGGCACAAATGAGCTCTCCTCATATGACCCATAACCCAGGTGAAAGGGGCTCCTGATATCTACTGTCACTGTCAAATCAAAATGGAAGAATCAATGGATGAGTGCCCCAATGTCAACTGCCCACATGGACAATGGTTTTATTATTCTTGTGTGAACCTGACAGAAGACTCAGCGCCCACAGTGAGAACTGCTTTGTTTTGTTGTACCCAAGTGAACATGTACATGTACATGTAAGATCGAGGATGACCAAGGCGAAGTTTAGGCACACTAAAACAGGGTCAAGGTCTCAACGGACAACAAGAGAGAATAATTGCAAGTCACACATCAGTCTCTGTCATGGTCTCAACAACATGGTATGGTCTCAACAACATGGCATGGTATCAACAACATGGCATGGTATCAACAACATCATAAGAAAAGATGCAAAATGACGGACCTACATGTAGGATGATTAGGAACTGGAAGCACAATTTGATAACATTGGTGGCAATGTAATCACACCTAGTACACTACTCTTGCCATCAGATTATTGAGTGATGTTCGCGGAGCAGCATCACCGCGTTTGGTACAATAGCTGTTGTGGTCCAAGAGAGTGAACACTAAGGGAGGGGAAGGATGGAACATTGCCTGTGATCTTCACATGGACCACCTAAACAACTATTAGAAAGGTAAGAGTCATTTAATAATAGACGCAGTTTTTTTTTCTTCAATATTTTAATAACAGCTATGGAGTAACTGAATATTTTACAGAGCTTAACTATAACTCCCTACTGTCTTTTACTAAGTAGTGGACCAAGTCTGCCAAAATCCATCAATCACACTGCTTCCAATGCATGCTTTGCTTAGGCCTCCAGGCCCAAGTCCGACTACTCCGTCAATATTTAGTCAAACCAGGCCTGCAGGACCAAGTCCCCCCCCCCCAATCCACCAAAATGGGGGGGGGGGGATGGATTTTCATGGAGTCGGGAGGTTAGGGTTGATAATAGGAATTGGTGGAGGAAAATCCCCATTTAAATCAACTATTTTGAAGAAAAAAAAGACTACTTTGTTGAAGTAGCTTAACAGAATTTGGTTACTTTGGGATAGTTTGGAACAATAAGTAGGAGGTCTGTTCGTACAAGTGGCCACTGAAATTTATTGAACTGTATCAACGTCTATGTTTGTATATATCTTTTAGTCCACAGATATTCAAATATTGATGACCAATGGCAATTTGTTTTGTCTTTTTTGTGAAACCCCCCTCCCCCACACAGCGAGTGACAGATCTGAGGAAACAGTGGCTCGGCACAGCCTATGATTGGGCAGTGAATAGAGATAACAGACGCCTTTGACAAGCATGTCATGCAAATTCAAGATAAGAGATACAAGAAAACCGGTCGCAACAACAAGAGAGAGAACTTTGAAGAACTGGTACAGTACCTCGTAACGTATAAAGTATGGGGTGACATGCATGTACCAGGAAGATTCCACCAGAGTTTGTCAAACCTAAGCCATGAACCGTACAAGTACGTCAAACTGGGTGTCCTCAGATCAAGGATCGAAAAACACAGGGAAGGACTTGGCCAAGCACCGTATGGATATGCTTTTGATCAAATACGTTTGATGTAAGTCCTGCAGCTATCTTTGCTAATCACCTGGCTGAGCCCCCCCCCCCCCCTCGCATTCGGGTTATTACAACTAGTCTGGTTTTAACCAACAACTGCTTGGCTCAGCCACTATTTGCAACTGGTACTTCGTCAGTAATGATGCCACTTTTTTTCCGTGATACTGAGGTCATAATGCAATGCATCAAGGTTTGTTTCTTGAACTTAAGTTATGGCAGTTATGAAACCTGTATTCACTCAAAACCGTCCACATGCTGTGCATTTGTGATTGATTTTAGTTTTCCAGTGTTTAAATATTTGTCCTAAACTTTAATATGGATGTACATTTTTCAGTGGTTCATGTTGTTTTCCAATGCTACATGTGTTATCCAACAATTCAGTTTACTGTTGCCTGAAATATTTTTGTCTACTGGCTTAGCCTATTCATATTCAAGTCTTAAGACAAAGAATTAGGTATCCATCACACTGCATTCTCACATAATAGAGCGATCCACTAAGCCCTGCCCCATGATGTTTTGACTAATCACATCCGTGATTTATGTCCTACATGCATGCACTCCAACATGACGGGCAGTCGGGACATGCAGTGTGGCTTTGGAGAGGAACACATATGGTTGCCCAAGTGCACAGAGGGTGGGTTCTTCGTCACTACAGTAGTGTTCTTTACATCGCTAGTGACATAATATCCCTATTTATAAATGAATAATATAACATTTCAACCCTCTTCACTACCACTAACCTTCCTTCAGAGTGTCCCTGCATCTTTCATCTTTTTCATCTTTCTTACATCCCTTGCTCTCCTCTAGGATGCTTTGTTCATCTCCTGGGGAGGTCTCACCCTGGTTCCCAATCTCTTCACGTCTTGATACCTCATTGTACAGTAAGCTTGAAGACTCCAAGTGATTAATGTTCGCATTTCTTATCATATCACTGTCTTGCAAGTCTCTTGTATGTAAGACAAAATCTTCATGTCTCCTCTCAACATATCTTGCTTTGTTCCTTGGCATTGTCGCAACAGTTGCATTTCTGAAAGTGTCACTGTTCAGTTTTGGTTGTTCTGTTCTGGAGGGAACATATACAGCACTGGGCCTTTTTCTCGCATCCACTGTGTGCTCTCTCAACTCTTGTAACCTCGACGATGTAATACTTGGAAGACTGGATGAAGATGATGGGTCAGCAGTTATTGAGATTCCAGAGTCACTCTTCTCAGGTGTAATGTCTTGGCTGTTTCCATGACTAGGTGAAGTGTCACCTGATGGTGTTTTGTAGCTAGAGATATTGGATGCATATTGGTGGTGTGGAGGTTGTGGTGTTGACAGATGTGAGAAGTTGGTTAAAGAGGAACGTTCACTGTAAACTGAGTTAGCTACAGACAGGATACTTGTATTGGGAGACTGGATACAGGAAAAGGGAAAAAAATAATATGAAAACAATTTAACAATATACTTTTTTAATCACAATTTTTAATCACAATACCTTTTTGGTAAAGCACAGAGGTGGAGAGAAAAATGTTCTTCAAAATGCGTACATGATAATAAAAAAAATTATATCTAGATGAATCAAAGTCAATGATTGGTAGGACGTAAATAAATCTCACACAAACAACTCTACATGAAGATCAACAAATAAAAATGAGAGACATTATGCTGCTAAAAAAAGATTCACCTTTAGTTATCTCATTCATCCAAATTGTTAAATTTGCTTGAAATTTTCAGTAATACAGACTCTGTGCAATACAATATGACTATCAAGGAAAATTAAAGCATGTATTTAACAACTATTTCATATGCCCTCTCCCTTAAATGTACTTTTCAGACCACCAAATAAATAGGATGCATTAAGAGAAAGGGGTTTTATGAAGCATAAATAAGTAGAAGTAGTAAAAAATAACCACACACACACATTAACACACACAAATGTTAGTAATGAAATGATGTGGTGCAACCAAACATGCCAAATGATATCCATGTATACATCCAAGTATGAGTACTTTGGTTACTGAGAAACAATGATCGAATTACCCATCATATGTGGAAGTTGATTTGCACAGATTCAATTTACATTTAGTACAAGCAGGCCATGTTTTTTTTTCACTTAGAAAGGATTTACAATTTATCCTGAACAGCACTGCTACCCGCAGTAGTAGGACTAACATTTTACAGCCCAAATAATTCTGCAAGATACATGCCCCACACACAGCTCAAAAGCCTGGCAGATATAGGTCATTTAGGTTCATAGATTTCTGCGTCACTTACAAGCACTGCTTAGACCTGTACTTAAATGTAAGCTAACTCGAAGTACAATTTGGCAGTTGTAGCAGAGTTGTGAACATTATACAGACCAAGTTCATATGTTTCAGTGCCATAACTGTTGTGGTATTGGGGACAGAGGGTCAGGCCACATTTTCTACAATGTTGTTACCTGTGGCCGAATTCCTTACATGAAAGAATTCTTCTCTTAAATGCAAAAACACAAGTTATGGAAGGGTTACGTGCACTACAAATGAGCTTGTTATATCACGGTGTTAGATTGAGAAATGTCCATGGTTGAGAACTATTCATGTGACTACTGAAAAAATGTTGTGTATGACAACCTGATGGACTTTGGAACATTTTCATTCCCGCTGCTTTGTAGAACACAGCTATTAGACCCTGAGTGCAAGGTAATGTTACCCAGGGCATGCACATGTCAACATGGACTCGCGTGCGAGTCAACACAGATGCGCATTTCATCAAAGGATTGGACTCTTCAATTAAAATGTATAGGGGTGTGAAAACAGAAAAAATCTTGCCATGAAGACTCAAAAAAAAAGTGAAAAAAAAAAAACCCGACCATAAAACCATGGTATAACAAAACAATTGTTGTCTGTTGTGATATACATGTAGTCCATGGGTTTTGTATGCCCCCCTGGCAAAATGGCATCCTCGGATTCACCTCAGGTGCCATTCGCACCGGTCGGGCAAAACAAAATGCCTTGGACTACTTCACAGCAGGCAACAAGTGCATAGTGTGTTAAGGGAACAACATGCTACATCTAGGAGAATAACGATTGTTATTTTACTGCCTCCACCTCACTCTCTAGGATGTTAAATGGAAAGAGGAAGAATTGGTAAAGATCAAAATCTTGAAGATGGCTACAAGTCATCAGTACACACCTCAGAGACCACACCCCGTGATAACTGGGTCCAGGGGTCAACACAAAATGGACATGATGCAACCCTGTCCATCCTTATAAGCCTCTTGCTATTGCCAATTCTGCATTTCCGTAGTAATGACTTTTTTCTCATAAACCTAAAGGTGTTGGTTTTGGTCAGTGCAAGTGTTATCTGCAAAGTGAGTTGTGCATTCAAACATAAATCAATTAATACACATACACATTCAGTCAAAATTAAAAAAAATTAAAAATTGAACATTTCACAAAGATGAGGGAAATCTCAGAGGTTGTTTTTAAAAAATACTTAAGCATTGAAAAGTAAGCATCCCATTGAAATACATACATAGATGAGTCTTGAAATGTATGCAGTATTCATGAAATATTTGTATGAAGTATCCCATTATTAATATCTTTTACATCCTACATGTATAAGGAATGCAATAAAACATTGCCTGCCCTACCAATTCAATTTACAAGTGTTATGACATCCAACTAACTTGGGAGATGGCGTATTACACAGGGAGTCTCAAAATAAAGTATACCCATTTTTAAATGTAAAGTATCAGAAATGTACTGACTATTTCAGAAAGAGGAGTATGAGGAAAAGGCCAGGATGTCCTCTATCCAATGGTATCAACTTCATTACCTCAGTGCCATGGAAGGAGGAGCAAACAAGGCCTCTTTATGAAAGAGGTCAAAATCAGCACTGTGACAACTTAGAACACAATGGAACAGTGATGATAGGGACAATGATTATTTGCTTCATTGAAGGAATGAAATGAGACAATCTTTCTCATCACTCGATGATAAATTGATGGTCCTGTGCCCTCAACATGACTGCCAGTTCTGGCAATGCACAGCTCACATTGTCGTCTCATGTCTCTGACATCACGTCTTATCATTCCTCGGTCTTGACACAGATTCACCTCATCCTCTATCCCGGTTCTTAACTCTTGCATGTTAGCCGGGGATGTGGTGAAAACCTTGTCTTTCAAGTGACCACACAAGTGAAAGTCACAAGGGGTGATATCTGATGATCTTGGGGCCATTCAACTTGGTGGACTAACAAAATCACCCTGTTACCAAAAGCTCTGCCAAACGATGCCACACAGCAACAAGTCTGTGTGACAGTGCCTGAGCCTACCACACCCCTCTGAAGCTCCACGTCAGTGTCTTGGAAAGATCAGCTTCATCTGTGGTACCATACAGTCATTGGTCATTATACAAATATTGAGTGGCTCAGCGTGGAATGGGAGGAATATTATCGCAAGGTACAATCTGGACTTGGAAAAAGTCCAGATTTTACCAAACGATAATATTCCTCCCATTTCACAATTTAAAGCCACTCAATATTTGTTTTACATAACTGACATATATAGCTCCTTGTCATTTGATATATTTGAACTTTTATTTCAATACAAAACTGAAGGAAAATGTATTTTTTTCTTTGAAACCACCCCTTCACGAAAATGTTTGAACCCAACGTTGTAGCGCTTGTTCTTTGGAACAATACGCGCTACGCGCAACGGTGAACGCGCAAACCAGCATGCATTTGCACACAAATACCGCGTCGTGATCCTAACTTTTTAATAGTATTTCCCATTCCCCATGGGCGGATAGTACTTTCTGAGCCGCGGCGTGAATGGAAGCAATAACGAATGTCACATGAAGAGAGTTCTACCAATCAAATGACAAGGTTATATAAATCCAGATATGCCTACATTAGGCAGGCCTGGCATACCATAAATTCTTAAGTAACAGCAAAAGAATAACCTCTGTCTGCCCTTTGCCACCCAGGTAAAAACTTGTCACTTTGCTGATTTTGCCCTCTTTCATAGAGGCCATATTTGCTCACCTCAGTCAACCATGGCAATGACATCATGAGTTTTAATAATATCATTAGATTGAGGACATCCTGGCCTTTTCCCTTGTATAGTTGCATATTTCCCAAATATTCTGTGCATTTCTGATAATTTACATTTAAAAATGGGTATACTTTATTTTGAGATACCCTGTACATGTTCATGAATTTTCAGTTTAGTGTATGCATGTTTTGCAGAATAAAACCTGTACTATACAGCAAATACTGAGTGCACGCATACAAATGTATAATAAACATGTACAATAAAAATGTGATAATTGAAGATTTTTGTTGTACAAATTGTTTTTATGTCGAAACAAGTTGAGTTGCAATATTCTGCGCTGAATTTTGTTTTTGTTTGTGGTCAAGTCAGAGCTTTATTAAAAATACATACCCATTTCATATAATTGATTGAATTGATTGATATGCATTGCTATCTTAGTGCCATTTATGATGTATATGGTCTATGCAGGAGCAGGGGTGATGCATTTGTCATCTTCAGGTAAGCAGAATAGCAGGGTATTAAAAGGTAAGTGGGACACTTTGAATTGTTTGCATACCAAGTGTAATACTTCAGTTAGTAGGGCGCTTGAGGTTTAACGTGACTTACACTCATCAAGCTTAAGAGTTTAGTCCTGCGTGGTCATTCTCTACATTTTATTCCGCTTCCTGCTAATGTAGGACTTTGAAAACCCTGGATGCACTACATCCTTCCTCTACGAGTGATTATGTAAAGCAAAGTACTAACCCAACAAATAAAAAGTTTGAAGTCATCTTTAAAGGTACTTGAATGACATTACAAAGTTAAGAAGTACCACGGACATGACAAATGTCCCACTTGGAACCCTCACTTTATAGAATGACCCTGCTGAATGACCCTGCTGCCAATTGTCAAATCTTGTCAATTGGGACGGCAAACAAATGAATGCATGACACATGGCAATGTTTGGTTTTAAAGTGCTTCATAATTCTGACAGGTTTTGACAAATATTTTTACAGGCACCAGAAAAAAAAATTCTAGAGAAAACAAGTTATTTTTTAACGTGCACTCCCCCAAACAAGGATATGTCATTGCTTAACAAATGTTTCAGGTTTAAAAACATAAAATCAGGCAAAATATCATTCAGAAAAGACTTTTGATGTCATCAGCATTGAATTAACTGCCTATTACTCTCTAACCATGTCAACACTAACGCTAGTCTCAACTTCGTCAAAATGACTAACATCTGTATGTGGTTCTGTTACACTGGTTGGTATTCTGTTACACTGGCATGACGGATTGCCAGGCTAGATTCATCAAGGATGCTAGTAGGGAACTTCGGAGTCTCAGGAAACATCTACATTGTAATCAATATCCTATGTGTGTCAATATAACCCTCAATTTCCAGTGCCACTCACCTGCTTCTTTGTTGATATTTTGATAAATTCATCTTCATCTGAAGATAGCGAGCTGGAAACAAGCATAGACACCTAAGAGAGGAAAACAACAATCATCTTCATTAAGAGGGAACATGTTAACATTATACTGCCCCAACACACCCTTTTTAAAATAAAAGCTTTAGCATGAAACTGTTATCAGGGGTTAATATGGTATGAAAAAGAATTCTATGGGATATCTGTGGTTGCAAGGGCAACCTGTTACAAAAACTTGGTTATAATACATTTTGGGTTTCTTTTTATACTCAGCGCTCTATTCAGTCGCTGGTGTGGGACTCTTAGTTTTCAAGATGGCACCCATATACATGTACTTTACTTTCCAATCCGAGAAAACAAAGCTAGCATGACACTCATAAATTCCATGACAGGCCTACAATAAGCTGACTTAAATTAAAGGTAGATCAGGCATGATCCCCTTGAAAACATTAATAGAGTCATCCTAAGGGGGCACATATAGAGTTAAGGCTTCCATAGGTGTAGCGCTCATTTTTTTTGGGGGGGGGGGGGCGCAGAGAACTAGGCGACTAACCCTCCCGAAGCAAATTAATAGATTCACACATATAAAAGAAATTAGCTTTTGACAATGGCGAAATGACTTTTTTCTTACCCACCATAGTTATTTTTAATGAAATTATAATCAGAAATCTGACTAAAACCGGAAGATCATCATGCCTGAGGTAATCTAGAATTTGACAACAGCTTGTTAAACGCATGCTGCTCTTTTGTCATGAATACTTGCGTTGCAATCTCAAGATAACAGAAAAGATAAAGAAAACACACAACTTTTGCACTGTCCAACACTCATTGTTGCTTTCTTTTTTTTATCGTTCCCCAAGTCTCTAGACTGGTTTCCGATCCTTCCATTACCATTTCGGCATTTATCACCTACAAATATGCTTTCCAGAAATTTGGAAATATTCGGTGTAATTGTAGGCCTACATACATTTGGGCGCCAAAAGTAATGTTTTTGTATAACCGAACGTGTTCAATATAATGGCGTTCTTTATAGTGGCATTCTACTGTACGTAGAAATATGAACAATACACCACGGAGTATACAGTGTTTAAAAAATATGTCGGTAAGGGCAAATCCCAATATTGAATTTGAACTATGAACAACGTCCTGTCTTCTTCCATAAAGTACCTCGGTTCTTATAGGGTAAAGCAAGAGGTTTACCCAGATGTCAGTTGTCAGACAAGTGGCTTATAATACATCACTTCCCCTAGCAAGAACTGATATCCTATAAAAGGTGCTATCAAATCATGGTACATGTACTAGTCAAAATGTAAACTGGATTTGCAGCTCAATGACATTCAGTTCAAGTATCAACTGATGATATGACAGAGGCATATAGAGACTGACCTTTCTCTTGAGTAATGCAATGTAAATCATGAGGGAATGTTCATCTCCTGTCCCATTGATCACATCAGCTGGCCTACAGATAAAACAATATCAACATGCCAACATCAGTTTGTTACCTGAATGGATAGCAAATCAAGTAAGTCAACACAAGATGTCTTCTATATAGCTTGGCATACAATGTTTACCTACATGTACAATAATGCAGTAACAACTGGCATTTATGTAACCTTCTCACAAAGATCAGAAAGTGAATACTTCCTAGTAGACCGTGGGCCAAGTGCCAAAAAGCTGTTAAATCGTGACGCACCTAACGCAGCTACTTTCTGTTCAAACTGTCTAAACGATATAAATACAATTTATGATTTAAAGGATGTTCTTCCAGGTGTACGTTTGCAGGTTAGTGAGCCATAAAGGGATAATCAACATCATTTTTTCGCCTTTTTTTCGTACCGAGTGTGGCTGTAGTCTGGTGTGGATCGAAATGGCTGTGTAACGTCTGGGGATCAATCCTAGTTTCCATGCGACCGATTCATTGTTTACGTGAATTCAGCCGTGCGTTGCAGACTACCACCACTGAACACGGAAGTATCATGATGCGATATGCATGTCGCGTCGACGCAGCATCACAGATCATAAACAATGCTTGAATCCACGACACCAATGACGAAATCGATCAGAGATTACTGTACCCTGTCCTTTTCTAAGATTATTTAGAACAACATTGAACATTTTTGCGAACATTTCTGGCCAGTTGAAGTCGTTCATAACTCGTTTATGGCTGCACTTTTTCAAGGGATCATATCGGAGGTAAGCTTTACCGATCTTGCACACAACCGAATACAAACTACAGGCGTGAATGAAGATCATGTGGGACTTAAAGAAATCGGACTTGGTATTTAAGAGTGTCCAAATGTCCTTCTAGTTGGAGGGGTGAAGTGAACGATTTAGCTTACAAGACAAGTCCTATACTTTGAATAGGATTTTTCTTCTGGGAATGTTGTGTTGTTCATTGCTTAGTGGGGTTTGTTATTTGGTTATAAATTATTTGCCCACCCCCACCCCCAGGTCTGATGATCATGTTGGGCTTTGGTCACGTTTTTCAGGCCCTAGGGTGGGGATTTTGGTCACTCAAAAACATTGTTAGCATTATCATACAAAATGCAATGATGATCAATTGTGCACCCCACTCTTGTAGGTTGGGGATTATCAGCAAAATATTGTCTGAGGGGTGGGGGATTTTATCACTCCAAAAGTGACAATCACGCGGGGGTGGGGGGGGGGGGGTGGTGGCAATTATGCGCATCAATGACACTTGTTTTGATTTTTGACTGAAAGCTAAAACTGCCCCTGAAGTTTTATGGAAGGGGGTGGGGATGGTTGGATGAAGGAAAAGTTAAGTCCACGTTTGTCTTCGTGTGCCACAACAATGGATAAATGTCCCCTCCCAAAAAAACCAAAGGCTTCTTGTGTTTTCACAAAAAAAGGAAACAATTAAGTAGTGGATTAACAAAACAAACCCCAACCCTGAAAAAGGGACAAAAATGAAAAAAAAATCAGCCTCGTTTTCATTTCCTTTGCTTTAAATTACATTTAGTAAAAACAATTGTGATATTTGTTGTTTTCAAACCATCATGGTCATAAGAATGGATTAACTCTTTCTAATTTTCTCCCTTTTTTTCATTTCACCATGCAGAGACATGCCACAGCTGCATGTAAATTACATGCCTATAGGAACAGAGGCACTTTCCCCAGCATGATGGACAACCTGATTGAGATGTTAAAGTTTGGAGTGGGAGAGAAAGACTTGTTGACTGTTTTGTAGAATGGCTTGAGTCTGCCCTTTGACTGACACTGACAGCCTTTGCTGGAATGCCTTCAGTTTTGTGAATCATTAATGAGGGATCAACTACACATGATATGTCGGAAGTTCACTTTAATCCTCATTGTCTTGGGGATACCTTCATTATATTATAGTTTCATTGAATATATACCTTAGCTCTCTCCGTTAACTCTGAACTTGGGCCTGATTTCACGATTTCATAATTCTGTGCTTATGATCACCATTTTGTGTTAAAGGGAATATACAACATTTGCAAACATCGAAGAATAAAACTACCAAGTTTTTACGAAATACCTTACTAGGATGTTGGTAAATGACAGTCTAAAGCATCCTGTAAAATTATGGCACCTGGTGTCAAGTCATTTTCAAGAAAATGGTAATTTTGTATATATTTCCACAATGGTCGACTGACCACCGTTGGAAAAACCTAACTATTTTTCAACTACTGCTCCAAATTTACAATTTTTTTCAGTCCAAATTTTGTTTGCTATTGGTTACATGTTCATGAACGGGTGCAGGCCAGCTAGACTGGTTCCCTTACCTTCAATTTTTCCGACATCTATAAATTGATCCATTTTATCTTTAGTGGAGTCAGGGAACCAGACTACTTAAACATTTTAGTTTTTCAAGCATTTTCGAGCATTTTCGAACACAAAACTTCAATCATGTCAGTTAAACAATATTTGATCTATTATACTAACCCCTCAAATAGTTCATTTCTGAAAATTACAGCAAAAGCCAATGATGTACATTCCCTTTAATCTACTTCTTGAATATACTCATAAGATGGAATTTTTGCGTGGATTGATGTAAATCAAATTAGGTTTTGCCCTTCACCGATGTATAAACACTGTATACTCAGTGTGTTACCTCCCGAGTGAAAGTTGGAAAAAAGTTGGTAACACACCGAGTATACAGTGTTTATACGTCAGTGAAGGGCAAAACCTAATTTGATTCTTGAATATACTTACCCAAGGAGTGTCTTTGAAATTCCAAAGTGATCTTCAGCAGCCAGAATCCCATTGGTTAGGTTGACAAGGTACTTATCCTATCAAAACCGAAACAAAGCCACTGCTTATATGTACTCACTTGGTAATATCTGTGTCCAGAGACATGATCACAGTTCCTCAGGTAATGCATGTCCATGATGTATTAACATCAATATCAAAACATGTGCAGCAAGACTGCCATTGGTGTATTTCAAAAAGTGCTCAACAAATATGTACAAGAAGCATTACTTAGCTAGCTATCATGTTGGAAAACTGGGTTGTAACTCTCAGCTAAGCCTGTAAGGTAAACATTTCAATTGTGCACAACTTAAGACAAATTGAGCAGTCACTGAAAAGACAACTGATCTTCAGCCTTTTGTTATAAAGTGCACTATGGCTTCTTAGGTTATTTTAATTAATCATCAGCTTTGAAGGAAGAATGTTTGAGATTGTTTGGGGCTGCTTTTGACCCTAAGAGCCGATGGTCTGTTATCAAACATTAGTTTCAAATATCTGGTTTATCAATTTGTGGAATTTAAACTGAATTTGTGAAAAATAGGATTTAAACCCAGCATTGAATCGGTGTTCATTTGTCAGAATTTGATAAAAGAATGATTCTGCTTACCAACCAAGAGCGATCAAAATTTCAAATCCAATTTTAGTTTTTGCAATTTCCATGACTAGTCTAAATTTTGATTTTGGTTGAAATGGAGTGTCATATATCATTTTCATGCAAGGTTGTCTTGAGTAGTACCCCAACAAAAGTCTTTGTCCAGAACATTACCATTCAATGTAAAATCACTATACTTTGTACATGATGAACCAAGGAACAGTAATTATGCAATTCATGAACAACTTTACAGTCACTGTAGCCCTTACCTTGTCCTGATTATTCTCAAAGGAGCAGTGCAAAGACAGAAGATCTGATAGGTGGTTGTTGCAACTGAACCTGTGTTAATCAACAATTCAACAACACTTGGTAAATAATGCTTGAAATATTAGAATAAGTAGCTTGTGTTCTACTGGGATGGGCATTGCTCAATCAAAAGAACAGAAGTAACCTCCAGGATTGCTGCTGTGCACAAGGTCTATCACGCCAATATCTATTGTTATATCGTGTGCTTGGATACTGTAATTTCAATGGTCTAGGACGGCCACGTGTCTGGACAATAAAACTGCACGTCACACACTGAGGTTGATATCGCACTGCGTCCATTCGGTGTGTTGTGCGCATGTGTGGAACCTGACAGTGCGCTAGCTTTGCGCAATGGGAACTGCAACATCCAACGCTTTGTCTCATGTTCGGCAGGACACCAAAGCCTTCCCTTATCAAAGGTTACATCGCACCAATTTAATTACTCCTCACACAGTAAGTTACAATTATTTATATTTTTGAATTATTGGCACGATATTCATACAAAACAGTTGTTGACTGCTGTGACGTTGGATATGCCATTTTTAACCCCCTCAGAGTGCATAGCAGCCGAGGCAAAGCCTCTCGGGTGTTAAAAACATCATATCCCACATCACAGCAGTCAACAATTGTTAACTGTCTACCGTCATAAAGCAGTTATCTCTCATAGATTGGTGGTATATCTAAGAATCTAAGAAACAAACCGCGTACCCAAAATGAGCAATGCATATAGCTGTCCTGTTTGTTAACTATGGGCTTTAGCATATACACTGTACAAATAATTAATATGGACTTTGGTTGTGTAACATATGTATACAACTGGGATGACTAAGAGAGGTAGACAGCGTATGGTTCAAGCTTTAAGACGTGGGCATGGGAGATCAGCGTCATGGACCAACGCTGTCTTTGCAGATGAGTAGGTGATATACTATGTGTACCTCTTGTTCTTTTGTCAGGTGTAGGGAAGAGAGGGAACTTTTCCATCTGCAGTGATTTTTAATTTTCTTAATCCTGCAAACTCCTCCCAAACCACCTGGTGGATTGGGAGGGAACTTGGGAGGGAACTTGGGAGGGTTAGGGTCATTGTATGTATACACAGGACTTTATATGTAGTATTTACTGTTAAGGAAGAGTTATGTTGTATAAATTATGTAATATGCATATATTTCACACATTTGCATTTTATTATAGTTTACTCCCACTAAAGCCCTTCCAACTTTACAAAACTTGATTTTCCTGCCCTGCACCTTTCTCAACAAATGTGTCACATTAAAAGAAGATCATGGAGTCACAGCAGGACCTCCTCACAGCAACACCTACAGCATGCACCCAGCCCAATGCTATACAGTGCATTTTACCCCAATGGATGATACTTACACTGCAGTCATACTCTTGCTGCCGTCAATGTTGATGTTTAACTCTCCCCCACACCATTGTAATAGCAGCTTACGACCCATACGCACTGTTCGCTGATACATAGCACGTTCTAAAAATGAACAATTGATTGACGCAGAAGTAAACTTATGCACTGTTCAAGATAAAGAAGACTGAGCTTTTGAGTTCATTTCTTTTCCCCAAAAAATCACTCAGGTAAGAAACACTATAAGCTTAGCTGGTGACTTGTGATTGAATGTGTTACAACATGCTGGGAAAGTAATGAAGTAAGGAACTTATGGAGTCTATGCCCAAGTATCTCCTCAAGGCGTCAAAGAAAGAGAGATGACAGACAATTGACTGTCTTTGTTGCCATGTCCCAAACGACGCTACAAGTTCCATTCAGATGAAACTGAATCTTGGGAACTTTGCATACAATGCACACCAACCAATGCTGGCATGTGACGTGTCCCACACACTGGGGTTCTCTCTTTGATGGAGTCATTAAGCAACATCATGAAGTCCATACTAAGTGGACAGGTAGACCATGTTAGAAACATCTGTTTCCAATTGCTATGGAAAGTAACAGTAACTTGTCTAAAACTGCAGCAATAGTAAACAAATTGAACTTTTCAACTTACCCCATGACAAGCACACAAGCAAATTATATCAGTCATTAATATCATGTTCAGGATCTTCCTTTTGCAATGGTAAACTTGAGATAACCTACATGTACAAACAGTACATTATAGACAAGGCAACTGACAATTTTGTTTTCTCAAGGTTTTCAATTAAACTTTGTTTTATCTTCCCATTTCTCCTACTTTCCACACACATGCAATGCCCTGATACTTGTCCTTCAACAGAGATATGCATATACCTGGTGAATGGATAGTACAATGCAGAATAATGCACCACATAACATCCAGAATACTCTTCAGTTCCCCACATACAACACCTGTAACAGAATAATAATATACAACATGCTCAATATCCTCTCCTTGTAATAACTAATTATACGTACCATGTGTATTCGCTTTTCATGCAATTGATCAATTAATGCACTATAGAGTTGTAATTCAAGCAAGAATGCCCAAACACAACACAGTATCACGCACAGGTACATCCATAAGAGGAAGTGAATGAAGAACATGTTATAATAAAGCATTAAATCATGTTACTGATACTATGATAGGGATGGATTTCTTTTTATCATCAACTGAATGCACTAATCAACAACATCAAGTGACTGTTTTTAACAGTTAAGAGCTCCCAGCCTGTATAAAGCAGGATTGATTGGTTGTGATTGTTTATGTAACTTCATACACGTATGCTTTGACTGTAGGTGATTGATAAGCCAGCTGTGCCTACCACTTGCGTGCTTTTGTTTGTTGACTGAATTTGACTAGTCATAGTGCTTGCTTGAAATATGATCTGACTGTTGGTGACAAGCCTGTGTAAAAGCATGGCAGGGGAAGAGGATTGATTTTTTTGACTATCTGTGACTATTAAGACAGCAGGAGGGTTGTTTATGGATAGTCACTTTATCAAACAACTATTTTAGATGTATTGTAATTACTAATCCTTACCTTCAGCAGTGACATTTATTTTGACCCCAACACCAGTCAAGTAATCCAAGGCAATTTGCACACTGTCAAGAGCGAAGGTGTCATCTAAATCAGTCAAAGCATCCTACGAAAAGGGCAAAAGTTCAACTACAGTTGCACATCTGTTGAGTTTCACAACATCTGTGTTATGGATGGGTATGTTTCAATGTTTCATGCTCAACATCACAGTGACTATGAAAAAAAAAGAATATTGACAAACATAACCCTATTCAATAATTGATTCTCATGACTTTAATAATAATAATATATAAGGCAATGGACTCGCTGTACAAGTAGAGGGCTGGGAGAGACCACTGGCAGGGCTCTTAATATCCACTGAACCGTGTCTAGTGATTTCAGTGTCGTTCTAGTGCAGTCTATGACTGCACCAGTCCGGCTGTCTGGTGTTTTTTCTTGCACTATATAAACAAAATGACGCCCAAATATACTAACAGTTGAGGTCTGATTAATAGCGTGCTTTGAGTTCATTACTTGATTGATTAAAATTACCGAAAAAAACCTCCCTGTGCCGTGCTGAAATGCAACGAAGCTGCCTGGCCAACGCGCCAGTCTGCCATGCCAGTTGCAGACAAACGTACGTACATTCCATACCGTACATGTACGTTGATGCTCCGTTGGTACGATGTCGCGTGCGATATCGCCCCACCACAACTTACATTGGTAGCAATACGTTGTATTTATATTAGGCCAAAAAAAAAATACTTGGTCTCTGGTCAGCGCGCGCGTCGATTTTAATCATGCGCGTCAACCGTCTTCTTTTTTTTTCAAATTAACACGGAAGCTACAACAGCGCCCTCTATTGCCGCGCCTCCTCAAATTTTTGTACCAAGGAGCACCAAGGAATGGGGAAATTGCACCAAGGCAAATGATAAAGGGCACCAAGGCAAATTATGGAGGACACCAATGTATAATGAGGACACAAAAAAGCAAAATAGTACCCACCTTGTCTGTACAATACAAGCTTGAAAAAAAAAAACACCACCAAAAAAAAAAAAAAAAAAACGTCGCCGATCAATTCCGGAACTTCGGTCTGACCAGAGACCGACTATTTTTTTTTTTTGGCCTTACCGCTGTATTTTCCTATTAAACATCCAGCTTCACTGTGGGCAGACAAGCAGAATCCCTGTACTGCATGGGAATTAGTTGTACGGTCTAGTTCCAAGACTTTTACGAAGCAAAAGACCGTGCTCGCTGGCATGGGAATTAGACTAATTTTTCAGGAAAACTAGCCAAGTGCACACACAAAACGGGTGACTCATAAACTTTTGCTTGCAATCTGTGCTCCGTCTTAGTATTGTTGCCAAAAAGGCGCATGACTTCATTTGAAATAATATTTATTTGCCATTTAGAAATGCTAGACTTCATTTGACCTCGACCTATACAAAATAAATAGCATTTTGTTGTATTCCTGTCACATAGTGTAAAATGTTGTTTTTTCTTATTTATGACACAGGTCTTGAAAAAATAGTTCAGGTCCAGTAAGATTCTTCAGTTACTAGACCTGCTGTCTAGTGCTTTTTTTAAAAATGAAATTCAAGCCCTGGACTGGGAGGGGCATTCAATGGATAAGTATGTGGTATTCTTTTTAAGCATCCAGATATGATAAAACCATTGAACTATGACAAGTTCTACTTGTTCCCTGGCATAGCATAGCGGACAGCGTGAGCCTTACCTGGTCAGCAGGCAGGAGCTGGGTGCCAGTAAGAAGCTCAATCAGATGACAGAATACTGAGCCATTCCTTAACTGATGTAAACCATCAATCAGAATTCCTTGTTCACACAAGAGGCTGTTGGCCCAGCCAAGGTACATCTACACGAAAAACAACATTTTATTATTAATTAGAAAAAAACCCATAACCTGACATGCCAAAAAGTACTTGTTTTAAAGAACTTTACATACATACATGTATGTAACAAGGAAAGAACAAAACTGTGACAATCCTTTGTACATACATACATGTATACAGGTAGATGGATACAGTATGAGAAATGTTCAGGTACACACAGTCATGTGGTTGAGGAGGGCAATTTCGGAAGGTTACCTTACCCCTTATTTTGAATGAAACTACATGTACATGTACACACACATGTTCACACAGGCAGGCAAAATCTTTGAAAATCAATTTCTCCCATTTGGAAGACCGTATCTTCATGAAACTTTCAGGGTTTACTTCCCTCATAATGATCCAAGTATGTGCTAAAATCGTTGTGATGTGTTCATTACTTTTCCTTGAAATTGGAAAAATAGGCCTGGCTACGTGCACTTTTGAAAGTTGGAACACTAGTGTTTGCAATATCTGTCAATCTTTTCAAGACTCACAAATATTAATAAGTTCCTATTCATTATGGTATGCAGTATAAATTTAGAGAAAAGCCTCCTTCACGAGTTATTAATTGAGAAATATCACCCTTTTTGCCGGCTTCCATTGGTCGATACCGAGACCCACGCCAAAACACGCCCAGTGACGCTAATGAATATGCTAATCTACTATACTCAGTCAACCATAGCGCCTACGGCACTTTGCTGAACAATGCATGTCGGTTGTGTAGGCAGAAAATCCTCATCGAAATCTTCCATGGAGATGGTTCTAGTTGGTACACTAGCGTTTGCAACAACAGATTAAGCTGAAATTCGGAATATTCTTAGATGATACTCGTGAAATAACAACTTAAGGGGGTTTCCTAGAAATTGAGGTTAATACATGCATTTGGGGAAGTTTTCGAACGATTTCTTCCAGACTTGAAGGTCAGCTTTACCAGTAACCAGTATTGACGTTTCGGCATCGATGACTGAGATTTTTTTACTGACATAAAGTTTAGAATGTCGTCTTCATTCTTTATAATTTAACATTTCAATCATACTGAGTATATTTTTTGAGAAACACAACGTTCAAAAATCCATGTTTTTTTTGGGTGCATGGATTTCACTGCTCTATTATAGTGTCTAAGTACGTAATCGGATTAGCTTTGCCTAACAACACCAGATGCTTTGCCTTAGCAACCACATTACTTCACATGCCATGCATGTTGTCAATCAATGCATGATATTGTAAATGTGTGGGTGTACGCCACACGAACAAAACTATGGCACTTCTCATCATCTCATTCAGTATCACACGCATTCTACTGGATTAGATGTCAGTTTGTGGAGTGAAACTAAAGAGTGATTTCTGTTTTTATATAAGGGAATAATACCGGGAAGCGCAGTTTTAAACGTCTGGTTTAATAATTGGCGACTAGGCCCCTAACTGGTTTTAAACCATGCGTTTAAAACTGCTGCACCACAACTATCACCATTCATAAATCCATGTACCTTTTTGGTCAAAACTTACCAAAAAAGTCAAGAAATTGGATTAATTCAGGCCATTTGTCAACATCTCATTTTCTCCTCATATGGAGATCATATGCATGTAAGTGGTTATCTCAAGCACCAGGTTGCAGGGCCAAAAGAATATGTTGTGTTTCCGGGGTAACCTGACCGACTGTAATTTGCCTTACGTAAGGTCGGCAACAATAAGAAATAAATAAATAAATAAATAATAAAAGTGATTTTTTTTTAAGGCCTGTAAATCAAAAACAAGAAAGTTGACATTTGACAGCAGAATCATGCAAATTGGATGCAATTTTTAGAAAGACAAATATCATTTTTCAAATATGCCAAACAAAAAACTTACTGAACACATCAGAAAATGTGAACAACGGGTGGCACCATATTTTTCAGAAGGTCATATCTCGCTAATGACTTGAGGTTGGCAGCAAAATTTCATGTGTTCATATGATTATGAATCGCAGAGGTGTTTTAACCCCTTAACGCCGGTATTGTTCGGTCACGGACAGCTGCACTTTGAGTGGAATGCGTACATTGTCTATGAATGAATGTGGCTATGCAGCAGGAATGCAGCCATAGCAGTCCCCCGGCTTATCAGCTTTCATTGAACTGTGTCTATAGTCGTCACCCGGCGTCCTATGACCTGTGTCTATAGTCGTCACCCGGCGTCCTGTGACCTTACAACTTCTTAGACAGTAGGCATGGAACGACCCCAAAACAAACCCTGCTCTATGGTTTTACTCCAAATACAGCCTGTATTTTTACTGATTCACAAGTGATGGGGTGTTGAAATGAAGGCCAAAAAATGTATAATCCATCTGGGGAAACATTAATGTGACTGGCCCCATAAGTGTCACATGCATGCGCATCATGTGACACAACAATACTCACCTGCAAAACTGAGCTGAAGGCCATGATGCATGCAACCTCAGACCATTTCTTCACCTTCATTAATTAAGCACTTCATTCTAGGAACCTGCAAAATAAAAATAAAAGCTGTTAGTACATGTACTACTACTGATAATACAGAGAAAAACTTTGAGATGGATAATGAGCATACAAGTGTACAGTAATGAATTTTAAAAGTCAAAGAATACATATCTTATATCATCATGGAGTTTCTCAAGGACAAATTGTGTTGAAGTATCAAAGACTTATTGTTCAGTCTTAAGATGACACTGACAACACCTGTGCTAAGTCAGAAACACTGGAGTCACGTACATTTCACTGAACAAAAACTGACTGGTTTCCAGATCATTTGTTTTCTTGTCCAGGAAACAGTATTATTTTTTCTCTGAAACATCCATGTATTTTTCCAGCTGATATGGGTCTTACTCACATCCTGCTACTCTTTATACTTCAGGTCCATCAGGTTTTCACAGTAATTTTACACACACAATTGAACACACGTTCAGTATGCTAGCAAAAATCAATGTTGATGCATGCTTTGAATCAAGCTTTTACAACTGAAAAGCCAAATAGAGACACCAGCCAATTATAATCAATATCAACAGTGGTGTTATGTAACAACACAGATCCTACATGTTGTATGGAACTCACTGTACCATTCCAAAATGAATGCTACAATTTTTCATTTTAAAATAAACAAAATTATAATAATTATTGGTTTCAAACAACAAAATTAATGCCCAAAACAGGTCTATTATAAAAGTGCACAAAAACAAATTATATTTTGAATGCTCATGTTCACAGTAATCTTTTCATCTAATAGAATCCAATACAGGTGAATAAAAGATAGACGAATGCATAACATGCCAACAAATGCTACTGTGTACTACATACATGTACTGTACACGGTATCTCTGGTAATGCTGTTATCTTTATGGATAAGATAAGAAGAAATAAACTGATTATAATGTAATAGATAAGTGCTATTAAATATTAAGTACTATATTGGCTAGTGCTTTGTGAAAGAAAAGTGTATTTGCATTATAACCATCAGTGGCAAGCACATAATGCCTTACATGCAACTGTGCATGTGCATGTGCGTACACATGTGCATGCACATGGATAGTATTTGGGGAAGTTTAATGACAGTTCCCCTCCCCCCCCCCAAAAAAAAATCAATCAATGTATTTTTCCATCTTTTAAATTTTTTTTCTTTTAACTCATACGTACCGGGCAATTGAACTTTGACCAGAACTATCAAGTACAGGGCTGGCTTTATTGATGTTCCATTACAAAAATTGGATTTCATTCAACGGGGATGAAACTTTACAAAACAGATATGACCTCTCAATGCTCATTGCTAAGGGAACCATGAGTGTTTTTATCCTACGTGTACACTGCAAATTATTCTAATAGTACAGTACTAAACACTAACTACATGTACATACATGTACATGTATATATCACTGTTATCCACATTTAGGAGTTAATATCCTTGTACATGTAGTATAAAATAAATGTCCTCAATCAGATGGAAATGAAACAATGTGCATATAACATCAGGGCAATTCCAGCGGTATGTAAAAAAATAGAATATCCGTGACAAAACCAATTAACATGATATCCAATTAATAAATTTTATACCTCTGAGAGTTGGTGGCTTCTGATTGGCCGAGACTCGATCACGTGGGGATGTATTAACGGTGATATAAAGACCGGCTTCACAGAACAAGCGAAAAGTGGCCCCTGAACCAGCATTGATCCAGCCTCATGCAAGGCAATGATTGGCCAAATTTATAACAGTCCTACGGCAGCTTGTAACAATACAGCACTGCACATGCGCTCAACCCCCATCACCTGAGACTGACGCGTGCATACGCAACACAGTTGCTATGGATGCGCGCACGTAAGGAAGTTTTGAAACGACATCGTACAGCACTGCAATATACTGAGGATGTTTACGACGAAAGCGTAGATCTACGATTTATTTTCTTTAAACACTTCACCCACCAACATATTTACCTTTCCTAAACTAAGCATCTTTGTAATTCTGGACACAAGGAATGTGTAAACGAAATTTCAGCTTCCTCCATCAGGTAAAAATATGAAAACATCATTGTTTCGCTACGGCAGCAGAAGTCCAAACCCTGGACATCATACGCAATGAAGACGTCGACCAGTGCAGCCGGCTGTGGTGGTATATAACAACGCATATTGAAGAGACAGGGTACCACGCATAGGGCCAATGATTTTCCGCGATCGCGGAAAACGGACGGAATTCGCGGAATCTGCTCCTTGAAACGGAAAACAGAATTTGAATAAAAAAAAAATAACTTTTGCAATATTTTGACAAAAGAACATAATTTCGTTAAATCCATTGAGTCCACAACGAATTATTGATGATTGACTGAACAGACGAGCCATACAACAAATGAGCGGTGTTTATATCACGATTATTTGGGTGAAAAAACTTTCAAGATCAGAGCGATATTTGTTATGAGAAGATCATTTACCAGTCCATAGTCTAGTCATGGCAGTGACAGACCCCCGACGCGCACGCCGAAGCCACGCATAAGCTCAAATATGGCCCATGAACATGAACACAAACAAGTCTGGAAATATCGCCGAAAGAAATTCACAAAATTGGAGCATTTTAACTGTTTATTTCGTTTAAAAAGGTATTTATTAATGGGAATAACAGTGTGAGGATCCGGTTTTCACTGCGTGATAATGACCGGGTTTGGGGGTGACCGCTGTTAATGGACCGAGACGCGGTCACCCCCAAACCCAGTCATTATCACGCAGTGAAGACCGGCTCCTCACACTGTTATTCCCTTATTAATGATTCAGAGAAATAATTCAAAACTCTTAGTCTACCTTGACAAAAAGCCAGTTCAGTATCGCAATGAAGTAGTCCAGGTCCAAGGTCATTTGGGATAAAATCGCTGACGCGATGATACGCGATGTTAAGTGAAAGCCCATTCTGCTCGTAATTAACGCACGTGCGTCGTGTGACCGACCGTCTCCTTGCGCGTTCATGCGCCTTCAATGAGCGTTTGTTTGCATGTACAATGGCGGGTTACCCATTTTTTAGCCGATCATCGCATCAAGTGTGCGTGCAATTTCGCGTTGATGAAAAACAGACGGTGGTGAGTAAAAAATTTGATTTCTCAAAAAATTGTCAATCTGAGGACCCAAAAACCATTGCTCACAAATTTTAAAGAGCTATTGATCAACCAGGGAATAGTCCCGTCAATTTACATTTTGACCTTGAACTAATTGCAATAGACACCATTCAAGCATCAACAACTTCAAATAAATACACAAACATGTGAACAATCTAATTGTTTCTATGGAGTGGAAAAGTTTTTTTTTTTCCAAGCAAATTTACATGTATTGGAGGTTAACATTTGGGACATTTGTCATCGAACAATTCGTCTGTATCAAGCTGTATCTTCTATGGGTGATGGTGCAAAAAAATTCCAGAAGTACCCCAGAACACAGACGAAAAGTCAGTAAAGCCAAAAGTAGCACAAGACCGCAGAATCTACAGCGATGCTGAAAGTACTTCAGTTAAAATTGAGGCATTTGAAGCAGGTAGACTGAAACAATTTTTTTAGCAATTGGTGAGAAATAACGTCAGATGTGTCACATGCCCATATTGAGTTTAATGATTAACCACGACAGAGTAAACTACATTGGCAAAATATTGGAAGTATTTCTGAACAAAATGTAATTAATTTGGAAATAACAAAATTGCTGGACAAAAAGTGATTGTTAAGTCACAACACTGGATTATTATCTCTGATATTTACACGACCAAAAAAGGATGGCACATCCAGAATGATACTTAACCTCAAATGTCTTAACTTTTTTCATTATTATATTACCTCAATGAGGCCTTTTTATTGCAAAAATGGGAAAAACTTTGTACTGGGCCACCACTTAGCTGCCGCCAAACACATCAATTTTCACCTCACCTTGTGATTTCACTCAAGACGAATCCAGGAAGCTCTGGCAATGTGAATAATTTTTAGGAAAAATGTGTTGCGAAAAATGTCGTGCAGAACCAAGTTGGAGGCACTCCGGCCATAGTGATTGCAGTGGCTGGAAGTCTAGCGGCACGCTACACATGACATCAACAACGCTTGAGCCAGCCAATGAAAGTGCAATATGTCATTAGGAATATTTAATTTCTCATGAATATTTAGTGTATTTAATATTCATTAGTCTTATTTCAATTGGATACTTTAAATACGTCCGAAGATTGATTATTGCAACAGCGATAGTGCACGGCCTAGTGGTAAAAGTCTTGTGTTTCAAACAAGAATCTCGATGAAGTTAGTGACTGATTAATAAATAGGAATAAAGGAAAGGAGAGGGTGAGAGTAGAGGAGGGAAAGTGGAGGGAATAACCATAAAGGATGCAACTTTTTGGTGCTTGAAAATTAATTGAAAACAGTGGTGGCCCACTAGGAATATTTTCTCCAAAAATGTTTGGAAAAGACATGAATCCGGGACTGAGATTGAGAAACATTTCCAATTTTGTTAGAAAATAGGCCTACTTTGAAAATGCACTTGACTCTCCACAATATCAATAAAATTGGGAAAGAATGTTGCAACCTGGCGCTGCTTTTTTTCTTCATATATCATCTCAATGAAGGTCAGTCATGTAGCAAAAATTATGATAAGATGCAAATCTGGGCCTGAGAAACATTTCCACTTTTGTTAGGAAATATGAAAGTAATAGTAGGGCTACTAAGTAGTAAGTACTATGAAACCTTTCTTGACTCTCCACAGCTTTGTACACAACCGCTGAAGTGGCGTCAGGTTGCAACATTCTTTCCTAAAAATACAATTGTACACACTACACAACCAAAGACTGAAACTTTATTAAGTGGCGTCTAAATACTACTTTCTTTCCGGGAATTCTTTCAAGTAAGGTAAAAAGCACGTCGTCATGGTCATTCCAGAACTAGAACTTAGAAGTAGACATGGTGGCGATCGTGTAGTGTAGGGCCCGGTTCCTATATAAACTTTATAAGGGAACAAAATCCACTTTAAAATTATTGGACCTACCAAACTAGTAGGCGACATTCTCAATAAACAGGTATGTCATAGATAGAGGGCAGGGTTTCGATGTTTTGAGGGATGACAGCGCAGCAACAACACGCGACCCAAAAATAAAGATGGCGATCACCGCGCAATGTACCGTGTGAGCACGCAGGGTGTGCTGAATGGCATGGCAAAAACCGCACAGAAAAATCGTGATTTCTACCCCAAGAATTTGTTCAAAATTGCAAAACAGGGGGCATTAGAATTGAGAAAAGTCTGCTTTTGATTGTAAAGATGATTTTTTAGCAATTAAAGAACATTTTTGACTCTATAAAAAAATAATATTAGTAAATTGATCAAAACAAAACAGGGGCCCTACCATCTGACCATACTAGCCTACACTTCACGATTGCCGACATGGTAGGGTAACTAGAAGCATAGAAGATAGACTCCTTTTCCCTCTAGAATAGGCCTAGCCCCACTAGTGTGGCCGTCGGTATGCTGCGCTGAACCTAAGGCCACACACCGTGGTCCGCGCACTACTGAGGACGTTTTCATAAAATTTGCAGGGAATTTCTTACATATGGTTGTATTCTACGATGTCCCATCTATCACTTCTGTGATGCTTAGGTGTAATGATGTTCAATTTTCCGAGATATTCTTGAATCTTTCTGGAGCCCATATGCACTCGTGAAACGTCCGGTGATGGCAGCCATTTTGAATGTGACAAGAGATGACCTCAAGCTGTGACGTCGCGTTTATGCAAATTGCTTGTCGAGCGAGGGCGTGAGTTGCAAATGCGACGGCTATTTTCTGTGCCGTAGATCCTGAATAGAGATCAGTGCACGTGGCCCCCAGACGATAAATGCATGGTACAGGAAACAGCCGTCGCATTTGCAACTCGCGCCCTCGCTCGACAAGCAATTTGCATAAACGCGACGTCACAGCTTGAGGTCATCTCTTGTCACATTCAAAATGGCTGCCATCACCGGACGTTTCACGAGTG